AAAAGATTCATGTAACTAATAATGTTGATAAAGAGTACCAAGATCTCATTGATACTAGCGAGACAGTTAAAAAAAGTAGACTTCCCATGAAAGAACATTTACAACTCAAATACATACCTCAACTCACGTTTTACTCTTGCATTCGATTTTTTCAACAACTTACTGGCATCAATGTTATCATCTTTTGCACTTGTTATTTTTAAGAACTTGGGTTTTGTTATTAGGGGTTGTGTTATTAGGGGTTGTGTTATCGTGGTTACTATATTTGTTTTCATTTTTATCATGGATAAGTTTGGACGAAATATTACAATTATAATATGAGAGTGACTAATGTAATAAAATTACAATCTTTGCTTGTAAATTGTTATTGGAGTTATGATTGCTTTAAAGTTTAATGTGAATGGCAAAGGTTCATTTAGTAAAGGAGAAGCAGATCACCTTATTTTTTCATTTGTGCATATGTTGCTGCTTATGCTTGGTCTTGAGGTCCATTAATATGGTTGGTGCCTAATGAAATATACTCTCTTTAGGTTTGATCTGATGAGCAAGCTATCAATGTTCTTCACTTCTATCATTACTCAAATTTTTATCACTATGCCTTGCTACTTAAAGCTTAGTCTCTTTTTTTTTTATTATTATTATAAATTTTTGTTTTTTTACTTTTACCAGAGACAAAAGGTATACCAATTGAAGATATTTTATTTAAATTTTTTATAGTTCAAATATTGTGCATAAAAATATCTCTACTATTTTTTTTTGGTTATTTTCTTCTATTTATAATAAAATGTTATATAAATAAATAATTTTTATGATGTTTTGTATTATATTAATGTATATTTTATTTTCTCTATTTAACATATATAATCAGATATATATATATATATATATATATTAAATACTTACTATTTTTCATTGCTCTTTTCTAAACAATATTAAAAATATTATAAAAATTAAGTTTAAATAGTTAGAATATAAAAGATTAATTAGTGATACATAAAGAAAATCTTAATAAACATAAAAGAAATAATGTTTAAAAATAAAAAATATAAAAAAATGTCATATAAAAATACAGCGAAAGAACTTTAATATTAATTATAAATAGAATATAGTGGGTATATCTATGCCGCATTTAGCATTCTATTTTCTTTTAAGTTTTTGCGCTTTCTTGTTATTTGATGATAGCTATTTACATAATTTTTCTTCTTCGCACTATCACATTTTTTTTTGGATCATTTTTAGAAATTAAACTAAAGATAAAATAAATAATACAACCAGAAAAAATAAACAGTACAAAAAATGATTTTTTTAGGTCATGTTGATCAGAGTACTTTTTCTTTTGTTCACAATTGATCCTAGCCCTTGAACTTAAAATTTTGTACCACTAGAGTCGTCTAGGCCTAAATTTTGTTCCACTAGTTTGCAGCATGAGCCTCAACACCATGAGACCTACCTTATGATGTTGGAGATGAACATAGAGTTGGCAGCACAGTAAGCAATCAAAGAAAACTCGTAAGTCACATGCAAAAGTTTTACTCAGCATGTGTTTGGTTTCACATGACTTTAATGCTAACGAAAATAGTATCTGTGTGAGAGACGCACTTATACTGAGTTTTTGACATGAAATTTTGTCCTGAAAAGTAATTAATAAAAGAAATATTTTTTATTTATTTTTCTCAAAGTATGAAGAGTCAATTTCTTTTGCTTAATTTTTCTTTTATTTTTGGTTAATAACCTGAAACATAATTAAATGCATTGATTTAATCTTGGGCCACGTTCCTTTGTACCTTTTCGTACTGACACTCATATTACGAAAAGGTGTTTTTTATTGAAAAGTGTTTTATATCTTGGGAAAATAATAATAAAAGCTGTGAATCTGTGCATATTATATCTGAACCAAATAGAGCTTCATATGGGAACGAAATCAATTTTTTCACTTTCAAGCTGCATGCCTCGTAAATGTGGAGCAGGAATAAGAAGGTCAACTTCTGGCTTATAATTACTATTAATTACAACAAAAATCAGTAAATAAAAGAGGAAACATTAGCATATGAGACAAAGCTAAATCTGTGAATAAGAGTAGAGAAGAATGAAATAAAATTATTTAATTCAAAAATTGTAATTATAATTTTTTAGTAAATAAGTTGTAAGAAATGAATCACGTGTAGAATCACTAGCCAGCCCATTCCATAAAAAATTTGTCCAAAAATCTCATTTTTAAAAATGAGTTAAAGTTTAAAAAAAACTATAAAAAATTTAACAAAACTTATAAATAATATTTTATATTAATAAAAATTAATATTTATTTAATAAATAATTATATTTTATTTTTTAAAATTTGAAAAATAAGCCAATGAGCTAACCTGTACTGACCTGCCATTAACCCATTTTCTGGTAGGCTAAAATGAGGCAAATGTATTATAATATTGTAAATTAAAAAACAATTTATTATTTTATAGCAAATCTGAAACAATTTCTCAATCTGAGTTTTTTTGCCACGTGGATCAATTTTTTGCCATAACGGCTGGCGAAAGTAATTAATTTTTGAATTTTTTATATGAAATATGACTTCTTAGAGCGGTTAGTTTAAAACCACTCTCATAAGTCTATTTTAGAGAGCGGTTCCTTATGAACCGCTCTCATAAGTCTATTTTAGAGAGTGGTTCCATATGAACCGCTCTCAGAAGTACATATTAGAGAGCGGTCCTGCTGGAACCGCTCTCTTAGATTTCGCCCTGCAGTTAGCGACACCGTTCAGACATTGTAATTATATAAAACTAAATATAGTTTACTTGAGTTAAATAAAATTATATAAAACTAAAAATTGAGTGAAATAAAATAATTATATAAAACTAAATATAATAATTTATACTTAGTTTAATTGTAATAAATAATTTTTACACCTATAATGAAGTAAAATTTTAAAATTGTAAAATTTTAAATGCAATAATCATAATTTATATGAAATGTATGTATAAAATTTGTATGTAAATAATAAAAATTTTTACTTTTAAAAATGTAATATTATTTATATGATTATAAACTAAATGTAATATATGTAAATTTAAATTAGAAAAATGAAAAAATAAAAATATAATTAAATTTTATCTAGTAATTAGAGTTTTATATTTATATAAAATTTATGTAGATTTAAATTAGAAATATAAAAAAATAAAAATTTAATTTAATTTTATGCAGTAAGTAGAGTTTTGTATTTAAATAAAATTTGTATGTAAATAATAATATTTTTTACTTTAAAAAACGTAATAGTATTTATATAATTATAAATTAAATGTAATTTATGTAGATTTAAATTGGAAATATGAAAAAATTAAAATGTAATTTAATTTTATGCTAGTAATTAGAGTTTTGTATTTATATAAAATTTGTATGTAAAATTTATGTAGATTTGTATTTAGGATAATTAAAAATTTATATATCTTTAGTTATAATATGTATAGAATATAGGTTAGTATATTTAAAAAGAATTTATTTATTTAATTTTGTTTATGTACACCTGATTTTTCAATTTATAATATATTGTAATGAATATAATATGATGTCATTACAATGTGATAATGATTTGTTAGAAAATTTGTTTAACCTTTATAAAATATGTATTATTAATATGTTAGTAAAATATAAATTATTATTATTATTGAATGAAATTTTTTTACTAATATTTTTTATTGTTGTATAGATGGCATCATCTTCACAACAAAGTAGGATTATTAATCTTGGGCCAGAAGATCCATCAAAATTAACATGACTTTTGAGAGCGGTTAAAATAGAACCGCTCTCTAAAATATAGTTATGAGAGCGGTTCATAAGGAATCGCTCTCTAAAATAGAGTTATGAGAGCGGTTTGAAACTAACCGCTCTAAGAAGTTATATTTCATATTTTTTGTGACGAAATAGATATTAAAAAATTTAAAAATTAATTACTTTCACTAGCCGTATGGCAAAAAATTGATCCACATGGCAAAAAAATTTCAGATTAAAAAATTGTTTCAGATTTGCTATAAAATAATAAATTATTTTTTAATTTACAATATTATAATAAATTTGCCCTAAAATGGAGTGACCCAATCAAGCTAACAGATGCAGAATGGCCAAACCAACCACCATTTTCAGCAAATTAGGCATATTTATTTGTTGTAACGTGAATTTATAAAAAAAATTAATATTTATTTATTTTAAATATAACTTAATTTTATTTTTAAATTTAGGTTTAAGTTAATATAATAAATTGTAATTTTTACATTAAATTTAAAAAATTATATTACGTTTTTATTACACATTTTTAAAATAAAAAATTTAAATATAATTTATATCACTTTGAATATAATTTTTATTACACAAGCTAAATTACACAAACCCGTGTCTTTAGTTTTAGATAAATTTGACTGATAAACTTAATTTATTTCTTTTATAAAAGATAGTTAATAAATGGGAAACAGCACGCAACAAGAATGTGTAGTCTTGGTCAGCAAGGAATTTGCCGTTATTGCCTTCACTCTACACTCAGTCTTCTTGAATGTACGTTCATTTCTCCTTCCTTTTATTCTCAATGATACATGTTTTCCCCTTTCACTTACTTCTTCCATTGTTGCAACATGGGTAAGAGAAAACCACACCACAACCCATCTCAGCTTCTCCAAAGATGTAACACTGCTTTTTATTCATTTTGTTATTTTCATGCCTTATCATAGTTTCAACACTTCAACAGTGATGGGTTTTCGTATTTTCAGTTTTTTTTTATATATAAATAATGCATGATGCTGTTTCAGTGTTTTGTTTTCTCTTGTCTTGTGATCGAAAGCTAAAACTTTAATTTTCTTGAGGTTTATTATTTAGGTTTGGCTTGGAAGTTTAATGTACTACTTGTTGATGATTCTTCTAGAACTTTCGTAATGAAAAAAGCTTTATTTATTTATTTATTATTTTTTTCCCAGGATTTTATGTGGTGGCATGCCATTGCCCACACTTTCCATTGTTGAATGATGGCTGTTGAGGCTTCTGATAGGCAAAATTTGTTCTATGGTTTGGATTTTGATGACGATGAGGATGTGGTAGTAACTTTGAAATGGCACTCAGCATCTAAGAAAAATCGAGGGCATTTAGAAGTGAGGAAGGTAACTGCTCATATTCATGAGGAACAGTCAGGTAGACATATTTCTGATGTGCCTTCTTCAAAATGCCAAAATTCTAACATGCAGAAGGGTAATGTTTTGTTACCTGCTAAGGCATCACTCGTGAAGTCTTCTACTGGTAGCACAAAAGCACCAACTTCACTTGTCCATACCTCTGATGATGATGATGATATCCCTTTGTCCACGAGGTTACGTTGGAATTCTAGTATGGGAAAATGTAGTAGTAACTGTAACTGTATTGGTAGCACAAAAGCACCAACTTCACTTGTCCATACCTCTGATGATGATGATATCCCTTTGTCCACGAGGTTATTTTGGAATTCTAGTATGGGAAAATGTAGTAGTAACTGTGATGATTCTGTTAAGAAGAGGCCGGCTACACTGCTAGTTAAGAGATCATTAGGTAACGGCAATTCCTTGCACATTTCAGTTAAGAAGCCAAAGGTATCATCATATGATGATAGCGATGATGAGGATGATATTCCAATTTCCCAGAGAATTGCGAGGTCAGCCATATCTGCTGATAAACCATCTTCCATGAAGAAGTTCAAAGAGAAAGAACCTGTATTTGTTGAAAAAATGATTGAGGATTGCCAAAGGAAGAGATGCATAGAAGAGAAGAGACTGCACTCCCTAGAGAGAGATGTTGAGGAGAACTCCAGAGAGCTTGAAAATAAGAAACAGCAAGTTGTTTGTGTTGAACAACAATTGAATTTATATTTCCAACAGATTAAAACAAAAGAGAGAGAATATGGTGCAATCCAAAGAAGCATAGAAGAACTTGACAGTGAGTTTGAAGCAAAGAGAGAGCAACTTAAATCAGTACAGAAGTTGATTAGTGAATGTGATAGGCAGCTACAGTTGAAAGAGGAAGAATGTGACAGGGTTCATGAAATTGTTCAGAAGGCAGCCAGTGAATATGATGAAGTTCACAAGAAAATGCAGAGGAAAATTGAAGAACATGACAAGGATCTTGAAGTGCAGCTGAATTTGGTGGAGGACTTTATTAGAGAGTGCGAGCTAGAGCTCAAGACTAAAGAGAGAGAATTTCATCAAGTCTTGGACAAAATTAATAAAGACTGTGAAAGAAAGGAGGAAGAACTCAAGGTTCTTCTGAAAAAACTTGTTGAATGTACTAAGGAACTTAAGACCAAAGAGGAAGAGCTTGATTCAAAGCAAAAATTAATTGATGGACAAGCTAAGGAGCTAGAGTCAGAAAGGAAGAACTTACTTAAGGTAATCTCAATAAGGACCAGTTATTTGAAGGACTGTGAATTGTCGAAGAAGAATTTTGAAAGACAAGCTATGGAGCGGGAGTCAAAGGAGAAGCAAATTGAAGATTGGGTGAAGGACCTTGAATCAAAAGAAAAGCAATTTGAAGTCAAGGTGAAGGAGCTTGAGTCAAACAAGAATAAGTTTGAAGTACAAGCAGACGATCTCAAGTCAAAAGAGAAGCATTTTGAAGAACAGGTGAAGAAATTCAAGTTTAAACAGAAACAATTTGAAGAGCAAGTGAAGGAGCTTGAGACAAAACAGAAGCAATTTGAAGAAAAAGTTATGGATTTTCAGTCTAAAAAGAACCAATTTGAAGGACAAGTGACAGAGTTCAAGTCAAAGGAGAAGCACTTTGAAGGACGAGTGAAAGAGTTCAAGTCAAAAGAACAGCAACTTGAAGAGTGGGCGAAGGAGCTCAAGTCAAGAGAGGACGAAGTTGAAGGCCAAGTGAAGGAGCTTGAATCACAAAAGAAGCATTTTGAACGCCAAGTGACAGTGCTTGATTTGAAAGAGAAGCAATTTGAAGCTCAAGTGGTGGAGCTTGGGTCAAACAAGAATAGGTTGGAAGTACAAGCAAAGGAGCTCAATTCAAAAGAGAAGCAGTTTGAAGAACAGGAGAAAGAACTCAAGTTTAAAAAGAAACAATTTGAAGTGCAAGTGAAGGAGCTTGAGTCAAAACAAAAGCAATTTGAAGGAAAAGTTATGGAGCTTCAGTCAAAAGAGAAGCAATTTGAAGAACAACTGAAGGAGTTCGAGTCAAAGGGGAAGCACTTTGAAGGACAAGAAAAATATCTTAAATCAAAAGAAAAGCAGCTTCAAGATTGGGAGAAGAAGCTCAAGTCAAAAGAGAACGAAGTTGAAGGCCAAGTGAAGTACATCGAAACAAAAATGAAGCATTTGGAACACCAAGTGAAGGAGCTTGAATCAAAAGTGAAGCAACTTGAAGTCCAAGGGAAGGAGCTGGAGTCAAAAGATGATAATTTTGAAGTACAACCAAAGGAGTTCAAGTTAAAAGAACAGCAGTTTCGAGGACAGGTGAAGGATCTTGAGTTAAAGCAGAATCAGTTTGTTGGAAAACTGAAGAAGCTTGAGTTAAAAGAAAAGGAAAAAATATCGGGTAAATGTTCTTCTGTATCTAGCTTTTTGAACAATTTCATTCCAATTGTTTCTTTTAATGTTGTTGATATTTTTATTACACAATCTACATATTAAAATACTCTTGAATAACGCTAATGGATCTCTTATTCAAATTGAAAGGCTTTTCTAGTGTTTATACACACATATTGAACCAATATCTGCTAGCTAAACATACAGTTGCTTTTTACCCAGATAATCAATCGAGTCCCACCATCAATGGCAGAATTTTGCTGTTGCTCCCTAGTGAGGGAACAGATGAACTAGGATCTCTTGACTATGAAATTCTAGTTAATCTCCAAGCATCATCAGATCCATCAAAAGTGGTTTTGGATATAATACAGAATCCCATTGCTCCACCATGTAGGACAGGAGACAATGCTATAAGTATTGATGGTAGCCACATCATTCTGCTGGAACAACTGATGAGAATCTCACCACACATTAAACCTCATGTAAGAGAAGAAGCAATGAACCTAGCTCTTGATTTGAAATCTAGCATGAGAGCAAGTACTGAAAATTCTTTGGCGGTTCTGGGTTTTCTACTGCTTGTGTCAATTTATGGATTAGCCTCTTCTTTTGATGAAGATGAAGTTTTAAAGCTTTTCGAACATGCTGCTCATCACAAGCAAGCTGTAGAACTATTCTGGACTCTGGGTTTTGCAGATAAAATCTCTGGTACGCTAAATGAAAACTTTTTTGTTCAGTCTCCAGTATGTCTCTTTTTATCTTTCTGGCATATAGAGCCACTATGCTTTCTCTCATCTCACTTAACATAACATCTAAGGTTAATCAAATATTTAATATCCATAGTCTCTGGATACTTTTACTTCCATTCCTATTTGCAGTCAAGATGCGGTGGTTGTGACCATTCGTGATGAGAATCTAAAGTTGCTACTCTTGTTTATCCTATCCTATAATTTAATGGATCACCATTTGCATACGTACTAAATTAACTAGTGGAAGATATTCTGAACAGATAGAACAACTTTTGTTTAAATTTGGTAATGTCAAATATTTGTGGATTATGAGGAAAATTTTTACAGGACATACAAATATAGTAAGGTTAAGATTAAGATATTAGCTGTTGGTCATAAATTAAAGCGATATTCTGTTGAAAAATGTAATTGGCTTCACAAACATGAATAAAAAATTCCGTCTTGCTTCCCATAACAGTTTTCTCTCATTTGTTTAGGGAAAAATAGACATCTTGGTTAATGCATGAAAATTGGAATGGACTTTAATTTCTCTCTTTATTTCTCTGTCTTCCATTTATAAATGGTCCAAGATGTTCTGTTTTATTCCCCACTTTGAATTTTGGATTATTCAGTCCCTTTTGCTTAGTTGTGGTCAAAAAGTTCTGGTTGTGTGCTTTCTTTTCTGCCTTGAACATCATGCACTGGCATGTCCACTTTTAAAGCTATATAGGATTACTCTAGTTGGTTTTGGTGAAGTAAATTTTCTTGGGTCATGCAGATTTTGTTCAGAATCTCATTAAGAAGCAGCAGTATATTGAAGCTGTTAGATTCATTTGTGCATATGGGTTGGCTGACAAGAGTGAACCAGTTGATCTCTTGAGAGAATATGTGCAGAATGCAAAACTGATTTCTGAGAATAGTTGCAAGAAAACAAATTGCATCGAAATCAAGGTTGTTTATCTAATATCCAAAGTCTATTTTCATGAAATATTTCACCTTCATATAGTTGCATGCTAGTTATATTTATGTTGAACGTGAATTCAGGACAAGGCCAGAGATCAAGAAATTACTAGTCTGGTAACTGCTCAACAGTGCATCTCAGACAACAACTTAGAATCTAAGGATTTACTTAATGAGATTCAAGATCGCATTCTTGAGCTAAATTGGCAGAAGGCAAATAGTGATTATAGTGGTACCAAGGTCATACTCCAAAACTGCAACACTTGTTAATGAATATATCTTTGTATCTGTACTTTTATTGAATACTATTTGGGGTACATATTCAATGAGCGTTCTCTCTTGGTTTTTGAAACTCGTAATAAAATTGACAGGGTTATCTGTTTTTGTACGTTTATGCTTTTGTATTTTTATTTCACTCACTTAGGAGTTCATACCACCGTGCCTCACATATTATCTACTGGAATCAATATATTTATGAAAAGGAAAATGACCTTTTATTCACAATATTCGTGTTGCTATAAAAAATGAGACCCTTTTTGTTATCAAGCATAATAATATGATGCCTTTAATATTTTTTATAAAAAATAATTTTATTAATATAATAATTTAATTTAAAATGTTCATAAAATATATTAATTATGCATAATTTAAAAATTAATTGATACTTTATTATTTTATTTTATATTGATGTATGATATACTATTTAAAATAAATAAATACTTTTGATAAAGTTTATTAGAAATGTTAATTTTATTAAGTTTGGCGCATGACATTATTTGATCATATTTCAAAAACAATTTAGGTTTTTTATGTACGAGAATTACTTTTAGACGTGAATTAATCTATTCGTCCACGAATTATCTAAATTTTTTCTAATAAGTTTCTATTTAAAAATTTATAATTGTCTTTGACTTTATAAATTATGTTTAACTTTGAAAATCCTTGGGTTGGGTTTCATTTGAGTACAAGAATTATGATGTATTTTATTTATTCAATAATGGTCCTGAACCATTTGATTATATTTTGATAAAATCTGAATGAAACCTTTAAATCGAGTCTCGATTTAAAATACTTTATAAATTTAAGGACCCAATTATAATCTTTAGAAACATACAAACTTATTTGAAATTTTCAAATGGTTCAGGGATTAAAAGATTAATGTAATCATTTATAAAATATATTACATTTTAAAAGTTTTTATTTTATCATTTAAATAATTTTAAGCACAAATTACCTTTTTTAATTTCAACTTTTTTCGTCTATACATATTTCAAAAAATAGCATATCAAACTCAAAAGAAACATCTAGTTTAGATATAATAAAATATTCTCCTATTAATAACGGTAGATAAGGCAAGGGAAAGAGAGAGAGGGTGAGGGAGGGAGAAGCTACCCATACATAACCACAAAGTCAAACACCCATCTTGAATTCGACTTTGATCTATATACATAATTTAAGTGGCATTAATGCATGTGATATTGAGGTGGCTTTTCCACCAATAAAGCAACGTTTCCCCTTTGCTTCCATTCTCATCACAATACCCATAAGTTTTAGTCGGTGCAATAAGGTTTCACACCATTAAACAATACTTCATCTAATTAAAAAATGAACCCATCCCATAACCAGCAAAGATGAGGCACATGCACCCATCCATTGAAGCATTCCCATATATATCTAGCTAGAGGCAAACTCATACTATCGCCGTATTGGGTTGCATTTTCTAAACTCTCACAAAGAGATACATCAATATCATTCAACATATTCAACAACCTCAACAAAAGTGAAAAAAATGACGGTAAGCAACAACAATCCTTTCTTGGATCGATATATAGGTTGTATATATATGTGCATGAGGATTAATTTAAATCAATGTTTCCTTCTTTATCTAATTTATTTCAGATCATAGAGATGAGAGTACACATGGATTGCCCTGGATGCGAAGACAAAGTAAAAAATGCACTACAAAAACTTAAAGGTATCAATCTATAAATTTACAATTTCTTGATCAATGGACTAATTATTCATGTATCTATTTTTTTATACCCCTTTTAATTCTTGTGTCTGTTCTTATGTATAAATGATTTTGTTAAGGTGTGGATAACATTGAAATAGACATGAAGCTGCAAAAGGTGACTGTGAATGGCTATGCTGACCAAAAACAGGTTCTGAAAACGGTTCGAAAAACTGGGCGTAGGGCTGAACTATGGCAGCTTCCTTACACAATGGAGTCACAGAACCAATATTTTCAACAGCACCATTGCAATGGCCCTGTTACCTACTATGCTTCTCAACCTTCCTCATCTTATAACTACTACAAGCATGGTTATGATAGCAGTGACCCTCGCTATTATAACTATCCCTCACAATCTTCCATCTTTAGCCATCAAACTGGTGCTACTTTTAGTGATGACAATCCTCACGCTTGTGCAATTATGTGATCATGTCATGGTGATCATACCAATCAAAACAATATAGGCTTTTTGAATATAAAGTTTATGGAGCATTATTATTTAAAATATATGTAATAATGCAAGTCTCTTATCCCATTTTGAAATTTTTCTTTCGAGTGATCCAAGTTTGTAACTTCGCTTCTTTTTCAATTAAACGTGGAAGTGCACTAATGATGATGGAGTCCGTCATCACATTAAAGTCAACTAGCTAGTTTTAGTATAATTATTTAGCTCTAGAAATAATGATGATTTTGAATAAAGTATGAGAATTGGTGATGTCATCTGATGTACACCTTCATTTATTTCATTAACTTTTGTCATTAACTTTTTGTGGATTTTTTCATTTACCTTTTATGTTTGCTTCCACAATTCTATTACTTTATTTATGTTATAATTATTTGGCTCTAAAAGTTATGACATATTTCTAATTCTGATATTAGTTGGGTCAACTGTTTCTTTTATATTAGCTAGGAAAACGGGCATGGGATTGGGTTTGGCCAGGAATGGAGAAAGCCCACTCAGCCCATCTTGTTTAAATTGGTTCAACTTTAGTTCACTCAAAAAGCCCAAAAGTTGACCTAAAAAGCTCAAAACAAATTGACAACCAAAATCACGAAATTTATTTTTTCATGAAAAAAAATGGAATTACCAAGTGTATCATTTTCTTTTACAAGTTAGATTATATCAAGAGGTTCTTTCATGCTGTTACATGATAGGCTCATACGTATTTTAATATTTTTGTTCTTTCAAAGTTTCGCTTTCCTACCATCAATTATATCTTTATCTACACCACAAATCTTGTCTATATCCGATTGTAATGGTATAATTTCTGTCATTGTGATACCACCATGACTTAGTTATTATCACTCTCATAATATTCTTCATATTTATAATAATTTCTACAAACATACACACTAATTGTTGACTTGCTGGGGTTCCTATTCCTGTCACGTTTCTTCTTTTCTATGACAGTTTCCATGTTAAAAACACAGTAAAATATTGTATGATGGAAACTGAGGGTTAGTCATTGGAGCAAGTTTCTTTGTCTCATACTCTCACTACAAAATTGGATTTAATTTCTTTTAGCTCTTTTTTTAAAGAAAAACTTTAATATAACTGAAAATTTTTTAAAGTTAAAATCTCACATTTTAAATTTGTAATTTATTTTTCCCTTAAAATTTGAAAACCAGTGTAGGCACTTATTAATGATTAATAAGTAGAAAATAATTCAATTAAATAACAAATAAGAATGTAATTTATTGTATAATGTAGCTTTTTATTTTATTTTTAAATTAGTGTTTCCAATTCCTGTTAGTTTGCACCATCTCACCAATCTTAAAAACAAAATTAAATTAAGTCCTAACTGAACAAACAAAATCTGTATAGTATGCTCACGGGGCAATGTTTTTTACTCACCCGTTTATATTTATAAATTTAACATAAGATTTTCGTTAATTACTAATCAGATTTGCGTACACTCTTACATTTATTTCGTTATTAACGAAATTCTGGCAACTCAGTTTTATATATATATTTGCTTGGCTTCTGTAGAAGCGAACTTTGAAATTTTCACTGTTAAAAAGGGCAAATTTAATAGAAAAAAAAAAAAAGACACGTAGTAAATTTTGTATGTAATGCACAACCAGGCTATATATGTAGGGAATAATGAAATAAATGGTATTATATATTAAATTCAGTGAAAAAATATATTTAATATTTTTATTAAATGTGAAATTTAACCATTATTAAAACAGAAAATATTTTATATGATTATAGATTATAAATTATAAAAAAACTGATAATTATAATGTCTTTAAAATTAAACCCTTTATTGAATTAACAAATATATTTAGTCATAAAATTTTGTAATCTGTGCTATATTACGCATATAATAAATTATATATAACAATTTTTTTATTAAAAATTACATAATTCAATGCAAATTCAATATATTAAGAGTACTAAATGTTACAATATAAAAAAATTATTATATATAACTTTTTATCTTGTGTAATATAAGTTAAAAATTGATTACTTATTTATAATTTATTTGTGATTAGATAATATAATATTATATATTATATTAAGTAATAAATTAATATTTAATATTTAAAATTACAATAATAGAATTACTGCATTAATATAAAAAACCACATTATACATTTTATATAAAAAAGATAAAAAATTACACATAAATTTTTACAGTCAATGAAATTAAATTTACTTATTTTTAAAAATAAAAATTAATTAAAAATAAAAACATGAACGGTTCAAACTGATTTTATTAGCATTTTTTACATTTATTTTATCGATTTTGGATTGATTTAACTGATTGTGAACCATTTCTCTTTTAAGTTTTTAGTTTGACTAATTTTTAAAATTGAATGGATTAAATGCTTACCTGTCCCCAGATCATCCAGTCAAACTGATCCATCCAACCTCAGTTTTAAGACAATGAATTACTCAATACCTGTTTTTAGGAGAATAGAGAAATGGACAAAAAAAATTTGTTTGTTTTTTTATTTTTGGTTTTTAATTTTAAAAAATTACATTTTAAAATAATTTTAAAAACGATTTTTAGAAAAAAAAATGAAAATAAAACTTGCTCGTTAATTTAATTTTTAAAAATATTTTTAAGATGATAAAATAAAAAAAATAAAAACACTTTAAAGCTATTCTTATTTTTTAGTTTTAAAAATTGAAAATAAAAAATAAATTTTTAAGAACTCTCATTTTGACAAATAAAATTTATTTTTTTAACTCTTAAAAAAGAGAAAATTATTTTTTAAAATAAAAAAATAGACAATCCTTAACTCTCCTAATATTTTTTTTAATAATTATATAATTATGTAAAACAAAAAATATAAGAATATAAAATATGAAAAGTGATGAAAAAAAAAAACAATGATATAACGTTGACAGGGTCTTTGAAAAACAAAGCATCATCTGAATAGGGAAAGATCAAAGACAACAGCACTCACTACAAACAAAGACAAAACACGAGTTTGAAGTGCACATCACCTCACTCAGACAAAACATTAATCAATTTAAATAACGAAAATTCACAAGTTATAAAAGGCAAAAGAAACGCAAGACCATGATTGGCCTTTGAGTGAGACGCGGCACGATACCATTGGTCATAAGATGTTACCCAAGATTTGACACGACACGTGGATCCCATTCACTGGTTAGAAATCTACTTTAGTCTCTGCTCTCACGCACGTAAGCATATCCGTAGAGTCAATGTCGAGCACAAAAGGACCATAAAGTCAAAATGAAGAAAAGACAGGGACTCGTTCGACATTTCGCTCCCCCACTCTTTTCTACAGAACCTCGAGCAAGAAGAATCAGAGAGAGAGAGAAAGAGATTTCACAATTCCCAAACCCTAATTTCGAAAAGATCGGCGATGGCTTCCTCCAAGGATCGCGAGAACTTCGTCTACATCGCCAAGCTCGCCGAGCAGGCTGAGCGATACGAAGGTTTGAGATTCTCTGTGTTTCTCACTCATGCATGCACATCGATGTGAAAAAATTAAACTGTTTTAGTCAAATTGGTTTACTATTTACTGGTTAGTGTAACTATGATTGCCAGGAGACCAGAGAAAAGGGAATCGGTAAGGGTTTGGGGTCCTTTTTAGAGGAATATAGTTTTTCATTATTTGTTTTCTGAATGGCTACTTCAATTTTGTTGTACTGCATGTTAAAGTTGTGGTGTGATGCTTAGGTGTATGTTTTCGTTCTTTCTTTGATCTTATCTGATGTGAAGCTTGATTAATGATGTTTTGTTCTTGCATCTCTTCGTGACAGAGATGGTGGATTCAATGAAAAAGGTTGCAAATCTCGATGTTGAATTGACAGTTGAAGAGCGGAATTTGCTTTCTGTTGGGTATAAGAATGTGATTGGTGCACGCAGAGCGTCCTGGAGGATCCTGTCTTCCATAGAGCAAAAGGAAGAAACAAAAGGAAATGAAGTGAATGCAAAACGTATTAAGGAGTATAGGCAGAAGGTTGAAACAGAGCTCTCAAACATATGTAATGATGTTATGAGAGTGATTGATGAACACCTTATTCCTTCAGCTGCAGCTGGTGAATCCACTGTGTTTTACTATAAGATGTGAGCATTCGTGTCTCATTCTATGCCACAAGTTTTGTTTTAGTGCTATATTTTTGTTTCGCACAAGTGGATTGTGGGATGTTCAAATATTCTGCTTGCAGGAAAGGAGATTATTATCGTTATCTTGCCGAATTTAAGACAGGCAATGAGAAGAAGGAAGCTGCTGATCAGTCAATGAAAGCATATGAGGTGCAATTTATAAATTTATTGTTTTTACAGTTCATTTGATGTTTTTCATGTGGTTCTGTCCTATGGATGGTTATTTACTGGGTTCATTAAAAATATGCATTGCCTGTTAGCAATTGATCTAAAGAGGATTCTTTTGCTCTTCATTTATGGTCTTGTTTTGACCCTTTTTTTCTTTTTCTTTTTCAAACCTTTTTGTTGACATTTGATAACTCTTGTGGCTTGAGAAAAAAATGTTTAATATGTTTACATGATTTTGACCCTTCTACTTTGACTCACCAACCCATTTTTATGCTGGGTACGTTGCTCCTTAACTAGTATATTGCTTTAAGGTCTATTGATGATACTGCCAGTTATTGTTCTATATTTGATGTGATCAACTTTGATGTGTTTGGAAAAAGAGAACGTGTTAATCTTTGTACTTCTTTTTTCCTAGGATTGAATCAATATTTTCATTTTTATTTAGTCCCATCTGTTCTGCTTGTTTCCTTATGTTTTTTTTTTCTCTGGCATATATTTAACAAAATGATTTTTGGAAGAGCTGTTATTCAAAGGATTTTTCCTCTTCAGAATACTTTATCTTTGTATCCCCTACATAAAACTAGTATGTTTTCTTTATTGCAGTCTGCTACCACTGCAGCGGAGGCTGAATTACCCCCCACACACCCCATCCGATTGGGTCTTGCTTTAAATTTCTCAGTTTTCTATTATGAGATCTTGAATTCACCCGAAAGGTTTGTTGGTTTGATTCTTAGCGTGGATTATGATTGCATATTGCTGTTTTCTGTTTAATGTGGAAAGTTGTGTTCTTTTTCAGAGCCTGTCACCTTGCAAAGCAAGCTTTTGATGAAGCTATTTCAGAGCTTGACACCTTGAATGAGGAGTCTTACAAAGATAGCACATTGATCATGCAACTTCTCAGGGACAACCTGACTTTGTGGACTTCTGACATCCCTGAGGATGGAGGTAATTCTTACTGGAAGACTTATAGTAAACTTCTTTTTATTATTTCTATAGTATAATTTGTGGAATCACTGATTTTCGTTGGCTGTTAATTGTGAGAATCATGTTCATGTTGCTTCTATTTTATAAATGTTTACTCTATTTTTCTCACTTGATGTTGCAGAAGATGCCCAGAAAGTGAATGGCACTGCCAAACTTGGTGGAGGTGAGGATGCAGAGGTGAGTAATTCTTTTGTACTTGGTAGCCATAATTTCATTGGATTTAATTGGAATGTATTGATAGTATAAAACTTTTAACACTTTTAACTAATGATGGATTGTCATATCATTTAAAATCTTAATTTTTGTGATATCTTCTTTAGAAGTCAAATTTAGGGTGTTATCTAATTGGTTGTCTGTAACTAAAATTTTTACATTAACAGTATATCAAAATTAAACTCAATTTTGTTGCTGCTTTGTTAGCTTTAGTTTATTCATCTCATTACTCTTTTTTGCAGTGAGGCTGATGGCTGGTGACAACTTCCATAGGATTTGACGCATGTGTTTGGAAATGAAACATGGGGGCTGATTACTTATCTGTGTATTAGCTAGAGATAGGTTCCATTGTTTCCTCTTTCTCTCTCTGTTTATTGTTGATCAGCCATACTTCCCGATAGGGGAAAAGATACTCATTTGTGCTATAATTATGGTATGTTTTTATTTGTGTGGTGTCTGGAAAATGGCCTCTTTCATTCCTAGGCTTTTTCCTCCTGTCCGGGGGATTTGATTGATGAGGATTGTTTATGGTGTATTTCTGTACCAATGAAATGTTGCAACTTTATATGGAGATACTGCTATATATTCGATATTGATTCTTCCATAATCACTTTATCTTGACTTCCATTCCTTGCCAATTCTGTTGCCACCAATTGTGGAGGACAAATAAGAGTGATGTGGCTGTTCGGAGCGCTTGATGTTGTAATCTGGAAAATAGACAAATGTATTTTGAATAGTTCATTTTGTGATGAAAATAAATTATTACTAAGAGCTTGGTGAAACTGCAATTAATTTTTTTGGAAAAAAAAATACTGCTCTCGTAAATTATATCCAAACCCAAACGTGATCTTAGTTTTCTAGTAGAGGATTCACTTGATCATATTTCGTACGTATGTAGCTACTATTTTCAAAACTGAATGAGAATCATGAATGGAAATTGGTCTAAACTTACCTAACTGGTGAACTATTCGTGTAATTTGCATGAAGGGCCCCCAAATCAGTTTTCTTTACCAAGCTGTGCATAGGTCATTATCATCAACACTCGTGTGATTGTGCCATGTAATTTGAGGGATTATATTTTTTATTTAACTCATGATTTGTTTTTGTACATTACATGAATATTATGAAATAATGTGAGTAAAAATTTTAAAATATATTATATCGATGTTCTTAAATTAAATAAATTAAAAAATTTAAAGAGAAAATATTTTTATTATTAATAATAAATATTTTGTTATATTAAATAAGATTAAATTAAACAAATAAATTATAAAATTAAATTAAATATTCAACACAAGAGAAACTAAAACTCATAGCAAAGAAGTTAATAATACTAATAATTCTCTTTTTTAAAATTATTTTTAACAATGGTTTTAAGAGCAATAACTCATAATTAAACATATTGAGGCAGTTAAAAAACTAGTTATTGAAATTATTGTAAAATATATACACAGTTATAATTAATTATGAAAATTTTAAATTTATTTCATTAATTTTCAATGAAAAATATTAACCTCAGATATAGGAATTGGGTTTAAAAAATTAATAGTAGTAAGATTTTATTAAATATATTTTTACACGTTAAGAAAACTAATTTTTAGTTATTATTTTGATCTTAGCAAAATCTCCAGATTTCTTCGAAGATTGTTTCACGTTCTCATAATATAAGGGAGTATATGGAATCATGGAATATCCACAGGATCATGCTGGGGACGCTATTACCTAAGGCTGATAAATTATGCTTTCTGCGTCGGAGAAGATTGAGAATATGATATCACGCAGCAAACTTTGATTTTACTCCACTCGGATTCCTCCAACCACCACCAGGTGATGCTCTTCAATTTGATTGGTCTCTGAAACACATGATTTATGCCATTCGGATTGTGTTTGTTTCTGACTCTTTTATTTCTTTGTTTTGTTTGATAGATCCTTAAACACAATGAAAAATCAAATTACAACTAATAGGTTGAAGTAAAGGTGAATCTATGATCATTTGTCGCACGTTTGGATTCGCGTTTATATATCTATGAATTCATGATTACTTTAATGCTAATAGGAATAGTTTATGCGTTAAATATACGTTTACAGATCTTCAAATGTGAATTCAAAATCGCACTTAAACTTGAATACAAGCACATTCTTAATCGTAGAATAGAATGGAATGCCTCCAAGTTGGATATCCATTAACAGTGTTCTTGAATTCTGTGTAGTATTTACAGGACAGTGTTCCTCTCATCCACCTCCCATTGTTATATAGCCCTAAACTTGGTTTTCATATGAGCTGCTGCTGTGAGTTCAAAGCTTGCAATGGTGAAGCCAAGGTTTTGGCTGTCATTTTTGATTTGGATGGCACGCTTCTGGACACTGGTATTCTCCCCAACCCCTTTTATTCTCCTTAACCATGGTGCGTGAGAATTTATGTTTTCCATCTGTCATGTGTGTTGGTGATTGGTGTACAGAAAACGCATCGAGGGGTGTATTGAATGAGTTTTTGGCGAAGTATGGGAAAGAATTGGACAGGGAGAAGGAAAAGAAGAAGAGATTTGGGATGACACAGAAGGAGTCAGCAGCTATAATTGTTAAGGACTATGAACTTCCATTGACACCTGACCAATTCATCGAAGAAATCACTCCTTTCTACAGGGAAAGGTAATAATAACATTATCATCCTCTTCCTGTGTTTTCCCCCCAGTTACCTATAGTAAATGTAACAGAGATCAGACTGATATGATGATATCTTGTATGGAATGGAAGGTTGAATACGGTTCAACACCATTGTTAGGTTGTTAAATTAGTAATAAATGTGATTTGTTTAGCTGTTTAAAGTAATTCAATACTTTTTTTACAAAAAATTGAAGTCAAAACTGTAGGCAACTCTGTCATATTTGAGTTACTTACACATGCACTGAATAATAAATTGGTTTAGGTGGGCAGAGGCCAAAGCATTGCCTGGTGCTAACCGTCTTATCAAACACCTCAAGAAAAATGGAGTGCCAATGGCTCTTGCCTCAAATTCCTTGCGAGAATACATAGATGCGAAAATTTGTTATCATAAAGGTAGTGTTGACCAGCTCGTAGTTGTTCAGCATTGACTTTTTATTTTGTTTTTCAATTTCAAATCAGCTAGTCATACTAGTTACTACTTTCAGAATTGATTTCTGAGAAGTTAAATTATATGTAGAGACAGGTACTTGTTTCTAATTAACTTCTGCCATAGATAACAACATAGCTTTAATTCTTTTCTAATTTTTAGCTTCAAGTTTTGTAATCAATTAAATGATTAGCCTAATGAAATTAAAATGAATCATCCATAATCCATATAAAAAATAGAATTTGGAAGAATAATTAACAGTTATATATACTTAAGAAAGCATGCTCTCCAACTGATAAATATTTACTCCCTAGCTGTGCTTTTTTTTTTTTTTTAAAATTGAAATGCTAATCCAAAATTTGATCAATTTACTCAGGGAAAATTTAATGTTATTTGACTAGTCAGTGTGGCTGACTAGCGGCTGAGAAAATGTCAATTGCTTGGAAGTAGGTCCCGGCTAAAGAATTTGATTTAGAAAGGCGCCCTGAAATCATCCACCTTTTTGTATTACTTGCTTTTGTACTTTCTTTTGGGTCATAAATGCTTCTGCCTTCTCATTGACATAATGTTTCCTGCTTAAAACTTCATATTTGATGCTTATCATAATTGGTTTTTGTAGGCTGGAAAGAAAGCTTTCCTGTAATTGTAGGAAGTGACCAGGTTAAATCTGGGAAGCCTTCACCGTATTTGTAAGATTCTCTGCTATATGTAAACTTGTGCACCTTGACTCTGATACGTCTTTTAGGAAACATTTAAAACCTTTAATAGTAATGGTTCTACTGGCAATGAAGAACTGTAATATTTTCCCTGTAGCAAATAAGTCTCCTGCATCCTGAATTTTAACAGAAGTTCACATGACTAAAAGTAAATTGACTGCTATTATCTCAATGGCATGCAATTACATTACATGATTTCTCCAGAATCCTGATCTCCCAACATTTTTTCAGTTTTTACATCTTTTTGTTTTGTAGAACAGTACTTTTTTCAGTCAAGTAAACATCCAATTTTATCACAGTACTGAGAAAGTTTGATTGTTGCAGATTTGAAGAAGCTGCCAAGAAAATGGGTGTAGATTCTGTTAACTGCCTGGTGATTGAGGATTCCTTGTAAGTCTGCCAGAGTTTGTTCAGATTGTATATGATTCATTTGCTATTATGTCTTTTATTGAACTTATAATCAGTTGGCCTGGAGTACTTCATGGCTTTACAAGATTTTGATTGCATGACAAACTGACGGTAAATTATAATCTTGACCAAGGATGGTCTTCTATTTCTGGGGTCAGATTGCTGTGTGCCATCTAAAGTTGGCTAGATAATTCAAACCAGAGAATGATCCCAAATGAAGAGCTCACTGTACCACCAGTGATGATGAAGCCTATAATGGATTATACCATCCACCAATCTTTTGGCCATATCCAAATCTAGAGGCTTACACAGATAAATGTGGATGACTGTTGAGTGCAAAAGGTGTGAAATGTTAGAAGTGTGTATGTGACCCTATGCAATTAGATGAACCACTTTTGGCTGAAATGAACATCATAAATGAAGTCCAACCTTTTGCAATCCCTCTTATTTTTAGTCACTTTATTATTGGGATTACCTGCATATATAAAGGTTGGTCTTAGGAGACATTGACTACGAATTCTGAACTGCATTATTTAAAAAATAAATAAATAATAATGCATACACTATTCATGATCCAGTATTTGCCCCAAGATACGTTTGATGAATTTTATAAGCATAGGTGGTTCTTGAGGGATTTCTATATGTTGAGCAGAGTTAATCTCTACCACTAGGTATCCATCTTGGATATTGAGCATATCACTTTCCTTGCTTTTATTCACCGTTACAATGTGTTACAGCATCTGCACGCACCTTTTGTGCATTCACTCAGATTTTTTTAATATTTAATCATATTTTCTGCATATAATTCATGTTGTCCAATGTACTCAACAGAGTTGGTGTCAAGGCAGCCAATGCTGCAAAAATGAAGGTAGTGGCTGTTCCATCTCGAAAGGAAGCTGATTGCTATGGGATAGCAAATGCTGTTCTTCATTCACTTCTGGAGTTTCAACCTGAGCTATGGGGTCTTCCACCTTTTGATGACTGTAATTCACATTATGGTTTCTAAGTTTGTTTATTGGTTCCTGCAAACACCGTGTTCTCCTATAAAAAAATTTCAAACTAATGTTGTCAGGGGTAGATAACACATTGCCTATTGAACCAATTCATCTAAGTGGTTTGTATGTTACTGGATCTCTACAGGAAACCACAGGTTTGTGAAACAACAGACTTTCTCATTTCATAAAATTGGTAACATGAGCAAAACACTTTTGCCTTTATGAGCTTTCATGTTTCCAATTATATGTTTATTGCATTAGATTTAAAAGTCATCTCCAATAACATAAGTTTCAAATTCAGTAGGAATGTACTAATCTCCGTATATATAAAGTAGCTGACTTAACCATTTCATCAAATTTAGCTTTTAAAATGGTTTTATCATCAATATGATAAATTTTATTTCTTAATACAGAGAATACAAAATTTGATCTCCCTGATCAAGTTTTTGGGCTTTTCTTCGGTTGGGCCAAGGTTGATATGGATAGGAACTTCAAGATATTGGTTAGCATTAGTTGGGACTTCTCGTGTGTTGCCTCCAGAAAAATAGTGAGTAATCAGTTATAAAACTCGACAGTTTCTTTTTTTAGTACAAGTCAGGAACTTCTGGTGCACCTTTTAGTGCTCGTGTCTTCTCAAAATTCTAATGAGTTGCTCCATTACACATTTACCCTGATTTCTTTTACTTGAATGGAAGCTCATAGTCTGGACAACTGCATTGTTTTTCTCGAACCATAGACATTTTTATAGGTTGATCCTTTCCTTGATTATGTGATGATGCTTATTCCCTTTTGACCACGCTGATGGTTGTCATTAATGGAGATTGTTTGGGGCTGATTTTGCAGCATGTTTGCCTTATTGACGCAAACAGTGACCTTAATTCTAAGCAGCACATGCAAATCTATCTTGTTGGCTACATAAGAGCGTGGGATAACAAGGTACTGATATGATCTTTTTGATGGAAACATCTAACTTGGAGGCTATTGTTTTGTTGCAACCAAGAGCTCACGATGAAGAGAAAAGATGCATTAAACATTATTATTCATATTTTAGGGAAATTTAATGATCATTTGCAAAATCATATCTATTGTGCCTATTTGTTTTAAAGTTGGATAAAATTGATTTTAATAGAAATATTAAATCAATGAACATAATTACAACGTGTGTCCAAATCAATCAAAGTCGTAAGTTTATTTTGGAATGTGTATTTTTTATTAGAAAGTAGAAAACAACCAGAGGTTAAGTGTTTTCCTTCTAATATATTATTTGTTGAATTTTACTAACCCTAAGAGTAATAGTTAAAGAATTGAAAGTAGATTTTATATATATATATATATATATATATATTTGTCTGACAAAAACCTTCCACTTTTGGTTCCTTAACCTGTGCCCATAGGGAGCACTACTTAGCATTTGCCTTATATGTTTTGCTTGCATGAACAGAAACTCACGTCAACGGAATTGGAAAAACTTGAAGAATATAAGTCCATTGCCAGAGCTTCACTGGATTTGCCATCGTTCACTTGTTTCTAGAAAAGCTTTACGCGGAGGAGACAATCAAGTGACCTTATAGTTGGAGAAGATGGGAGTAACCATTATGTAACTTGTTGCAGCTCTCATAATAATTAAATTAATTTTATAAAGTATGATATGAAATGATTTATTGGGAAATGCTTGTAATAATTGATTAATTATTTATTATTAAAAAAAATAACTAATAATAACATAGCAATCAATTGTTGTTCTCTATATCATCCATGAATTTGGGGAAGAAAGAAGAATGATGTTTTTAAGCTTACCTGTTGTATTAAAGCGCAAATGCTTCTGCCGCCTTAAATTGCATATACATAAACAGCCCATCATGTTGCAAGTTCTGAAATGCCATTATCATCTGCTTTCACAAAGACATGGAAGTTACTATGACAAGTTTGGTGAAAAGCCCAAGGTAGGCAACAACTAGATGTTGGCATCTTTCGTTATGAGAGTTAAGCATTTAAAAAAGATGAAATTATATATATATATATATATACACATGCATTTTGAGTAAAAAAAAAATTGTCAAAATGAAACTTATATTCTATTCATAGCGGAAATTAATTTAGGAAATGGAAATGAATCTAATGGGCCTGCATCAGACCCAAACCTCTATTCTATTCATAGCGGAAATTAATTTAGGAAAATGATTGGTTAAATGGGTGGAGAAGAGAGAAAAAGAAGAAGAGAGGTATAAAAATAAAAGGTTTAATTATATTTTTGATTCGTATAAATATTGAGTATTGTATGATAAATTTTTATAAAAAATTTTGTTAGGATTTAATTTTTGAAATAGTAAGAAGTTAGAATTTAATTTTTGCCGTTAACTTTTCTCTGTTAAGTTATGAGCTAACAAATGAAAAGCTAATTCAGCACTGACACGTGATAGTATATGGCTTGCCATGTTATTTAAATTTTTTATTAATTAAAATTAATATTTATAAATTAATCCCTAAACACATTTTACATAAATTACAAATAAACTCATCATCTTACTTTCTCCTTTCTACTACCCCACTCCTCCTCTTCTCCTTCCCCCTCCCTGCACCTCTATACCTACCTCCACCCTTTCTCTTTCTCTTTCTCTTTCTCTTTTTCCTTCCCCACATTTTTATTCCCTCGGTTCCTTAAAATGCAATCTCTCCACCTCCCCTAAATTGTTATCTCACTTCCATCACTCCACCAAAATCCAACTCTAATTTCCATCCTTTTCACAATACTTATTATCAATATAATGCACTTTTATGTTTATTAATATTGTGTTGGATTTAGCAAGGTCTCTGCATGTGTACAAGCTTAAGATCATACTCACATTCAAAATTATTTACTTAAGAGAAGCAGAAGAAAGTTAGAGTTTTAAAATTTTGCATATAAAAAAAGTATATGTTTTTTTTTCTAAGGTTAGAATTAGGATGCGGGGAGTGGTTAAGTAGCGAGAAGAGTATGGGAGTTGGAGTTGGGGTTGGGTGACGGGAGAAGTGTGGATAATAGGAGGGGTGTGGAGGTTGGAGCTGGGATGGATAGTGGAGAGGGAGATAAAGGAGCACGAGAATTGGAGCTATGTTGGAATTAAGATGTTGGTAAGAGTTAGAACTTGGTAACGGGAGGGGTGCGGATAATGGGAGAGGTGTGGAGGTTGGAGTTGGAATTGAGATAAGATGTGGGTAGGGGTTTGGGCTTAGTAACGGGAGGGGTGTGGGTAGCAGAAGAGGCATGGAGGTTGAAGTTAGGGTGAGTAGTGGAGAGAAAGATGGAAAGGGTATGAGAGTTGGAGTTGGGTTGAGATTAAGATATGAGGAGGGGTTGGGAGTTTGGTAACGAGAGAGGTGTGGAGGTTAGAGTTAGGGTAAATAATGAAGAGGGAGATAGAAGGGATGCAAGATAGGGATAGGAGAAGAGTGGAAGTGGAAAATAGGTGCTGGAAAAGAGTGGGGTGAGATGGGGAAAGGGGTGCCAAAAAGAGGTGGAATTAGAGGAAAAAGTTGAGAGTGGAAATTGGGTTGGAGTAGTTGGGGTGAAGAGGTTGGAGGTTGACAGTAGGGTTGTAGTGCTCCTAAAGAGATGGGTTGGTGATAAATCTATATTTTTATTGATATTTTAGCATAATTCTAACACAATTAATAAGAAAAATATATGAAAAAAGTAGAAAAACTCAGAAAAAAGAGAAGGAATTGAAGTTTGTTTACATATGTAGTTATTTTAGCAATTGTAAAAATTTTGCTTAAAAATTAAGTTTTTAATCTTGTTTTTGAAGGAATAAATTGAGCAAGGATCATGGAAATGGAGGCTTGATGACAAGGAAGAAGAAAGAAGCAAGTCTGGACTCCAAAAACACAAGACCAAGAAAAGGCAGACTGGGCGTGATCACTATTTTCAGTAAAAGTGATCACTCCAGAGTTCAAAGAAGAAGAAAGCCTGGGCGTTATCACTTCTGCTAGGAAAAGTGAGAGATCCTGTGAAGTCTCAGACTCAACATGCTAGGCGTTATCACTTTTATCAGTAAAAGTGAGCGTTCCAGAGAGGCAAATATCAGGAAAAGCTCTGCGTAACCACTATTATCAGCGAAAGTGAACGTTCCAAAGAGCCTTCAACCTGACGAGTTGCGCATAATCACTTTTATTCATAAGAGTTATCATGCGCAACCACTTGAGCTCTGCGTAGTCACTTTTATCAGCAAGAGTGATAGTTTCAGAGAGCCCTCAATATCAGGAAAGTTGCGCGTGATCACTTTTTCTCATAAAAGTGTTAACACGCAACCATAAACCTTCTGCGTGGCTACTATTTCTCATTAAAGTGATAACACGCAAATCTGAAAAATTCTATAAATAACAGAAACATGCAGATTTTTTAGGAGTTCAGTTTTATTTTTAGTTTTGTTAGTTAGATTCTCGTTAGAGGAAGTGAGAGAGAGGAGTGAGGATTCGAATCTTGGAGCTTCACGAAGAGGAATTGGAGTGGAGTAAGCTTCCATGGCGTTTCTGAGTTTCTTCTTCTCTTCTTATCTTTCTTTTTCTTTCTCTACTGTCATGGCTGTGTAATTTCTTCATAGTTAGGGATTGTAGATCTGAAACGAACATGTTGAATTGATTTGGATCTGAATTTCAAGCTTTGGAATAGATTGAGTGATTGATTCTGCACTTCACGTGGAAATTGAATGGGAATTTGATTAACTAAATTCAGAGAAACTTTTATCAATGGAAATTGAATTTGTTCTTCAGATCTGAACCAATCACCGAGATTATAGTTTTCTTAGGGATAAGAGGCTTTGATCTTGCAATCTTCTGGTTTCTTACACTTAAAGCAATATTGAATTGAATCATATCTAAGGAATTAGAATGGTTTAATTGAATGTCAGGTTCACTAAATTGAGGAATTAACCTCTGAATAATATAATGTGAAACTGATTATCATTCTTTCCAATTACTTGTTAATTCAGAACTTTATTGATTAAGCATTGGAGTTTTAGTGAAGCAATTCCCTAACTATGTTTTTTCCCTCTGTTATCACATAATTATTTGTTCATTGTTCTATTTCCTCAAGTTTCTTTTACTCCTAATTGTTCTGGTTTGTTATTATTACATGTTACTACTCTTCTTCCAATTTCGAAAAAGCTCAAATGGTTATAATTTTATGAAGTGATACTTGAAACTTAAATTTCCTGTGGAGACGATATTTGAATCTTAAATTTACTCATTACTTACTGCAATCCTAGTGCACTTGCTAGTGTTAGATTGCGAACAACAGTTGGGAGGAAAAAGAAAGTTTTTTTTGCAAATATGTAAAATATGTTCAAAAACTTTTTTACAAATATTTATTTTAAATAATAAAATAAATGATATAACATGCTATGTGTTAGTACTAAGCTAACTTTTTGTTTGATCAGCATTTAACAGAGTTGACAACAATAATTAAATTCTAACTTCCTAATATTTTAGAGATTAAATTTTAATAAAAATTTTACAAAAACTTATCACAAAATATCTTATATTTATAAGAAATAAAAATATAATTAAGCCAAAATAAAAAGAAAGAAGGGATGAAGAACAAATGTAAGAAAAAATGGATCTAGAAATGTAGATGTGGATTGACTTAAATACAAGTCTCAATTTTATTTCATATAATTAATTAATTGCATCAAAGCCCATTATAGTGGACTGTAAATTAGATGTACCCTAAACCACGGATGCAACTATTCCATCATCAAATACATGCACAATCAGAAACATAATTTTTTATACACCCAACACTCAGTAACGAGTATTCCATGGTTTGCATTGGTTGCTCAGATCGGCTTTATGTCGTCTTGCACTTCTCTCCACCTTAATCACTATTTCTCGAAAATCACACCCACATCCTACAAAATCTATGTAACTTTCACTACAACAATACTCTACAAAACAATTACTTGTTGAGAAAGGTGGTAAAGAAAAACAAAATGAAAGAAAATATTGGACGGAACAAACAAAGAAATCCACTATTCTACTTCGATCTCTACAAAGCACAAAGCTTATCCCTCATAAGCAGAACCTACATATAAACACACATAGCAAAAAGCTCTCAATTCAACTAAGATTCCAAAGCAACAAAATCACAATTTTCTCTTACACATCAACAATGACGGAAAAGGAAGGAGGTATTGTGAAGAAAGGGCATGAAGAAGGTCTTAAAATGGCAGTTTCTCTACTCCAAGAGTTTGATCTTCCAGCTGGGCTTCTTCCTCTAGCTAATGTGATCGAAGTTGGGTTTGTGAAGGGCACAGGTTACATGTGGATCGTGCAGAAGAAGAAGGTGGAACATGAGTTCAAGATGATCAACAAGTTGGTGAGCTATGACACTGGCATCACAGGCTATATTTCAAAGAAGAAGATCAAAAAGTTGAAGGGGGTGAAGGCTAAAGAGCTTATGCTATGGCCCCCAGTGAGTGAGATTACTGTTGATGACTCTCCAACTGGGAAGATTCACTTCAAGAGTCTTGCTGGTATCACCAAGACTTTCCCAGTTGAGGCCTTCGCTGCTGGCCAGTAATTTATATTAATATCAATTATCCATCAAGCAATATAGATAGATTTATAAGCTTGCATGAAATAATAACAATGATAATAATTGCTTGATTTCTCTACTTTTTTTCTTCCTGTGATAGGACTTAATTCAGCTATATATCAAGGTTAATTTTAATATCTGCTGTTTCTGTTTATCTATCTTTTCAAGCTTTCTATGCAAAATAATAATTGATATGATATGAAAGACTTTGACTTCTGAAAACTCTTACACACGTCCTCATTTATCAAACGTAACACAAAATTACTGCCTTCCCAAAGTAGTAAGGGGGATTTTTCCATTTTTTCTAGTTCTTAAAGAATTTGAATGAAACTGGGTAACCAGATTTGATAAAATGATCATGGATCTTGGTGGATGGGGATGATCAGGATCAAGTTAGATAGAGTTTTGACAAAAAACTAAAACAAAACAAAAGAAGAATCAAGTAAATTTAAATAGATTAAAAATTTTCAACTCATCCAACCTAAATCAATAAATAAGAATGCCTTAATTAATAAGAACGATATTTTAAAAAGAAAAACTAGGGCAGCAAATCGGTATAGGTTCATCAGATTTTAAAAATTTGGTAATGATTGACTGTGTTGTGTTTTATTTAATACTAATTTTTCGAGTTAATTCAAAATTTTTAATTAGATCGCACCAAATTGATGGAATTGGATCCAGCGTCATTCTTTATAGCCGATCTACTTCAGTGGGAGCTAAATAACAGAAAAATGTCCAAATGATTTATTAATTTACATTAATACACATAAGCAGGCCTAAATATATTACAAGTACAACAGCGAATGATCGGTGTTTGAGTACTATCAAATCCTTAATTAAATCGAATTGGATACTCTATTATAGGTATAGCCAAATAACAAGCATTTTTCCCCTGCTGCCAAAAAAGCACTGACAGAACAAATAATTTCTTTAAAATTTATCCCAGAAATGTAAACGTAAAATTTAATGCTCTAATAGAGCATGCTTGCACCACCATTTAAGGAGTGTGATTCAGATAGATAAAAATTCATCAAATTTTGTCAAGATTTTGTGTAAATCTTTTGCTGGTCTTGGGAGTTGCTTTGTTGGCAAGGCATCGCCACAGAATTTCATTTTATTTTTCAACGAAGGATAAGAGAGACAAGACACAGAGTGAAGGGTGAAATTTTTTTTTTATTGTTTCATTCTAATAATTTTTCTGCTATTTTATAAAATAAATAATGAATAAAGTACATATATTTATTATTTAAAAAATAAAAACATTCAATACTTTTTTTATCCAATAATAAGAACGATTTATAAGATAGGATTTAAATTTAATAAGATAAAAAGCATTAAGTCCAGTTGCATTAAATCAATGAGCTACTAAATACGTCAATTACAAAATGTTTAGGGACCAAATCTATGTTCCGCAGGTTTCGCTTGGAGACTGCATCAAATATTTCCTGCCTTTTTTTTAATTAGAGACCTAATTAATTTTATGATTCTCCATGAATTTCAACAAATGTATTAAATATATAGAAATGCTAACAATACACTCTTTATTATTGATCAAAATTTATTAAAAATTAAAAAGTATATTAATTTAAAATAAGAAGAACGAAACTCACGTGATTTTTATAAATTTTTTAATAATAATAAAAAGTATGTTGCGTGGTGCTAGTATTATTCATTAAATATATATGTTTGGTTCTCCAGTTGAAACAGTGCAACAGAGCTTTAGAAAGCTTAACCAACGGTTAATATGATTTTGAAATAATTCCTGTGGCTTCGATCTTTTTTCAATTTTTACTACATCGATTCTTTACATTTCTAAACCCCAAACCAAACTTTGTAATTATCAGGTGTTAAAAGAATTTGTATTACTAACATTTATCTGTAATACGATGGTATGTTTGTTGCAGCATTTTCACTTAGCCTGGTGTGGTAAAACAAAAGATATGGAGGGAAGAAGATCATTTTTGGGTTAGAGGAAAGGAAATAGGAAGCACTTCTTCAGAAGCTGGATAGAAAGATATACATATATGATTTCAAAATGTTGACTAACATCTATTTCTCTGAGGTTGTCCTGCCTAAAAAGCATGGTGAAATGCTGTGTGTATCACAGGGAAAACTGAGATTCCTAATTTGAACTAACAAGGTTTGGTGCAATTTTGGAGCACCTTCTTCAATATTGCTATTGGATTTAGGTGCATGTGAATGCAAATAATATGTATGAATTCTGGTATCTAGAGACTACTACTACTTTTCCTTACTGAATCCTCTAAAAACTGATGGGTTGGCCGGATCATCTCCTTCACCTTTTCTCCATTTTTATAAATTTTAAAAGTTGGAACACTTCTTATGCTTTCAGCTTTTGCTATTGCCAGACACTCCTCCACGTCCACCTTCAATTAAATTTGAAAGAAAATTAGATAGATATTAGATACGATAATTATGTTAGGAAGTACAAAGAAGCCACTTATTTGTGTACCTTAATAAATTTAATAGAGGGATATCTAACACACAATGTATTTATGAATGGAGATATTTCTTCACATAGTTCATTTGATGCCTCTTTGAAATAAACTACCGAAACACCTGAAAAAACAAATTTTCACTAAAAAAATTGCATAAATGAAGCAAGGAAAAAGATGGGCCAATGTTCTAAGATTGAAAGAATCAATGAAATTACCAGCAGATGCAATGGCAGCTTTAAATTTATCTAATGCAGAGATTTCTTCAACTTCAACTCCAAACTTGGTACCATATACCACTTGTCGAGATTTTTCTAATGCTAGTTGAGCTTGATGAAGAGACTCAGCAACTTCATTGTCATTAGGGAGTTCACGTTTTAATGCCTGATAATCTTTAACAACTTCTGTCCATCTTTCAAGCTGCAACAAGATTATACATCTTAAAAAATGAGAATGAATCAACTTCAGAGAACAAAACAACAATGAACACAACCACACATGCACACTGCTAGTGGATTCACCTTTGCATTTGATGCAGCCCTGCGGAAAAGAGCCTTGGTGTAATTTGGTTGAATGTTAAGAGCTTGATTGCAATCTTGAACTGATTGTTCCCACAGTCCAAGTTTAGACCAACAAATAGCTCTATTGCAATATAGAACATAATTGGAACTGTCATACTTAAGGCCTTCTCCATAAGCAGAACAAGCTTCAGAAAATTTGCCAGAGCTGAAAAGATCATTGCCCCTGGAACGAGCTTTTGCCACCATTTTAACAATATTTACAATCCTACCCACTTCAACATTACTGTAATCTAACAGGCTTGCTTTTTCTGCTGCCGCGACAGCATTCTCAAACCTGAAACAATTCATCGTTCTTTCACAACTCATTCATAAAAAAATATACATAGTATTATATTTCAAGTCCAACGTGTTTAGTCTTTACCTTCCCAATGCCATCTCAACCTGCGCAGACACAAAATGAACATAGGCTTCACCAACCATACCAAAGAACTTGACTTGAGAACATGGTAGAGGACACCCTTCCAACTTTGGCATGTTTGAGAGCCTCGATTCAGCATCCTCAAGTTGATGCAGTTTTAAATAAGCTTCCGCCTTGCAAGCAACAATCTGTAACAATCCAACTAGTTAGCCCAATGAAAAATTATCATAAACCAACTATCCTAAAAACTTAGAGCAATTTAAGTTTTATACTTGGTCACATACTCTACCATATCACAAACCAACTATCCCTAAACTTAATATCATTAAGTGAAGATACATGAATAATTTTATATTATGGATGTGTTTAGAAAATTTTATGTAAAATTTATGAAAATAACTTATAATTCTTTCGTAAGTTCTTTGTAACTTATTTCAATAAATTATTTAAAATAAGTTATTTTTCGGTTTATATTAATAAATTTTATGGTCAAATTTATGGTATAAATTGATGTCATGAAACTTATTGAGATAAATTGATTATTTCATAGTATTATAATGACTTGTATCATCAACGAAAAATATTAGAAAATGTTTATAAAAGTCATATTTTCAAAGCTTTTTCAAACTGGATAATCCTTCAAGTAATACGAGCTTATTTGAATAAGCACTTAATTAACGTGTTATCCAAACACATTCTACATCTCCAACAGAGACAACATCCACCATTGGAAAATCCGAAATCTTAGGCACATTTATTTCATGTCATGAGTGAAGAACTTACCTGAGGGGAAAAATCAGCACCAACAGCAATGGCTGCCTCAGATTCCCTAAGTGCCCTCTTCCAATCACCAATCATTCTTGCATCTGCACATCGCTTCAAATGCTTATCCAACAACAACAACTTCTGCTCCTCAGATTCATCCTCTTCAATCCCAGAGAGACAGAGATGCCGCCGCGAATTCTCAACCTGCCCAAACCTACACAGAATTCCCAATTCCAACAAAACCAATCCAAATCACACAAAACCAAATTCAAATCCAAAATTCCGTTACCGTAGATAAAGAGATGCGAGTCTCTTATGAGCTCTCGCATAACCACCCTCCAACTTCACAGCCTCGTCACACTCCCTTGCCGCCTCCCCCAACCTCCCCAACGCCGTCAGCGCCGCCGCACGATTGCTCCGGCAAGCGGCGTTCCCCGGCGAAATCGCGACGGCACGATCGTACAATGCCAACGCCTCCACGAAGTTCCCGCTCCTATACAACTCGTTCCCCAACCTCTTCACCTCCTCGGGATCGGAGCCACTCATCGCGCGCTTCACCGTAAGCGCCGATGCACCTGCACCCACATGATTAGCACCCGACCCTCGCATTATGCTACCGCGCCCGTAGTTCACTGTCCCCGAACCCAACACATCGGTTCGGTTGGGTCCGCGAGAGGGTAAACCCGGTTTCAGGATCTTCCCGGAGGGGCAAATGTTACCGCTCGGGAGTAATGTTGGACTCGAACTCGCTCCGCCGGAGTAGATTAACGGCGCTCCGGCGGAGACCGATCTCCGGTGGCCCGGTCTGGAGATTCTCGCCGCCCCAGAGAGCTCGCCGGAGAGGTTAGTTGGTTTTCCGTTGACGGTGGAACTGGGATCGAGTCGTTTTGAATCCAAGGTGGGTTGTTGCATTGTGTTGGACATTATTATTATTTCTGTGTGTTTATGTTTGTGTTTTTCTGTTGTTTTGGTTATATAAGAGATTCGAAAATGGAAGACAATTAATAATAAAAAAAAAATAGTTTTTACGCGATGCGAATCGAATCTGTGTGTGTGAGGTGTTGGGTTTGGTTTTGTGTTTAAAATGAAGAGAGTAAGAGAGAAGAGGTTTGAGGAAGTCGTGAGTGAGTCAGAGTTTGTATTTATGTGAGAGAGAAACACTGTAAATTGTAGAGAGAGAGAGAGAGTGGCCATAGATTGAATATCGCAGCACCCATTTTATATTTGCATTTAAAAAAAACTATCCATTCTTAAAGACATTGCATGGGTAATAGATTCAATACTTGTATCTTTACTTATTAGATATTCATTAATCATATACTTTACTTCCTTATTTTTATTTTAGTTAATTTAAATGCAACTTTTTAATTTAATTTATTTGATAATTTAATAAAATATGAACATTAATATAATAATAATCTTAATCATAAAAAATAACAGAAATGCTGATTGAAGTATAATATATAACTTAAATGAAAAAATATTTAAAAATAGTTTTGAATCTTAATTATAAAAATTATTATTATTTTATTTAACTAAAAAAAATTAAACTGTCTTTCTAATTTTATTTATAATATTATGATAAATGCATTACATTAATATGCATAAAATTAAATAATGTGACATTTATAATTATAAAATTTGTTAAAAAAAATTTATACTCGTGTTTGAACTCATTTAATAAATAAATATTTACTCGTTAAAAAAATAACTTTTAAAAATACAAATTACATCTAAACTTGCTATTGTGATCTACATTAACGGTATAAATTATACCAAAAATATATCAAAACATAATTATAAATATAAAAATTATTAAATTTAATATTTATAATTAAAGATAAGTAAATAATAATAGTAAAATTTTAATAAAAAATATTTATTATATTTATAACTTTAATACAATAAATGTGTATTTCTTTTATAAAAACTTTTTAATTATAGATACTTAAAATTAACTTTAAAAGGTAGAGATTAATAACACCTTATTAATATATACTAAAACATTCATATTTTACTTAAAAAGCTATTATACATATGTTTAAACAATTTATTTATAAACAATGTACTGTAATACAAGTATTGAATTGATGCTGGTAAGACGGTTAAGACATAAACAGTAAGAATAAAATTTAAATTAATTATTATAAAAATAAATATTTTAATAAATATAATAAATATTTTATTAGCTTAAATAGATTTTTTGGAATATTATTTTTTATTAAAGTTATTATTAACAGAAAATTCATATTTTATTATTTATTTATCATGCATAAAAATTATATTTTCTTAAATATTCTTATATTTATCATCTATTTATAACTAAATATTAATATTTGTTTTGATTATATTAATTTTTATATGAAAAATTAAAATTTGTCGCCAAAAATGTGTAATTTATTTTAAGTTTTTAAATATTCATTTATTAAAGTTTTTCCTTTTGTGTAACAGGTCAAAAATAAGGAGGGAGGAAAAAAATGTATTTAAACTGAAAGGAATAATAACAAAATAAAAGGAAATTTTGATATTTTATTTTTAAATGTAAGCTTTTCCTTTTTCTTTACTTCATTTTCTTTTTACCTTCGTTTAAACTAAACAAATAAGAATGCATCGTTGTTTATATACTCTTTTTCTTTTCATTTCTTTTCTCTTTATTAAACAAACAAAGTATTAAAGTGCGAACATGTGTATTTAGCATTTCTTTTTTCGACTTATAGTTTGAAAATGCTGTTCTATCTTATATACAGACCTTACATAAACTTCCAAGCATGAATTTTCGGATTTTAAAAACATAAAAAATTAAATATGAATTTACACACTAAACTAATTCGAATATATACTAAATTTTGTGTAATAAAATGTCCTAATTAAGAAAATGACGGAAACGTCATCTCATAATCATATCGATTCAACTTTTCTGCATAAAAATGTAAGAAATTCTAAGCATGTCTTCAATCAAGAAGACAACCACTATTCACGACAGTAGATTTTAAAACGTGCCAAGAGGTGGCTATAAATATAATAGTAATTAGTTAAAACAAAAGGCTCAAAATTACATTCTACTTTTAACATCGCAAATTGAATAGTTATAGTTAATAATGGCATAATGAAATAGATTAACCAATTAACTCTAGGGCATGTCTTTTGTCACACAAAATTTCCTGCCAAAAAAAAAGAGTTTGTGAATAGAGACATACCTCACAAACATTTAGATATAACAATGGTTGTTGAGACTTCACCCATAATTAATATATGGCCAAAGCAACAAAAAAAAAAAAAGAGAGATTTTCTTAATCAATAGCTTAAAATGCTACTTAAAAAATTTAATTTTTTAAATGTTCATCCAAACATCGTACAATAATTTTTCTAACTCGACAAGGGATCTTGTTGATTTGGGAGCAGTAGCAAGAACTGTGACAGTTCAGTAAACTTTTGTTTCTTTGATTCAGACGTGACAAAGTTTGAAGTTATGCATCTGCTTATTATAACCACCTAACTTAACAACTTACTTAAATTCGTATTACTTCACAAATATGTGAAAGGGCAACGAAACTATTTGCACAATGTTTGGCCCTTTTCAGGCATTTTTTGTATTTTTCCTACCAATGATACATTGATGAATGACCAAACATGAACAACAGCACAAATGGTAGAGGCAGAGTTAAACATTTATAACATTGGACTTAAAAGGGAGAAGCGAAAGATGAACCCTCTGAATAGAAAAGGGGATTGGGGTGTGTTTGTGTGGGCGAAGAAGAGACAGAGTGGCAGAAGGGCATGTGCAGTACTGGCACCTTATTCTCTCTCCCCACCCAATGCCATAGCCAAGACCTCAGAGAGTTTACCAAACAAAGCAAACTTATGGCCCCCACTCAACTATTTTCAATTATCCACTTCTTGTCTTTGGAGTCTCGTGCAATGACATTCTGTTTAGACTTTATAGATCAAAATAAAGTAAGATCTGCAGAGTATTTATTTCAAAGTAAATTAAAAAATTATAAATATTTATATGCGAATTTTTATATATATAATATTTTTTAAATTTAATTTGAATATAATATTAATATAAATTTTTTATATAGTTAACTAATTAAAATTCATGATAGATATAAAAAAACATAATTAAATGATAATATAAGAATATTTTGATTAAAGTTATACGTTTTAGATTATTAATTTGTTCTCTTTATTTCCTTCGTATTAATCACCTTGGATGCTTTTTTTTATCTCTTTTATTATTCAATAAATTATATAAATTTGTTTTATAATAATAATAATAATAATTAAAACATCTGATAAAGTAAAGTTCGATAAGGATGGGATCATCCAACGTCTTTGACCAGAAACTGGAAAGATGGCTCCCAATGTGCAGTGTCTTGTTGCCCCATAACCACACCCATTGTGACTTTTGCTCCTTTTTTTGGTTTCCTTTGTAGAACATCACCAAAGATTACTACGTTAATTTCATCTCCAAAACTTTGTTACTTGAGGCATAGTATATATGATTCTATTGTTCATTTTATGTCAAACCAGCTTTGGCTTGTTCTTTATTTTATCAGGTTTTGTTCTTTTTAACACATTTCGCATTTTTAGTAGATGACAATTGAAAAGAGAAAATTGGACACAGCTTACTGTCCTTATTTTAAAATAAATTAGGAAGTGAACAGTGTAAAACGTTAATGGTTGAATTCTAAAAATGTCTAGGACTGGAATAATTTTGAATCTTATGAGTCGATGTATTTAGTGTAGCTGATCACGAGATTTAAAATCTAGCTTAACCCTACTCTATATGATGCCAGTATAGCTCTTAGGATTTTATATAGGAATAGTATCTTTATATTAACGAAAATAACAAGATAAATATTCGATATGATAATTTGCATTGGAAAACTAAATTTACATATTTCCTCAACGATTAATATTATAAGAAAACCATGACCATGACCATGACCTCATCTTAATAAGATTCAATAATTGAATCATATTTAATTTCTCCTTCCTGATATCTAATTCATTGTGCATAAGCCAAATGGACCATATTATAGCAAATCAAAGCAACATAACTTCGATGTAGAATGAAATTAATGAGACTTTGTTGTCCAAACTCAACATTAATTCGAATCCCAACTACGCATAAGGTTTCTTGAGCACATTTATCTTCAACATTGTTTGATCAAGAGAGGATAAAACATTTCTCTTCAACAATTTTTATCTAGTGGGAATTCTATCTAAAATCACTTGCTTGAGCAGTTTAATCTCAATATTGCATGCATAGCAAAACTTTGTTGGAGCAAGAAAATATAATTTAACTTCCAACTGTAAGTGCCATAACTATCAAGACTCCAAACCCAAACATTATCTATCTGCACCTATTTATATTTACCTTTTATAACATGTGTTCATAAATTCATTAACCATAGGTTTTGGCCTAACAAAAAACTACCTCCTTTAAATTATCAAAAAACAACTGCCACTTCCAAGAAATTTCCACCCAAAATCCTAGTTTAGAATCTTTGCATCCTTATTTTCTGAAATTGTATTAAAAATTGATACTAAATTTATTATTTTGAATCCAAACATGATTTCAAAATGAAATAGTCTTTTCATGGCCTAACTTTTTTTCATTCTAGATTTAAACCACTCAATAGTAGCATCATTGATCTGTCTCAGTACAATGATCTTTCCACCAAATAGAAGAACTTTTAGTAACTTTAGATCAAGAAGAATCCATCACACCCATAAGGTCATATTCATATAAAGGACAAAATTCTAGACTATAGAGCATCTTCAACTTTGAGTACCCTCGTTAAACATTTTCTCAATGGATTAAATTTTTTACTCCCGAACCTCCACAACTGTTGGCCCACACATATCATATCATCCCATATATTTAACTCGAACTATTTTGTTCGATTATTGACTTCTTCCCCACACAAAATAGCAATGTGGACTTAAAAAGAATTTTCACTACCTTATTTGGATTCTTGAAAATATGTAAATTGGATAGCAGCGAATTGAGTAGTACAATTCTCCCTCCAAGATAAACAAGTTTACTTTTCCTTGAAGAGTACTCTACGTCTTACCTTTTCAAAAATTGTCATCCAAATCTAACTTCCTTGTATTAACCCTAATGGAAGGCCTAGGTAACACTATTAACTTTACTTAAAGACGTTTTCTTATTATAAATTTTCTTATATTTTATTCTATAATTTTTTAATTATCAACTAAAAATTATTAAATATTTTTAAGATAATAAATATAGCAAATTTTTTATTGAATACATATTTTTTAAATAGTAGAAGAATTATCTTAAAAAATGTCAAAAGATATAACAAAAATTATACAAAATTATTGTTGTACCTCAAGAACATCTCTTCTTAAACAAGTTTCACTCCCCAATAATTGACCGATCTATAGTTCTAAAAATTTACTTTTATATATCTATGTTTTATTAAATTAAATATCAGTAAATCCTTAATTGTTAGTTAACAAATAAAAAACACCTATTATCGTAAGTAGAATAACCTAACCAATGTTAGATTTAATTATACATAACATAATAATAATAGTGCAAGAATCTAACTCTCTGGCGGTAAAATGTTTGGTTAACCGAGGAAACATCGCAAGCAATAGCGAGCTTTTGCATTAGTCATCGCTTTTGATGATTAAAAAGTTGAATATTTGACAAAGAGATAGTTTACTAATTCTTTATCATTAGTTTATGTGTCAACTTGAACAAATTTGTCTACTCCATTCTTCGAGCTTTTGATTTTGGAATGCGACGTTCGTGCATGCATGTCATTTCCATTTCCATCGCCGAATTCTCGAACAAATATAAAAGAAATCTTTAAAAGTAAGAAGTTTATGCACTCCAACTAATTGCTAGCTGGTTATTTCCATTTCCATTGACATTTCTTTTCGCGTGCTAAGCAAATATAGCAAGAATTTTGAATTCCCTATAACATTTTTTTGGGGGGTTCTGCGTTGAAATTTGAATAAACTAACATCTTCATATAAGTCATATATCAATGACTTTATGATATGACGACTTTTATTATTATTGACGCGTGAACCAAATTTTTTTTTATTATTTTGGCTATGATAGATTTTCTTCCTGGAAAAATGTTATAATTTTTTAAAAATCAATTCCTATATGTATTATTTTTTATTATATTCCTATATTTAATTATAATACATTGAAGAAATCGATCGAGTGTGACATATGAGATTGTTCAAACCAGAAAATTTTGTCAAACGTTTCAACTTTAGTTTCAACTTTGTTAAGAGTTTTACTTGTCATGCTTATATTCAACATTAATTACTCCGAGAAAAAACTCTTTGGTTAAATGGAAAGCCAAAGAGTCTGAGTGGCTATATTTTTAGTTCAATGTAAAGTTGAAAGTCAAGACCAGAAGCGGCTGCAACTTTTACTACTGGCTGAGTTAGCCTGCATGTGTTCATACTTTTTTTTATATAAGAATAGAAAAGTTAAATGTATTTTTTAATTATTTTATTATTTTGAAAGTGATTTTTTATTATTAAAACAAAACTAAGGGTAAAAAGCACTTTATCCTTCAAAAAATATTACTTTAGCTAGTTGCATTTTCTAACCTTATATAGTATATTAAAGTTAATACATCTTAATTTAACATAACTTACGGCATGTTTTATTTTGCAATGCTGAGGTAGTAGACGTGCGTATATTTTTAACTTTACACAGAATAATGGTGAGTTGAAAGTGTATTTTTCAAGTTATAATTTGCCTTATGGTATTTGTCTTTTCCACTCATTTAGTAGCTATTTTTAACTGCACATGACTTTTGACTGAAAAAATATGTTTTTAAAAAAAAAAAAACCTTGGTTGCAACAAATAAGAAGAAAATGGAAGGGAAAGGACAGAGTCTCACTCATTCTTCCTTTTTGTGAATGCAAAGTGTATCCATATTTGTCTTGGATCAATTCACCCATTTTCCAACCTAATGCAAATTGTGGTATTAGCACCACAGTTGCGAACTTCAAATATATAAGATCTAAGATTGAATATAATTATTTTAAAATATTAAATATTTATTATATTTTTATATCTCTAATATAATAATTATTTTTCAAAAGATATACATTTTAAATGCTTAATAAAATTGTTAATTTATTCATAATTATTTATTTTTTCTTGCGGCTCATATGCTGTAAATTTGTCAGTGCGCTAATAGAACAGCAGAGGAAACAGCTGGACAAAATCACTGAATCATATACTGAAAGATGTGCCTTATAAACAAGATTCATTGCTCTTTTCCACTACCGTGTGCTACTGACCAAGACATTATTTGAAGAGTTCATAGACACCGTACATTTTCCTATTTGTTTGTATTTATTCATAGTAAATACCGCAAAGTGATTTGAATTTGCATAATGAATATGTAATATTATGGTTTGGATTATAAATTGCGATTAAGTTAATAGTATAGCAATAGGCGTTTTCCCAAAGTATGTGAAAAGCAAGAGTAAGATTGTCACCTTTCAATTTTGTTCTGTTTTGCTACAACTAAGGTCTTTATTTGTCTTCTAAGCATATTTTTTTAGTCAAGAATTAATCATGTGTTGATAAACTTAATTATAAAACTAGATGGGAAGCTAAAATTAAAATAAATTATGTTAAATTAGCATATATTATGCTTAATATGATAAGGTCAAAACATAATTAGAGTACTATCTAAAGGGATAACATACTTATTATCCCCAAAATTATCTTAAAAACACATTTGAAATATTATATTTTATATATAATTATACTTTTAATTCTTTTAATATAAAGAGATAAAATTGTCTCTATATTTACCATGAGTCTCATACTTGCACCTTTTTTTTTTACCTCTTCGTTTGTCAACAAAACAAGAAATTCAGGATATTGTTGACATTGTTGGGGTTTTTTTTTATCAACGATATTTGGGCTGGGCTAGCTTGTCCACTTGTATTTCCTTTGTTATTAATAAAATCAAAATTTTAAATTTAAACAATCCATTTAATTAATATATTTATATAAAAAACTCAATTTAATTTACATTATAAGTTATAAAATTATTTGTTACCTAAAATTAAATGTTTTAAAAGTTGTGATGAAAAAAGTTTGCATGAATCTGGTAATCAAAATCTAATAAGCTTAATTCCACCCTTAAAACTGACAAGTTTTTCATCACTTTAACATATAAAAGAGATTGGTAAGAAATGTATATATCATAGTGCTCTTAACAAACAACAAGTCATAAGAGATGTTAAACAAGTGGTAATCTATGTAAAAAATATAATGGTAATAACATATTGGAATTATACTTTCCCAATTTACTTAAATACTAAATAAAATTTATCTATGACAACTAAACTAAAATTAGGAAAAATTTCAACTTATTCCCTTCTATTTGAAATCACGTGCACTTCGATTTTGAAACTTAAATGTAATCTCAATCCCCAAACTCTTCGACGTGTGATTTTAGTCATTACGATTAATTTTCTATCAATTTATTACAGAATTGTTAGGATAAAATAATGTTTTTCAAGTTACCGAACTAAAGCACTCACGTGATTTTAAGTGGAAGGAAATAAGTTATATTTGCTATTTAAGAAGTTCGGTAATAAACATGTAATTTGAGTGACAACTTCTGTTGTTTAATAGAAAATTAAAAGAAAAGAAGTGAAAGTTTAAAGCTTGACAATTAGGTGAGGACTAAATTACACACCCAAACTTGGAAGAGATAAATTGAGCATTTGTGTGAATATACGGTGCTTGCGATGTAAGGGAACTGTTGGGAGTTGAACGCATATGATGCTAAGTAAGCAGCACATAATTTTGCTAAATAGTGACAAACCAGTTTGTTTAGAATTGAATTTGGTTTGGTTTTATGCCCAATCAATCCTTGCTTATTCCTAACTTAAATAGCATCAAGGCCTTCTTTACGTAACGAAAAAAGGAAAAAAGTAAAAGGAAACCCAGTTAAGACATTTTAAAGGCCTGATAAATTGTCTTAAAAATCTATTTAATAAGACAGGCCCTGGAATGGTTGCCAACTTGCCATTTGTTAAATCACAAATATCACGACTCAGATTGAAGGCTCCAGTTAACTTGTAAGAAATAAGAATTTAAGATCGCAAAATCCTTAAACCGTCTCACCTTCAAGGTACGCACGCACGTATATTATGCTAATAACATAGTTTATAACTTATATTAAACAGGACATTAAGCAACGTTCGCCAATCGTAAAACACAGATAGTACAAACTACAAAATAATGATACAACCGACATACTAGCACTTACTCATGAAAACAAAACTGGAAAACTGAAACTAACAAGACAGCGGTTTACTGAGCAATCTAAATTGAAGCGGGCAAGTAAAAGCCGTAATCACTTCAAGCTCTAATTGCTGGACTGGCGCAACTCGGGACGAACAAAGTCTGCATCTGGTGGCACAGAAATGTCGACTGTAGGTCTCAGTTCAGCGCAGACTTGAATAGCTCCATGCACTGGGTCTGACAGGAAGTTGCTAATTAGGTCCTGGTTAATAGGCGTTCCATTGTCCACTGCCACCATGGCTTGCTGAGTTAGGATGTAATCAAACCGTGGAGCCCATTTCCTCGAACCCATCCTAGCTGTGGTCGAGCAGTTATCAACCATGAAGGAAACACCGCGAGCATGCATGAAAGGATTCAAAGAATCAACAGACTCGATAACACTCTCATTAATAATTTCGGAGTAGGAGTGACCTTTCTTCCTCAGGATCTCAATCTGGAATTTTGTAATCACAAGGTAGAAAACAAGGTTAATTTTATGCTCTACTAGCCTGAAGAAAAAAAAGTTCCACCAGTCGGCCCCAAATTTGAAAAAGCAAACAATGATTTGTCAATGTGCAGGGCGGCCAATATGTGAATGAAAATGCCCAAAAGATTTGCAAGAAAAACTTCAAATACCTGGGCCATCATCAGTGCCACAAAGACACCTGCAGTAAACGGGTATAATGGACCTAGATCACCAGCTGGTCTAGTAGATCGAACACGCTCACCAACCTTCCACATTCGGGTCTGATCAATTTTACCCATTGGGAAAGCAGGTAAACCCTCTTTCTCCTGTAAAGCACACGTATAATTTAATGTCTGTTGCACAAAAGCTGACTACTTTAAATGGAAAATAATTATGCCCCTACATAAAAGCGACGACCAGCAAGAACAACACTGCGAATCTCACTACCACTGGCCACATCCTCGTAGCACTCATACAAAATGTCCATGCAAGGATAATAAGAGGCACTATAGGCTTTTTCAAATTCCTTTTTCCCGTCTTCATTTAAAGCATTGTATACAGCTAGCATGCCCTATCCAAACCAACAAATACGAGAGGTTAGCAAAACTTACAAAATATCCATCCCCACACCAGCCTTTTCTCTGGGGTTTGGGGGTAAAATAAATTAATGATACAGGAGAATGAAAATACAACCTTAGTTGAGATGGTTTTAGATATAATCCCTGTTACACACTCAACAGTGTTCTTATATGCCAGATCTTCGCTCATTCCATTTTCAGTGTATCTTCTAAATAAGGACTCCACAAGTCCATGAACAGCACCAAGTAAAATGCCTATAAACCACAAAAAGCAGTAGTTATGAAGCAAGTCTTCAAAGGAAAATAAACAAAACATTGCTGAACGTTCCCACCTCTCTCCCCAAAGATATCACTCCTGTATTCCTGCTCTAATGTAGTGGCAAAGGTGAATGGAGAACCAAGGGCAACAGACCATCCCAAAGCAACATCAGTAGCCCTGCCATCCACATCCTGCAAGCACAAATAGTCACCCCCAAGTAAAATAAATAAATCAGTCAACATAGGAGCAGGAGATCCACAATGACGTCATGATGATTGGAGAGAGGCATAGCAAATAATAAATCACCTGGTGGACTGCAAAACTAGAATTAATTCCAGCACCATTTATCTCTTTGCCTTGGACATAGAGCCTCCTCACAGATGGACCCATCCCCTTTGGGCACACAGCAATTACACTAATGTTCTTTGGAAAATCAAGTCCCATTGACTGTAAATGCCCAAGAAGAAACCCATGGGACAGCCCAAGTATGCTGTTTGGCTTCATATGAGAAAATACCTTTTCATAATTATCGGCCTGCATGATAAATAAATAAAAATTAAAACTTCATTGATTTGGGGGGCAAAATAAGACACAAAATATGAAAAACTGAAAAATCACTGGCAACAAGATTGTCCACTTGTATTGACAGAACGGAGATTCAAATTATACTTGTCCTAGGCAGGCATATGTTAGAAGTTAGAACATTGCTCAAAATTGCATTACAATACCAACACATCTTTCAACCTGGCATGGCTTCAGAAAACAAATATTATGACATTGGTAGAGAACTTGTTGAGATTTGAGAGACCTCTTAAGCTGGCACTCGCTATAGCCTATAAGTATATCAGATTCTCAGAATAGATGGTTCACAGAGAAAATGCTATATATAGTTTATTTTCATTCATTTTTTCATGCTTGTTAATTATACATGAGGACAAATCATAAAATTAAACTAAAGGGTTCCGTAAGATTTGTATTTTAAAAGAATATAAATGGGCAAATGAAAAAGAATCATGTGATGGTGATAGAAGCTGCTGGTAGCATGCTGTAAACTGATCGTGACCAGGTAAACAGCAGAAATAGATAATACAGTTGTGGTGTTAAAATAATAGTGGATTGGGGAGTTGGCAATGGCATTCCAGAACAGTTATGGCCAAGTTGACGATAACACCTAAACACTCAGTCCCAAAATGAGACACATTTGATTTCTGAACACAACAATTTTCCAACGAACATATCAGACAACAATTATTAAATAGAGAAAATATGTAATTGTATCGTGCACAAGTACAATATTAATCATAAAATAGCACGCATACCAAACCATCAAAGAATTGTTAATCCAATATCTTATTGTTTTCATCACACCGTGTAGGATAACATTGTAGATTAATAATCAGGAAGTTTTATCAACATAAAAAACAGCTAGTCATGAATCAGAATATAAATACAGAGCAATATAAGAAAAAAACAAATTAACCATTTCTGGACCATTTAGTTGAACTAATTAACCTGTGCAGCATCAGAAATTAACAGCAACACAAGATCACTGCCAGATACAGTTTCCCATATGTCACCAAGAGTCCCATTCTCCTCAGAGAACCCAGCTGCACGAGCTTCAGCAAAGGAACGAGAACCTTTCCTGAGTCCAATCTGTGTTTGTAAACAACCATTTTAACAGCAACTCACAAATCAACAACCACAGCACACGTTCAGTTACTATAAATAAAACATAACCACCAACAAATCAAAACCAGTATCAACCTTAACCACAATATCAGACTTCGCTTCAGCAAGTGAGTCCCGTAGATTCTGAGCCTGAGCAGGTCCCTGTTAAACACAGTGGCAAGTTAACGATCATATCAACAACGTCATCATCAAAACAAAACAACTGCTAAGCCATAACATTTCAAGCTTAACTTAAATGCGATTTTATTGTAACTTTAAAAGAATTTGTAGCAATCATTCACTATGAGATAGACTAATCAATCACCTGTGATCCCCAACCGATAACACCAATCTGCTTGATCCCCTTGAAAGCATCTGGCAACAAATGGAACAAATCCCTGCCTCCTCTTACGATATACTGCAATAAGTATAAACAATAGAAAAAACAAGTTTAACGGTCACGAATTTAGAAATGCGAGAAAGCTGAGAGAGAAAGAAAAAAAAAAGTATTCGAAGAAAAAACCTCGTCGTGTCCAGCGAGGCTAATCTTCTCCTTCTTGAAGACGGAGGTGTCGAAATCGAGCGAAACAGGGGCTTTGACAGCCGGTGCTGACACCATGCGAGCGGCGAGAGCAGAGCCGCCGCCGGCGCGGCGAAGACGTAGGGCTTTGAAGCCGAGCCTGGGAGAGGAAAATTGCAGTGCGATGTTGGTGGTGGAGAAGGTTGTGGTGGCGGCTGGTTGGGCTAGGGTTTTGTAAGCGGAGGAGATGGCCGAAGAGAACGACGTCGCAGCCGCCATTATCGGAGGAAGAAGCAGGAACGAGTAGCTGTTGAAGTAGTAAGAGAAAGGGTCACGTGTAGGCTGTGGTTCAGCATTTTATAGTGTGAGCATCTTGCACTGTGCTAACATGCGCTGCAGAGTTGGCAAGAAATGCCTCGTGTCACGTTCGTGTGTTTGATTTTTATTTTGAAAATTATTTTAAATTTTTAAAAATAAAATATTTTAATTTTAAAAATTAAAAACTGTTTTTATAATAAAAATTAAATATATTCTAAATTTTTTAGTTTCATTTTTACTTAAATATTAATAAATTTGTTTAATAAAATAAAAAAGTAAATAACAGTTAGATTATACGTTTAATAATTTAGTTAAAAATATAAATATTTTTAATTATTAAAATATTAAAAAAATGGTACTCTTAATTCAGAAAAAGTATACAACATTTTTTTTTTAATTTTAGGAGTATTATAACAAATATTTAAACAAAATTGTAATTTTAGAATGCACTTAAATAAAAATATAGATATAAAAAATATTTGTTGCATAATTCTCTTAACAAGAAAGAGTACAAAAGGAATAATAAGAGCTAAATAAGTATCATAGAAGAAAGACGAAAGTTTATAAAGGATAAAGGGCTAGGTGAAGGAGTAGTCATTCAATATAAGAAAATAAAAAAGGAAGAAAAAATGAGTTCAATATAAGAGTATAAGAGAAAGAGAAGAGGGGGTGAAGTAAGAAGGAAAGGAGGAAGAAGAGAAAAAAAAGTAGGGGATATAAACCTAGGTTGACATAGGTAAATGTAAAGATTTTGTTTAATCAAATTTCACATAAATTTTTGTTGTTATACATTAAAGGGTTATCTAAGAAAGAAAAAAAAAAGAATGAAATCAAGTAATTTCTACTTAGAATAGTGTCATAAAAAATTATTCTTCTTTTTTATATTTTTTTTCTCTCAAATAGCATGCAACTAATTATGTTTACCAAATCTAAAAACTTAAATAATATACTCTCTTTATATTTTTATACTTTGAATTATGATCTTTGTAAATATCATATATTCATTCAAATTTTCTTATAAATGAACAACTTGACTAAATTGGAATATGAATAATGACTAAAAAGATGTGATAGAACGTTAAAAAATATAAAAATTTTATTATACGTATTTTTTGCTTAAATTATATCATATTTGTTTAAGCTAAATTTATATAATAATTAACATGCAAATGTCATCAATATTCACTGAAGTTATTATTTGTAGCTCAAGCCAAGTTAATTTTACTTTAATCATAATTATTTGACTTGAGTAAAAATATTATCATTTAAGCAAAATAATTTGAATGGGCCATTTTTTTCCTATAACTTTTGCTTAAGATAGAGAAAATTGGCTTAAGCATAAATTATAAAAATTATGCTATATAGAAGTGACCACTATGGAGGAGAAAAATAGAGAAGATATAAAAGAATATTAAATAATTTATCAACATGAAAATTCATTTTCATGATAAATTAATACTGAGAAAATAAATGTGAAAATTTTAATTTTAAAAATAATTAAATTTATACATAAAGAACTTTAAAATTTTAAAATAACATTCAACATTTTATTAATTTAAATAGTTAATTTTTATTATAAATTAAAATTGTATTAATACACGTGAATGTATACTTTTTAAAAATTACTAGCTAAATTTATTTTATACATAAGCAATATAACCAGTAAAAGATAATAGATTTTAAAAATATAAAATAATAAATTTTAAAGATAAAAAATAATTTTACAAATTTGTATAGAAGATTAAATTATAAATATATAAAAATAATACTACTAAATTATGTGTCAAATTTTTGAATAGTTGATGTTTTTAAAACACATCTAACAGTTTAAAAAATTCACTTACTCGTACACCACTTATTTTATTAACTCTGATTTGAGTTTTTTTATTATATTTTATAAAATTAAAATAACAACACTTATTTTGTTTATTTTTATTTAATAACATTTTAAAAATAATAAAAAGTGTTGTTATTTTTGTTTTTTATTTAAGTGTCATAATTTTAAGAAATTAAATTTATTTCGTTTTTCTAACTTGCCACATTAACTACTCTAGTTTTAATTCCATATTTGTATATTTTTAAGTCAGAAACCGAAGATGGATTTGTAAAAAAACTGAATTTGATAAAAGAAATTATTCATAACACCTCTTGTTTGCAAGGGGTAGGTGAGTAGCACAAATAATGGATACTTTTTTTTTTTCTCGATAAAGTTTAGTAACGGTGTCGGTGTCAATATTATATTACATTATAGTTTTTTTTTGGTCAAGATTATATTATAGTTTTTTTCTTGTCAGTATTATATTATAGTTTATTGACTATAAGTTGTCGATTACAGTGATTTTTTGTCTTTCCTTGCTTATTTTAACTAGCGGCCCAGTCCACCCCACAAGGCCCACGACAAGCTTGCTGCGATTTCTGTCTTATTGAAAAACGTCACGTGGACCGAAATATTTTTAAAAAACGTGACATATTGTTGACAAAAACAAAAAGTCTCCAAGACAGGAGAGAACCCTTCTCTCTCTAAGTTTTCTATTTTGGTAGCACTGTATTAGGTAGCATTTATTTTATAACAATTTGTAAATATATATTTATTTATTTTTATTTCTTTAACTTTAACCTTTAATGCTAATTTTAAGTATTAATTTTTTTTAAAATTGTATTTAAACTCAATCTTAAAGACTAATGTTAATAAAATAAAATAATTATATTGATTAAAAATTGCATAGATTTTAGTGTGGAAACTAAAAGTCTTGCAATGAGCATTTATAATCTTAATTTTAGTAAATCATTGAGCCAGTCTTTAAACTTATGTTTTATTTGCAATTTAATTTCTAAATCTAATTGTTATACGAGTTTAATTTAGTTTACAGAATTCATGCTAAGTTAATTAGTTTTTATATATTCAATTAAAATATAAAAAAAAAACATACAAGCATTATAGATTTAGAAATCATCCAAATCTATACTTAAGTTTAACGCTTAATTATAAGTAAATAATAATTTCAACAAGTTACTAATTACTCTAGAAATTTAATAATAAAAATAAAAGGAATACGTGAAATTTTTAGAAAATGTACCACAAATGAGGCAGCGATAACCATCCTGCTGAAGTAAGAAAAGCTAATGAAATTCAACTAGCTGAAATAGAAGGATATTAGTTACTGTCATTATATAATGTTTAAAATGAAAATTAAATGTAATTTTTTTATATTATTTGGACTATTTAAATTATGATTAATAGAATAGAATGCAATAAAAATGTGTTTTCATTTCCAGTATCTCCATTTTTTTTTAGAGGATCGAGTTAGAATAGGATGAGGATGTGACTATTTTTTTTTCTTTTCTTTTCACTTAGCCAGTTAAACTCCTTATACTAAAATTTTCTCATTGGGCCTCTTGTGGACACATAAAAGTCAACAGATAGCTTGACCAAAAGAAAAACCCTTAATGGATAGTTCCTAAGCCCATATGGGATCGGGTTCATATTTTGTGTCTCATACAGTATGTTAGAACATTAAAAAAAAGTGCAAGTGATAAGTGTGTTATTAGCAATTTTTTTAATATAAAAGTTACTAAAATTACACTATTTTTAACATACTCTTAATTATTAATTAAAGTTATTAAATCATGAGAAAAAAATATTAAAGTAAAAATAGACTCACACAATTTTTCTTTGAATAAATTTTACTTAATAATTCTAGAAAAAATGTTAAAAAATGTATTTTATATCTTTAGAAAAAAGAGTAATTAAATTTTTATATTTGTTTTTTATTTCTTTTCATATCATTAGTCACATTTCTTTGACTTTTTCTTTCTTCTTGTTATCTTTTCAACTTTTGTAGAAGAGTAAATATTATATTAATTTATAAAATTATAAGTATTAATTACTTTAATTTACTAAATTTTTAAATTTTGAATTTATTTTTTAATTTCATAAAAAATTGTTTACTCTAATAAAGGCAGGAACCAAATAAAATTAGAAAAAAATTAAAGTAACAAATGTTTATAATTTTATAAATTAAAGTGGAACTTTATCCCATTAACTGTTCATCAATCCCTTCACTATTGTTGTAGGTGAAGGAATAGTGGTTTGAGCATCAATTAACACAGTCCTTCTACCTTTTCAGACAAACTTGAGTGGAGATTGACAATCATCTACTCTTTGCTTCTTGCGGATGATTTATATTATCCATAAACATTACATCTCTTCTGAGTTATAAGGGAATAACAGCCTCCTTTGTAGTGATTCGTCCCTTGTTTGGTTCCATGGAAGGAGAATGACTTAGCTAGTAAAATGACTGTTCTGAGACTCGGCCCAACTTAGCTCTAATCCATATTTGAGCTTTCATCCCTATTAAATAGGAACTAAAATAATCTATGCTCAGAATTCAAAAATCTTAGATAGTTATTTATTCTCTGCAGAACCTTCAACTTTCTAATTGAGTATATATATATTTCTTATAATATATTTTACTTTAATGTGTAGCTTTTGAATTATCACCTTTTTTTTTTTATCTCTATAATAATAAAAAAAAACGTATATAAATTTATTAAAATGAACATTTATCTTGGTTGAAGATGGATATATATTGTACAACTAGAACATGAAACATTTCTGGACTTGGAAGCACTGCATTGATGCAGTACAGTGTACTTATATGAGACATGGATTAAAGTAGCAGTGATCACCACTACAAATACGTTTTGAGAGCAGCTCTTCTGCGCATTACTCGCTGATCAGTTTGCCGTGTAGAAACCTGAAACGTACACGAAATGTTTCTGTGACTAAAATAAGCTAAAAACAAATACTACCGTAAATAAACGTATAAAAGTGGCGTGTATAAAGAAACCAGCAACTTTGATTTATTCTTCTTTTATCCTACAACACCAACGTGTATACCTTCTCTTTGAGTGATTGAAAGGAGTGTCTATAATTTAATCTGGATTAAGGTCAATTTTGAACAAATTAAATCACGTTTCACCATTCACAAGTTTTAGAAAACAAAATAATAAGAGGCCACTAAGATAAGATTATTATCATAAGGGATTCAAATGATTTGAAGGAGATAGAAAGTTTATATTAAATGTCATCTATTGACCAAATTAGAAAAGAAAACCAAACGAAAAAATGACTTGTTATTAAACTTTAAGAATCATGTAATCAAAATTATTACTGGCAGTATGATCATTCAGTGGCAAAATTAAATGTACGAGGCGAAATAGAGACTCAAGCCTCGTACTAAACGTGGAGAATGAACCAAGTTAATCACCATCCTTGAATTTCATGTTTACATATATTGGAAAGTTGATGAGGACCACCACAGAAAAGATTAAAATAAGTGTGACAAAGGAAATCTTCATGCCATTAAGATAAAGTGTGTGAATCTAAGTGACCATGTTCAAATAAAGCTGTGTTTTGTGTCACCGTCGATGACGTGGATAAGGGTTTACAATTCTATTGTCAAAGGAAAGTGCTTAGCAAAGGACTAATTAGCTTATTAAAAAAACTGATTAGCTGGCTCTTTATCCTAAAGGGTGCCATCAAAAATTGGCTTTTGCCTAAGTTAAAGCTTGCAATTACTCATTAAAAAATGGAAATAAAAGCCCCAACACATTCTCCCACAAATCACTGTGCATGATTCCAAAAGAAAATTCAAGCTTAGTGTGCGGTTTTGGACACGGAAGAGACGCAAACGCAAATTGCGGCAATTAAGAAAATCAATTTAGAGATAACAAGAAATTCCAATTACTGCTTATGCAGTTTCTATATTGATATGAACGCATAACCATTGAGTTAATGGCAAACAATAAATAGTATTATATGCCTCAAAGACTTCGAACTCATGACTCAATCTCATACATAAGATTCCTTTCAAAATGTGCTAAACTAAACATTTTTGTCATTATCCAGCACTAATGTATTTTTCTGAATCACCACTCGGGAGGCTTCCTTCGTTATGTGACTCTGTGTATGGACAGACATTGTTCAGTTCCAAAAAGAATGATTTGGGTGTATCATTAATTACGACAGAGTTACCCAACCAGTGAATTTTCAACACCTAGCACTCGAGAAGAAGTCTGAAATTGAAGATTCTTGGCACCCTTTTAGATTTGTGTTTATTTTGAATATATTTACCTCTTGTTAATTTACATCAATGGAGGGTAAAGTTTCTAGCGTATGTTATTGGTTTCCCTTTGATGCATCTCAAACTTGAGTTTGTGTATTTTTTTGGGTGTTTGATTTTACACTTGCCTGGAGTCTCTAACGGGATTTAAATCCTAAGATCAATTCCTAGCGAAAGAAACTTTATGGTAACTTTTGTGTTTGTATGCAATTTTTATATAAAAAATTTAAACATAAATTAATTTTTTTCAAACTAAAGTTTAATCAAAATCAACCATTCAAACACTCTAAAAATGATATGTTAATGTCCCTCTTCCATCCGTATTCATCATTTATCTTTTGACTATTTGAGATTGTGCCGTATAAAGATGAAATCGAAATTTTTGCACCATTTGGTTTTTAAAGAAAGTTAATCATGAGCATTAATATGAATATCGTAAGTCACTTATAATTTTTCACCGAGTATTTCTACTCCTCAAAGTTTTGCAAGTATCTCACCAGGAAAACCATAGTTAAATCCTTACAATGATAATAAAACTATTGAATATCATATAAAAATTATAATCCTATGATATTTTTTACGCTTCTTTTATTATTCATCCCATTCCTAATCTGAAATAAAGAGTAAACTATTCTTAACCGTTCTACCATTACCCCCCCCCCCCCAAGAGAGAAAAAGTTCATTGGCACAACCACCTTTTAAAATCTCTACTTACAATATAATATATTTACAAAAATTCATATATAAACTATGTGTAAAAATGAATAAAATATTATCAAAAGTTATGTTAATCATAGTTTGACTTATAGATAATTTTACATGTTATTTTGTTTTGAATAAAAAATAGCAGACTACTATTATGAAAGAGTAAAGCTGATTTTTTTTTTTTCAAAAAAGAATTATGGAAGTTGAACATGAACAAGGAAAATTATATTAAAACAGAATTTAATTTTTTCAAGACAAGAACTTGAATTATGAAATATACCTATTTTATTGATTTTAAAAGAAAAGGGACAAGAAGTTCTGCTCTTAAAAAGTGTGTAGTTGCAGTCCCCCACCATATAGAGCTAATCTGTAGTTGTAGCACTCTCTGGATCTCATCAAATCCCCCATCATCATCACCATACACTGACACAACACATTCCATCCACCTTTCACTGCATCTTTCACTTCCAAATACAGTCCAACCCCAACATGACAAACAACAAACCTTTCCCACTTCATCATTGAGTTTTGTCTCAAACTCAAACCAAGCTTTGCTTTGTTTTCCCTTATGGAAATTACACAACACTGTGCAGACAAAGCTAAAGCTTCACCTCCTAAGGTTGTCTTCTTGTTTCTGAAAGTACACTCTTTTTATTCTTCTGTTCCTTTGTGTCTCTTCCCTCTTGAGCCACTTTGCTATGGAAATGGAAGCTTTTGCTTTTCCAGTTAGTTCTGGTGTAATTGGAAGTGGGTATACTTCTTCTTCATCTTTGATTTTGGATAAGGAGAAGGGAGAGCTTGTAGAGGCCCCTGTCAAATTGGAACGCAAGGTCGTGTCCCCTGAGAGAAGTATTGAAGCCTTGAAGAACCATAGTGAGGCAGAAAGGAGAAGGAGGGCAAGAATTAATGCACATCTTGATACACTTCGCAGTGTCATTCCAGGTGCTAATAAGGTTTGTTCAATGTTATTCTTTTTTTTTTTTTTGGTTTATGTCAATGGCAAGTTTTGCTCATGTTGAGAACAGGTTCTGTCATCTGTGGCAGTTCCTTGGTTATCTTTTTGATTGGTTCTTGTTTGATTTTTTTTTTTTAATTATTGTTGCACATTAAAGAATACTTAAGGGAAATCTGAGTGCCATAATGTTACTATATTAACATAATGGTAGCTCGAAGGCTAAATAATGATTTATTTTATTTTATTTTGTCTACTTTGCCTTTCTCATTGTCATTGCAATGAAAGAATAGCTTTGCCTATACATGGTACATGTATATGCACTGAAGTTTTTACCTGGAACTGATACTTCTTAAACAATTAAGTTCAATGATGAAGTTCTTGATCAATGCATCTCATAATGTATTATAAGGCTTCTTGAATGCTCAAACACAGCTTGGAGATCAGGTGGTAAATGACCTTATTTTAGGATCAATACTTTGCTTTGTTTTGATTCTTTTATTTTGTTTCGATTGTTTTTTGACACAATTTTAGTTTTCTTTCCTAGAAGAAAGCATGAGCAGAACATGATATAAACAATCCAACTTTGTTGTGATCTTACTTTGAATTATGAAATTCATGTCAATACAAAATAACATTAACATGTAAAATTATTCATTCATAGCTTGAGAGTCTTAAGTTTTTCGTTGTATATTTTTTCACTCAGTTGGACAAAGCATCCTTATTGGCTGAGGTTATTAGACATTTGAAAGAGCTGAAAACGAACGCAGCAAAAGCTAGTGAAGGCTTAATGATACCAAAGGACAATGATGAAATTAGAGTTGAAGAACAAGAGGGTGGGTTGAATGGTTTCCCTTACTCAATTAGGGCATCACTATGTTGTGAATATAAACCAGGGTTGTTGTCTGATATAAGACAAGCACTTGATGCACTTCATCTTATGATAATAAGGGCAGAGATTGCAACATTGGGAGGTAGGATGAACAATGTCTTTGTGATAATTAGCTGCAAAGAACAGAAATTTGAAGATGCTGAATCCCGTCAGTTTCTGGCTGGATCTGTTCACCAAGCTCTTAGATCAGTACTAGATAGATTTTCTGTTTCACAGGACATGTTAGAATCCAGAAAGAGAAGGAGGGTTTCTATATTCAGTTCATCATCTTTAGGAGATTTCTTGTGAAAACTTTTCTTGTTAAATAGTACTTTAAATCTCCATATGCTTAGTATGATATAATGATGGGGGAGTGAGTGATATTAGCAAATAGCAATCTTTACTTGTTATGGAAACGGGAGTATATATACTCAAATGTTGTGCTTCCACTCTTCTTATCTAGATTTGTACTTTCTGAAAATGATTTATGTGAATGTGGATTGTACATGTATTGAGAGCTTTCCCAGATAGCTAGGTTGATAACTGGCAGCAGCATATTTTGACCGGAGATACAATGGTCTCTTTGTATGATATTGTACCTTGTTTTGGAGAAAAGTTTCTTCAGTTTTGAATTACAACTTGGGCTTCTAGGATTGTTAGTTTATGACAGATATATAAAGAAGGATTTTATTGGAAATTATGTTGTGATGTCGTAATAATATTATTTTTAATTGTTAATTCCTCAAAGCACTTATTAACATCTGTTACTTTTTAAAATATGATTTTGCAAACTGTTATCGTAAGGATACACATTAAAAACTATATTTTGTTTTAACAGCATATATTTCCAACAAGAGACAATCTTGTTTAAGTTAAAAAAAATTTATAATATAGTTGGATTGATTCTCTTAACGAAATTTTTTTCCTTACCTAACTCAAAAATCAACACTTTATTTAAGGAAAACTAAGCTTGCATTTAAAATCAAACCATCTTTTGCTCGTTAAAGAGAATATTAAACATTTTATTAAATATTATAATTATTTTAAAAAAGAAATCTTAAATATTTAAAAAATACTTTTTTAATATTTTAACTAGTACCCTAACAATTCTTTTAAAATTAGTTTTTGTAGTGTTTATTCATCCAAACTTGGTTAACACTCAAGTAAATACTTTTAACAAAATATATTTAGTGTTCTTTAACATACACTGAATACACATTCAAAAAATCGTTATCTAAAAAATAAATATTAAACAGTTTACATATTTTAATATAATAAATATTTTTAATAAAAAAATTTATTTTTATTTTTAACCCAATACTTACAAACACAAGTTAAAATTCAATTGTTGCATATAAACTCGAAAATTTCCAGAGCATGTTCCCCTTTATTCTCAGCATTTTGAAGTTAATAACTTAATATATTGACTATTGTATTTTTCTGCTTTTTTGTTTTCTTTTTGACTTGAAACCAAAGCAATCACTGTCCCACTGCATATCCACCAGGCCCTCTATTTCAGACCGTTCGATCCCAAACGTGAGCGAATCAGACGGTGGCATTTGCTCTGACTCAGAACCGTTTCGGTGCAGCGTCATCTCCTTCCTGAGAACGAAGCAGAGATAGACCGAACCTTCCTTTCAGACACTTTCTCTCTCTTCAGAAAGAAAACCCTAATTCTCCAAAATTTGATTCCTTTCTGACATAGTTCTTCCCCAAATTCACTCCTCCTGCAGACCCAGATCGCTTTTCTTCTGCTTCCTAATTCGCTGCCGTCGAATTTGCGATATTTTTCTGCCTCCCCATTATGGAGAAGGAAGAGAGCAAACCCGACATTCAGAAAAGTGGCGGCGAAAGCGAAGATACTGAACCAATAGAGCTCGTTCACTTTCAGGTGTCCGAGTGTTACGTCTACATAGTGAGTCTTGCAATTTTCTGTCGATGGGTTTGTCTCAAATCTGATTTTGATGGGTTGGTTTGGGCAATGGGTTGTGATTGAAAATTTGAAATGTGGGAATTCAATTTGCAATTGAATGGGGGTACATATGATCAAGTTTAATGTTAATGATAAAAAACAAGCTTTAAGGTTGTTAGAAAATTATGGTGGCATTGAATGTTGCATATAAAAACTTGAATCACTGTCAGTGATGAAATGGGACTTGAAATTTGTGAACTTCCGTTTTTTCAAGCTAATAGATTTCTACTATTTATGCAGATACCGCCAAGAAAGAGTGCAGCTTCTTATAGGTTTGTGATGAACTTCAAATTATAGATCCGTTGTGCTTATGATCTGTATAGTGCATCTTTAGGAAAATGTTAAGGTTATTAATGTACTTTACCTTGGAAAAGAAGCCGAACTATTCTGTGTCTGTGGAAGTGTGTTAGATCTGTTTAGTACATTTGTTATAATTTTAATTATTTTGTGTCTTTCATTACCTTGGTGGAACTGTGTTCTTTGTGAATAATTTGTTTTTGACTTTCGCAAGTTTAGTGACTTGAATCCTTTTATGGGCTGATGCTAAGTGTGTGATTGTCCAATAATTATATTTCTGAAGTTCATTTCAGGGCTGATGAATGGGATGTCAACAAATGGGCATGGGAAGGGATATTGAAAGTCGTTAGCAAGGGAGAAGAATGCATTATAAAACTTGAAGATAAGAGCACAGGTAAGATCACATTAAATCTTCTTTAACTAGATTATACAGTTATTTTTTTCTTTAATTTTTTTATTACTACTATGGAATATATTTAACTAGGTGAATTATATGCTCGAGCATTTTTAAGAAATGGAGAGCCGCATCCTGTGGAGCCTGTTATTGACAGCAGCAGGTGGTTTTCCATGAGTTGATAGTTTTAAGTAGTTTGTTATTATATCTTTGTGTGCTTCAGGATGCTTAACTAGTTATACGTATATTCTGCAGATACTTTGTTCTTCGCATAGAAGAGAACATAGGTGAGCCTTTATATCTACATTTTTTATTACTTCTTTTGCACTTTTAATCATCTGATCACTCGTGTGAGGGATAACAGAGTAGGATTTGTGAAGGATGGACAAAAGATAACATAACATGAGAACCTGTTTGGTTTAGTTCTTAAAATTATATTTCAGTAATCTGTAAAAATGACATGACTCTTTAACAGTTTTTTATAAATTAATTTCTTTTTTCTCATAGAACAGAATGGAATGGAAAATTTTGCTTGCTATCAAGTATATGGGAGAAACTTTTCTAGTTGCAGGCGACTTATGTTTTGTTTTCGTCAAAAGTTTGTGAAAACTTTTAGAACTCACTGGCAAGCTTAGATGATTTCGGCCCAAGTATAAATGTTGTCTTTTAGTTTTTGTGTAATTCAAGAGTTCTGTAAACAAGTGCCAGACAAGGGAAAAGAGAAAGAAATTCTTGAAGGACACATCAATGTATCATAGCCATTCTTTACTTTTAGACTGGTATAGGAAACTATAGATTTTGTCTTGAATTTATAAGCAAACATAGTGTTTGACAATCCCTTCTTTCAGAATCTTTTTGTTTTTACACAAAACTGTCTAAAAGTTCCAGTTGATGACCTCTTTGACCAAGTGGTCTCAAACTTGGCTTTTACTCTCTTCCACAGTTCCACTTTCTCTGTCGAACATTAATAATTTTTAATTTTCTATGCATCTAATCCTGTCTCCAGTTGTCATGTGGCATTAGCATTACTTCTTTTTAGCTGGAGCAAATTTACCTTTTAGTACTTTTTACCTCTTGTTATATTAAGTTGGAAAGACTCGTTTAGTTTGGATCCTATATTATCAAATACATATTTTTAATTCTTCGCTATATGTCTTATCACTTATCAACTTTGGTCTTTATTACTTGAAACCATTCAGGTGGTCGCCTTCGGCATGCTTTTATTGGCATAGGATTCCGAGAAAGAACAGAGGCTTATGACTTCCAAGCTGCTTTACATGATCATATGAAGTATCCTCCATCGAGTATATTTTAGATTTAACCATCTTTATTGTCTATCTCGCTATCTGCAAAAGTTGGTAGTCTTTTACACACACATTTTTTATTTTCATTGGCATAGAGGATGAAGATCCTTAAGCTTTTTTTTTTTAACCAATGAAAGCATGCCTTTTCTTAACTTTTTGTAAGATATCTGAACAAAAAGAAAACTGCTGAAGAAATGGAACAACATTACCAGCAAAGTTCCTCGGTTGATTACAGTCTGAAAGAAGGAGAGACTCTTGTACTGCAAATTAAGAACAACGTATGGAAATCTGCATTTTCCTGTTGTAAATGAAGTTTTTTCCCCTTTTTTGGGTATCATGATCTCTACATTATGCTATCTGTTGCCTGCAGAAAAGTGGTCACAGCATGAAGTCCAAGTTTTTTGAGCTGGGTCTGAACAATTCCCCAGAAGAAAAGAGTGGAAGAAAAGAATCTGTACCTAGCATTAAGTTACCTCCGCCTCCTCCAGCACCACTTTCACCAGTTATTGCCGCACAGAAGTCGCCAACAAACTCGCCTACAAAATTCAGCCTTGAGAAAACTTCTAAAATTGAGACTCCCAAAACAGTTAAAGAAGACCCACAACATGAGGATTCTCCTGAAGATCAAAGCACACAGGATGTACCAGATGATGATTTTGGCGATTTCCAAGCCGCTGGTTAAACTATCCATCGTCATGCAGTTTGAATCTTTGATGATTAGAAAATATGCAAAATTGTGAACTCCTTGTTCATCTGGCAGATACCAAAGGCCGCGAATTCAGCTTGGAGATTCAATTTAATTCTGTCCTTACCGAGCAGAGAAAGTAAACTCCACATAGGCAACAAAATATCATTAGGAATCAACCTTAATGCTTTGTAATCGATGGTTGTTTTATTTGCACTGCGAGCTATTATGTGAGAGTTTTTCTTCACTTTATTTCAGTTTTATGTTTTGTTTATATTTCTGAGTGTTGGGATACCTCAATAGTCATTAATACATCTTAAATCGGGTGCATAGTTTTGTTGATAACATAATTGCTGTTATGATGAATGAAGCAAATTGAGCATTTATGACCTTGTTGATTTGTTCCGTTGTATGATTGATGATCTAGAGCACTAAGATAGGGAAAACGCAACCTAGATAACAGGACAATAATGATGATATCAACAATCTGGGATAACAACCTTCAGGCAGCCTCAGTTTCCTTTTTCTTTTTATGCATAAAAGAGTGAATAATTCGTAAAACATTTGAACTCGACCAGCAAATATCAGTATTAACAAACTTGTTATGAATTTTGCATCATGTCAAATTTGAAACTGTTTGCCTCATCTTCCATTAAGAGTGTGTTTGGAAAAATTTAGGCAATTTTTTTTTTAAAGATTGTTCAATAAAACCGATTATTTTTTATTAAAACAAAGTTAAAATAAGTAGTAATTGGCATTTTTTCAAATTTTATTTAATTAGTATTTGTTTGATACTGGTTGAAAGTAATCTTTTAAAATTTTATTTTTGTTATTTTTTAGTTAATTCTCCATGATTCTATTTAATTTTTAAAATCTTAATACCTCTATGCCTTTGTCTCGTTCAAAGTAATACAAGCATTTTAACAAAATCAACAAATCCAATTTTTATAATATAAAATTGTTAAAATAATAATATAAATTTATTTATATTAAATTATTTTTATAAACAAAATTTCTAAATAAAAAAAAAATTTAATACACTAATTTTAAAGACGATAAATTATTTTAAATAATTAAAATATAAATTTTATTATTTAAAAATATACAGTAATTAGGTTTTAAAATTTGGTATAATAATTAATTATATTTTTATCTATCATTTTATATTTATCAATTATTTTTATTAAATATCTTTAATTCAATAAATTAGTTTTTTAATTTTTAGTTAACTTATTTATTAATTTTGCTAAACACACTCTTAATAGTTGATAGTTGGAGATAAATGCTCTGTATGCAAATTCTTTATAAAAAATCCAAATTATGCGAAGCAATACATTCAATCACCAACTAACATAACCTTTATAAAGGAAAAATCGGTAACAACAAAGTGTGCACATCACTGTGTAAAATGATTATCTGATAACTTTTTATAATTTGAAACTTGACACACTCTGTTGGCGAACGAATTATAAAGTAATTTGTAAAATGTTATATAAACACCCACAGGAAGAAAGAAAATTGAAAACAAGCAGTTATCAAGATCATGAAGAAGCGTCAATAAAACAAAATAATAGTACAAATGGCAACAGTGATGGCAGGTGAAAAAAATGATGGTGGGGACGATGGGGTCCACACACAGGTAAAGTGAACAACAATGATCAAAAGCTAACATAGGAATCGGAATCCACATGTCAAACGTAAGGCTCAGCAGAGCTGACTCTATATGTTCTCTCTCTCTCTCTCTCTCTCTCTCTTCATGCTACTCTTCTTACTCCTAATTTTACTTCTTTAGCCTTCTCATGATTCCTTCAGTTTGGCGTTGCTGAGGTTTCTCTTCTCTCTGTGGGTTTGCAACAAGTAAACTATGTTCTGTGTTGCTCTTCTTGTTTCTATCCTTGCCCTTTGACTTGTTAGAGCTATAATATAAATGGTTTTTGTTTTCTGGTTGCAAGTTTGATTTTTGTCTACATCTTTGGCTACATGTTGTTATTGGGGTATACTCTACTTTTTGTTTTTAGAGGAGGGTCGATTTTATTTTAGCCGTTCCTTTTGCAAATTTATACTATTTCCTTGTTTATTTTGTATATGGTAATTTTGATCTAGTAAACTTGGAATTCGCATACTGTTCTTTTGTGTTTTCTCTCTGCCTTTTCTTTCTTGAAGAGAAAGGCCGTTTAGGACGAAATAGCTCAAGGTAAAGGACTGTTGATTGTATGCAGTGAGTTCCTTAAAGGGAGTAATATGTTTTAGAAGATAAAATATGGACTAGTGTCATCAGTTTTATAGGTAGGTTTTAGGACTGTGAAAGATGGTTGAATTTGGCGTTATTATGTAAGAACCAGTTTAATTGATTGTTCAATATAAATGTGTTTTAGGATGGACTTTATCTGCAATTCATTTTATTTCTGTAATATCATCCTCTGATCCACGTACTTTTAGTTCTAGGCATATAGAAATTATCACCATCAATTGAGACTCTTTGTTTTTAAATTTTTTTTATTTTTTATTTTTGGTGATTTTTGGCCAGATAATCAAGTAGAATTTCAAGTTCAAAGTTTTATCTGTACTCATATCAGACATACAGGGACAGCTCTAATTACTCTTCCAGCAAGTGTCTTGTGATGGCTATGGATGTAAAAGGCATAACTTGGGTTGGAAACATATATCAGAAGTTTGAGAATATGTGTCTGGAGGTGGAAGATGCGATGTTCGAGGTAGGTCTTTGTTATCATTCATCCTTAACCCATACTACGTTTTTTTGTAGTTTCCATTGGGGAAAGATAACCAAATTACCCAACTTGACATGCCAATAACTTCAATAAATGTCACTGAAAACCTAAGATTATAATTATAATTCTTCAACTACTATTAGAAGGGTATAGCTCTTCATCTTTCGCTTATATGTCCCAAGCGTGCTACGTATAATTCTTGTTAGTATTGTTGCCACATATTACACTGAGAGTTGAATCATGAAAGCAACAAATCTCTTGTATTTATCTTGGTATTTACAGTGGTAATCTTTGATACTCTTTCTAAATTATTTATATGGTCTCTATTGAGTAACAGTAGCCTAGTTTAACTGTTGTTTTTGGGACCAATAGTACCTTGCTTCCAATTGATTTACATTAACAGTCAACTATAATACTTTATTTTTTTGGGGATAGGAAACTGTTAAGTACGTAGAGAATCAGATGCTGACTGTCGGGGAAAGTGTTAAAAAGATCTATTCAGATGTCATGCAAGATTTACTTCCTCCATCTATATACAATTTGGATGAAACACCAGCCTTTGAATTGCCTATTGACCAATATACTGATGCTGGATTCTCTAAGAAGTCATTTCAAGGTTCCAAGAAAATAACTGTAAAGGCTGATACCAACCAAACAACTGAGGATTCAAGGATCAATCGTGATGTTTATGATGATGTAATCCATACTGAATCATGTGATACTGATACTTTATTCATGTCAGCTTCTTGTAATGCTGACAAAGGGAATAGTTTAATTTCACATGCCAGACAATATGTTGGGAGCTCAGATGTTGAATCAAACCTTGCTAGTTATGAAAATCAACACAACAAAAATATGTCTACATCCAAGGCAGTCAGTGAAATCACTTTATCAAAAACAGATACATGCAGTACATTACAAGCGTGTGAGCTCTCCAATGTAAATCAACACCATGTGGCTACTGTTTCAAAGCCTGCTTCTGCTGAAGAACCAGCCATTGCCTCTGTAGCAGACCGTTGCAATGAAATTGAAAATGCCGATACCAAAGAAATCCCCCGTGTTCTGATATTGGTTAAATCAGCTGAAGGGAAAGAGATGAATACAAGTTCAAATTCCAGTGTCCTTTTTGGAGATCCAAATGGTAAGTACTTGAGTGTCTCTTGGATGTAGTTTCATTTTTTCTGCATTGTTTCTGTTGGTAATTTTACTTCTGATGGGAGGTGTAACAAGTATATTATTTTTCTGGTAGAGGTCACCATGGTCGGAACAATGCAGCCTGACGATTGTTCTTATAACACAAGCATTGTGTCTCATCCAGGTATTAATTCAGATCATTCTGAAGTACTTACTGAATTAAGTTTTCGATTCAAATCAATATGAAATAGTTCCCTGGTTTAGGTATTACTACATATCATCTAGAAGTACTCACTGAATTTAGCATATAAGTATGCACATCCATTTGGTTGAATTTGAATCTCTGTGCTGGCTGCTTTGGTCTCATTTTACAAGAAGGTGCATCAAAACAATTAGTTGAGGCATCCACATTTGGTTGCATTTGACAGGTCAGAACAAATTTGAGAGAGGGGTTGTGTGATGAAGTTCTTCTGTACTAAGTGGCATCTGTTCTTTCGCTAAACAATTCAACTGCTTTTATAGAATATATCGACAACATACCTGAAAAATGGTTCTTACACATAACTATGACCATTTTTACTCAATTGGAATATTTTGTGCTTTGCAAACTCTTCATTCGTGTATCTACTACATTCAGTAACTCTGAAGCCTACTTGGAGTAGATCTTTTTTCTTCCAAGTATTAGACATAAGAAAAGGTCTTTGGGTAGCCCCTTTGTCAACGTGCTCAGGGTTCAGGCACGTATGAATAGATAGTGTGCAGTAATTCAGTTTCATATTGTTTTTAGCTAGTAGTAACTTACACTTCTAATTATTTAAGAAATTACAGGAACCCGGAGTTTGGATGTTCCAAAGATTGATACAGTTATAGAGCATGACCATAAAGCCATACAACAAGATGAAGAGCTGAAGCTCGAGGAAACATGTGTTATGGTGACTAGAGATGAACTTCAATCTGTTCCCACTGCAGGGGGTAATCTAATAAATAGCAAGGTACACATAATCCTTCTCCCTCCCACCCTTTTTTGGTGCATATTAAGCTCTATAACTTGTTTTTCCATGTTTGAAGAACAAGAGGCGGCAATCCTTTTCTTTATCCAAGAAGTCTGCAAGGAAGCAAGAGTATGAGGAGCTTGCAATATGGCATGAGAACAATGAAAAAGAAAAGGGTGATAGCGTGGAGAATTTTTGTCCAACTTTACCGGAAGATCAAAAGAAGTTACTGCTTCTTGATATTTCTGAACCTGAGTGGGAGCTTCTCTAAATAGTAAATACTGGCATGACTAAGTTGTGTGGATACACAACCCTTCAGATTTTACATCCACTTATTAGTCCTTATGGAGATTGAGGTGCCCTATTGCAACAAAGATTCAATGTCCCACAATATCTATTATGTTACTACGTCTGTTTTTACTATCTCTAAAATTCCCTTTCCCATCCTCTCTTCATCTTACCTTAAAAACAGATAAAAACAAAAAAAGAAGGCTTTGTTGACCATTCAATTGAGAAACCCCAAATAGAGTGGTTAAAGTAGCTTGGATCTAATATATATGGAGTACTGAATGCAGCACATTTTCTCCGTTGACAATGTCCTTTCTGATTGACTTCCAAGTTTAGATACAGTATATATATAGAGAGGGGATTTAAAATGCTTTGTCATGAATGATAAATATCTTCTGTTGGTTTTTTCTTTGCACTTTTTCACGAGAAATAATTTAGAATTACGCATGTGTACTCTATAAGGTACAAGAGTCGTTGTTCTCGATTCTCCATTCTCCATTCGCCAGATTTAGTTCTCGTAGTTTCATACTTTGTTTGCGGCCTCCAAACCAACTCGTTGCTCTGTTCTCCTGTTCTTGTCACTCCGTTTTGCGTTGAGGGTCTTCACCTGACCACTGTTACGATGTTTCTTCATCTAATCACAAATTTTCGACAAATCAGCACCAGTTATGGTTACAAAATTGAATTTTTTTTTCATTGGGAGATTGAAAGAAGTGCAATGTTTGGGATAACACGGTGGGAACAAAGATTGTAAGAAGTGCAAGAAATTAGACATGGTTGCTTATATGTCCAATAGGAAAGAGAGATTTGAAGAAATAATTTTTAGACCCTCATAAACAAAGTTTTGAAATTATAATTCCAGAAATAAATTGGAAGAGCGATGATATTTCTAGAATTTTTATCTCTGGAATAGAAAGAGATGCTAGGAAAAAAAGATGAAATTACATAAACAAAATGTATTCAATTTAAATATGATAAAAGGGTATTTTGAAAAGAAAATTTACAAGAAATAAAATATGAAAAGTAAAAGTGAAGGTGCAAAAAGTAATGGCCCATGTTTTATAGATATACAAGTATAGATATCTAATGGGCCTGCGTTGTGAAGTCCAAAATCGGGCCCATTTCTGTTGTAGTCTTGTATACACCGCCCAAGGTCTAAACTCTAACGGGCTTCAAGCCTTCAAGAAAGCTTTTAATATGAAACATAACCAAAAACATTTGAAACCTTTCATAATAAATTTGCCAAGTTGACAAAAATTTTGCTTGTGACAAAAAGAAAAACAAATTTGCAACTCGCAAACTATTAGCAAAAGGTTTTTTCAGGGATTCAAACGTTGACAACTGACCAGAAAAAAAAAAAATGTTGATAAAAATATAAAGAGCAGTGATTTAAAGGTGACAAAATAGGTTAATCTTAAATTGATCTGATTAACTTCACTGAAGCATAAAATTGAAGTTTAAATTATTTTTTTGACTTTTGTATTCTATTCATCTAAATTTTTCTTTAATTAAATTTGAGCTCAGTTTGAACTTTAGAGATAACAATGAGGATAACTGGAAGGTAACGCAGCCCTCCTAATATTTTAATGTTGTTGGTTTATGCCCATTTTTGTGATCAAGATAACGATGCTTCAAATAGGGCTGTTCCCATTCTAGTTTACTTATTCACATTTCTCTCTCTATTTTTTTCCCCCAATTTTTTAATTAAAAAATCTATAATCTTAAAAAAAATTAAAACCATTTTTAGTTTTATGCTCACGATTCATTAATTTTCTTTTAAAAAAATCATTCAATTAATATGTTACCAATTTAATTATTTAGAATAGGTATTTTTAAAACAAAATATAAATTTATAACATACAACATTTTTAAAATTTTGATAAATTAATCATTTATTTCTTATATAAAAAAATATAAGTACTTCTTTGGAAGAGTATCTTATTACAAAATCCTTATCAACGTATGGGGATCACAATTCAATGATAGAAACACGTGTAAAGGAAAAAATTGTCACATTATTATTTAAAATAATAGGAAGCAATATGTAATTCACTAATTCAGTATCTAACTACTTATTATGACTTTCCAAGTATCATAATTCATAACGTTCATAGAATTTAGTATTAAATAATCCTTTTGGGGGACCCTTAATTTCTGTGTATTACCTCGTGCTATCGTCAATATATTCTCACTTTTAATTGTTTTTTGAGTTAAAGAATCAAAGTAGAGCTTCAAGAGATGAGAATATCTATGGTTGGTAGTTAGCTCAAGAAAGAAGGGTTTTCATAAAATAAGCCAATATATGCTTCTTTGGATAAAATCCAATTGTAACGTGCGAATTACTTGACTACCTAATCCCACCATTAGTTCTTTAAAATGGTCGCAGCCATAAAGCACATAACTTTCCTTAAGTACAAAGTTAGGTTCATCAATGCACATTTTGTATCTCACAGGATAATGCTTGCCATTATTAACCAATGAAATTTAAAGGGGTAACAAAGTGAAACATAAAGACATGTTGAGAAAAAAGCAAGCATCTCTAAACTTACTCATTTAATAAGCAACTTGTATTAGACTTCTATCAAAATGGGCCAGGCTCTTGTGTTGGACATGGCCCGCATAGAGCAACTAAAACTACATATTTTTTTTTAACGAGAGATTCCACATTCTCTTGTCCACTTTAAACCAATAGTCTTGCAAGAGAACAGACAAATGCAATTAATAGATCATTTGTTTGGATTATTATCTTTAAATTGGCTACTCTTAAAAATTGCTTTGGATGGTTTGCTACTTGGATTTAAAGAAGATGACGACCGATAAAGGAGAAGGACCTACAAGAAGGTGGGTGGGTGCATGATAGTGGCTGCCTAATGCTAGAAAATCTAATAAATAAAGATGCTCATAACTTAAGGCTTGAAAAGTTTATTTTATTTCTTCAGAAGATTGCAATTGGATTAGAGAATCAAATTTTACCAAGCTACTTGGCGATATTTGTGCACAAAATTTTAAGATTCCAATCTTACATTGTTGTTTTGATATTTAAGATTAACTAATTACTTTAATGTGTATGTATTTTTACACACACAATGACCGCATCAAAAGATATATTATCATATGATCATGAGAGAAGTTTTCTATTTCACATATCATGTAATTACATATTAACATTATCAAACTTTTTAATAATGTATATAATGCATAAAGATTAAACACCCTAAAAAACTTTCAACAAAATTTCTACCATGTTTGCATGATATTCAAATAAAACTTGATGACTTGCAATAGTTTAATCAAGACATTTGTGGGCTTATAAGAATGTTCCGTTATATAAGAAATAATTTGAAGTGAATTTCATAATACATTTAGAAAAGTGATACACATAAACATACAAAATATTAGATATATTAGTTCGGTTTTTTTATTAATTAACTTTTATTAATTTATCCAACATCCTCATTTAGATATGGATAGTGCTAAGGCGTAGTCTTGGGTCTTAGGAAATTGGTTATGAAAAAATAGAAAATATTTACTGTAAAAGAAAGATATTTCTAATGCTGAAAAATGGGAAATTATTTCAAACTTATTTTCAAGTAGTCTAAACTATATAACTAATTATATTAAATATCATTTAATTATTATAATTTACACTACACCTGCAATATATATATATATATATAAAAGTTTAACCACTGCATGGAGATCACATATGGATATAAACAGAGAAGGTAAAAGAATGGAAGAAACTTGTGACGCGCGTGTGGAGAGCCCTTTGAACCTAAGAGGCACTAACAAGTGCTGTTTCTCTGTTCTCAGCCAATTCTCGTGTTGATAAGGGCTTCCGTGAAAGCGATTATACGTAAAAGTTGAAGTAACATGTCAGAAGAAACTCGTTGCCTCATTGCACATTATTCAAGTAATGCTTTCGCATGCCAAAGGCCCTACACTACTCTACGCTGCATTAATGTATAATAGTAACCCTTTTAATGTTTTTAATTACGCATGTTAAGGGATTGAATTTTGCTATTGATACATCAATATTTTTTAAATTTTTTTCTCTTTTATTTATCTAGAAACTTAAAAATAGTGAGTGTGTTATACTATGTGTTTTTATTGCATAATGTTGTAAACAAATTTAAAAAAAAAAGGTATAAAAAATTAACTGCAATAACATTATTATTAGTTTCGCTTTTGGATCAATTACGCGACATGGTCTTTATTCCAAAAGGTGAAAAGCAAAGCATGTGTAATGTGTTGAGAAAACCTTGTAGCTAAGGATGGTCTCGTGGATTCGAATTTAAAAGAAAAAATTTATAAAAAGCTTGTTTTTATTATGAGTGGGATATAAAATATGAATTACAAATTTTGCAATGCAGTAAATGGTAGTAAAAGTTGAAATGTACAAAGGTGTATGTCATCAAAGACAATGATAAAAAAGGGTGTAATTGCATTACCAAGTTCCCATGTGTTCCACAGGAAGTTTGGAAACGTGACCCTTCTTTCACTTTAATTTAACTTCTTTTTCTGATTTGTGTTTTGGTTTGTGCGACGAATTGAAGGAGAGATCACGTGGAGTCTGGATCTGGTCCCGTCTTGCGGTCGGCCAATGCTTAACATCAAATACAAATCTTGCATGCATTAATTATTCTAAGAAATCATGATTCTTAAAACCCTTTATATATATATATATACATACATAACTCAAGATTTATTCATCAATATAAGAAATTGTAATGTGTAATTTTTGTTAAAACAAACATCAAGACAATAGTTTGTAGGAAATTTAAACATAATATTTTAAACGCTAATCTTCACTGGGAAAAATATTTGTAAAAGTAATTGTATTTTCTAGAACAATATATATGATAAGGTGCTAACTCTGAATATTATACATAGAGAAATTTTACTTTTACGGAATTTTATATAATATTTTTGTTAAAATATATTAAGAATAATATGCAAAATTCAAAGGGAAGATTACTTCACTGATTCTTGACCTCGATTTCAAGGGTCCGGACAAAACATTTGATGTATCAAAAGCTTACAGATTACAATGAGTATTAGTAGTCTGTTTTTTAAAGAATAGAACATAAAAATAAAACCTTAAATCATTGACTTGACCCTTGCCATGCCTTACGTTGCATTGTATGTTGCTGTAGCTAGCTCTCTCCGTCAAATAAGTAAAAATTGACCCACAAATCAATTCCAATTTAAAATTATTTCAATGATAAACAGTTTATAGTCTTTTTTTTTATTGAACAATTAAAATTATTTCAATGATATCGAAGCAACCTACACCAAATGGTTCATTCACACTCATTTCTTAATCAATTACATAATCGGAGGATAGTGTTTAAACGAGGCACACCATCATTGGACCATTTGCAAACTGGCCAGTTCCTCACTCACGCTCCTGCATGTGAGAATGAGTACTATAATCACTATATATTCTTTTTTATGTATTTGTACTAATAATAATACATTATTAATTGGTCGGAATAGTGATATAATTAACTAATTGAAAATCAGAAGTTCCAATGTGAACTTTCCTTTGGGCCGCACATCATTAGCCTAGAAATTTCTTGCAAAAGTATACAATATTTTAGAAAAAAACGAAATAGATTAATTAACATTAAAAAATAATAATTTAACGAAATCGATATATATTATAGAAAATGGGTGAGTGTAAAGATTGCTTAATCATTAAAAAAAAAACTTTTTTGTAATTTTAGAAAATATAGCACATAGTGACTGACAACTCACAGTTTGGCTTGGAAACTTTCATTCGAGTTTTATGGGTAACAGCACTGTGTAAACAATAGGGGTCACTTTTGCCATTGCAATTTGGTCCCTTTCTTTTAATTTTCGTATTTATCCTTTATCCCTTTTTCATTTATAATATGTCATACAAATTCTAAAACACGTCATTATTATGATACTGTAAACAAAAAGAACAAATTTTGGGATAAAAACCATTAATTAAGTCGTGATTGGTAAGCACTGTTGACTTTTGTTCATGGGGTTGCTATCCAGATTTCACAGGCACATTGAATCGTGACTATCTATGATAATTGATGGCAAAACCAGTAGTTTTAATTTTTCTTATTGTAAATTACTAATTGAAAATAAACATGTATGAATAAAAATTGAATTCAGTGCTGGCCTGCTGGGACACAGCAAAATGATTGGATTTTGAAATTTTACTACAATTTTTTTTTAAAGTAAAGAGGCAAAGAAACTGTGTCAGCTTGTTTATTCCCTTTCAAAATATTATATAGTAATTAAAAAGAAAAACAGTAAAGGATGAACATGATTCTTTCCAATTTTCATAACTTGTTTTATTTTTGCAGTGTAAATTGCCGTTTTTAATTGACTAACGGAGAGTCCTACGAAACTTGTGTGAATTTTAGTCAACATCGCCGTCTCTTGTCCAGTTTTCATTCAATTGGCATAGGAAAGGTTAAGTTTTTATTAAAGGTTATGGTTGCCATTTTCTCAAGTGATTTTGATAATTTTTTATTAATACTTTTTGTATTTTAATAATCCAAATAATAAAATTAGTACTATGGTAGTTTTTGCGCTGTGTTGAATTTTTTTAAAGAATGTCAGAGATAAAGCATCTTGACGTTTGTATTTATTACCCTAATAGCTGCATTTTCTTTTTCCCTATCTTACTTGTAATTATGGAAAGTTCTATGGATGGTGATGTGATGAGTTGGTGGGATCCAAATCATCTGTTACTTTTGTGAATTTCTTATATAATACTTCGAATAAAAAAATAACACACAGAAAAAGAAACTAACACATTAAAAAGAGAATGTTAACTTTTTATTGTCTTTCTAGTTAAAACATTGATCGGTCAGTCAACATTTTTGTATCTTATTTCTTTTTTAGACTTTTTATCTGTTATTTTTTATTATTTTCTTTTTGGGGCATGCCTATTTGAGTATTTGTGTCTTTACCTTTTACGAAAGCAAAAAATGAAAAGAAATAGCATGTGGCAAAAAAGATTTTTATTCATAATTCTGATATTAAGTTGAGGAAAATTAAATAGCCTATACTATATTAATTTTTACTCTATGTTTTAGGTACGGATACCAATAATTTTTACTGTCAAAATTTCTAGCCATAATACTAGAGTAGCTTGTACGTAATATTTTATTTTTTTTACGGACACAAGCCAATCCCACCGCCAAAAAAGGTTAATAATCACAATCTAAACAATAATTGACAATCATAATTCAATTTCAATATTGTGCAACTGCCTTTGTGAGTTAATGTATTGGATGATTTAATGTTGAAGAAGAAGCAACGACCAACATTTTGTGCCAATTTTCTTTTGCTAATTTTATGTTTACCGAAAATTTGTGTTAATATTCTATCAATACGCATATATTTACATGAAACTCCCAATAATTTTGCAGTGTTTGAAAAAAAAAAAGTATAGTGTAAGCTCATATGGTCAACATCTAACACCCTTTGGGAGGAGAGTCCTATATCTTCGCATGAGATGCATGCTCCACTATCCTCAATTTACTTTTGATTAGTTTTTCAAATTAAGTTTCAATCAAGACAATCATCATAAATTTCTCTGCCAACATAATCACATGAATGGGTTGTTATCCATATGTAGTAAAAAGATTAAGATAGACGTGGCTCTTTTTCAATGTTTTGCTAATAGCTGTCCAAATAGTATAATTGGAATGCCATGTATACATTTTATACTAAATAAGAAAAAAAAAAAAAAAAGCTGGCACATGAAAGACGGAAATTTCTTGGTCAACCCTTATGTGCTCTGTCTCTATGATCCGAACTCCAAATCTAAGTTGATAATGTGACAATGTGAGACCATCAAATAGCAGTGGTATCAGAGTTACTTGAAAGAGCATAATTGAGGCTGGTGTTACACATAAAGAAACACTGTGACATGAAAGAATCCAAGTACAACATCAATAATTAATTATTTTAAATTGGTATTGATTAGTAAAATTGTGAAAAATTACAAACAAATGTTGTTACTAGCCCTACCATAATAATCGTGATTCTTTTACCAAGGCACAAATGAAAAATATTTCTTGATGTGTTGACAGTAAGTTGAGTCCTTAGAGAAACAATTATCGCATTTTCGATTCACTTTCGTAGGGTAAATGCTACCATTATTTTTGAACCAAAATTATTATAATTCCTAGAGTTGTAAAGGCAAGGATCAAGATTAGATCCAACCCCACCACGACAGTGTTAAAAGAATCCATCCAAGGTAGAACTGTTTCTGCCAGCAGAATTAAATAAACAGATAATATGATAATGCATAAAAAAAAAAGATGAGAAAAAGTGCTCTGTTTTCACATTTTTCAATTGAACCCCTCTAACACACGCTCTCTCTCTTTCCCTCAGTCACAAACAAACACATCAACATTATATAAGCCTTTGTTTCAGACAACTTTTCCTGCACTCCTCGTCCTTTTCCTTCCTTCAACAAAGGGAAGTAGCAGGATCGAAACCCAAGAAATGGGTTTCTGGTCACCAACTCTGTTACTATGTCTCTTTGTTTCGTTTTCCCACCAAACAAAAGCTGAAGAATTGGACCTCTTCTTGAATGCAACCATTTCAAGCTCAAGCAGTGGCAGAAAGCTCTTAGGAAGATGCAACTGGTTCCGTGGCAAATGGGTCTACGACTCTTCATACCCTCTCTACGACCCTTCTACTTGTCCTTTCATAGATCCACAATTCAACTGCCAAAAGTACGGTCGCCCTGACACACAGTATCAGAAGTATAGATGGCAACCCTTCTCTTGTTCTTTACCAAGGTTGGAACTTTCACTTTCACTGCTTCAACCCTTTCAATATTTTCATGTATGTGCATCACGTTTGGTAGCTAACATAACATAGACATGAAAACGTTTCTATCAACAGGTTCAATGCATTGGATTTTCTGGCTAAGTATAGGGGCAAGAAGATTATGTTTGTTGGTGACTCTTTGAGCTTAAACCAGTTCAATTCACTGGCTTGTATGATTCACTCTTGGGTTCCAAAAACAAGGACCACGTTCACAAAGCAAGATGCGATTTCCAAAGTCACATTCGAGGTTTTTCTTAAAAATTCTTATTCTGTTTTTGTTTTCCTTCTTTCCATGTTTCGAAACTTTTTGCATTGAATTGTGGTGGTGGAAGTGATGATTGCTTGTTTGGTGTTGTGTCCATGCAAGTGGTGTCGTTTTCTCTCGGATTTTAGTTTTCATTTCAAAGTTGAAAATTTTAGTGTACCTGCCTTGATTGAACTTGAATACTGCTACTCATATGTCGGATTCCGTTCATATTTTTGTGTGTCGCTGCTTAAGCGCTGAAGAGTGATGAAGTTTGGGACGTGATTGATGGGGGGTTTCTCCTTTTGCAGGGAACATTAGTAATTGTTAATTTGAGGGATAATAAATGTGTGCTTTAATTGTTATAATTATACTTTACTTCAACTGTTGCTCTTTCTACCAATACCGAACGTGCACATAATATCCTTATAGCTAGATCAAAACATAAAAAAGAATTTACTTTTTTTTTTTTCTATTTCTTTTGGTAGTAAAATACTTTTTTAAAAAAATGTTTCTGAAAAGTGAAAACTATATTTATTACCACATTGGTGATGTTTCAGTTGCTTCATCTTTGTTAGGTTACGGTGGAAAGTGGAAAGGGGAAATCTTCCACTGTGAAATTTATATACTTAGCTAAAACAACAGTAATACTTTGTTCTTACTGTGCATTTTTCGTTTGTCGTTCATATGTGCATAGGAATCCTCAAAACTTGAAAAAGTTTGTGCTCCAAATTGTCAACACGTTCTAGCTTTATATAGAAACTTTGTTAAACAAATGTCTTAATTAGCAATGATTAATGTTGGACATCTAGTTTTCCCTCCAAATCTATGTTTTGTGCCGAGTTGTAGTAGTAACATCAAGTCATAAATCGCGGCTTAGTATTCTGCAGCACCCAACAGCCATCATTACTCATAACTAAATTATGAAGGGAGCATTACTCAGCTAAACCATTTTTCTGTGCATGATCCGTTTCTGCAACTTTAATGATTGAAAATTTGATATTTGCCTTATCTTTTCTTTCTCTCATTCAAGAAAATTTGATTAATTACTTACTTTACTGTGTTTGCCCACATCTAGTCTTCAATCATGCTATTTACAAAATATTACGAGTATAATTACACATAATTGCATATGGCTTCGTTCTGCTCTATTGAACATAAAAAAGTTTAAGTGGGCCATATATAATTATATATTATGTACATATACATGTATAATTATTTAAAATTGTAATTGCCACAGTAGTCCTAGGTTTGAAGATATGTCTACTGAAAATAACAATATAATTAGTAGTTTAGCTCTTAAATTACTTCCAAATTGGACCACATGACTAGTGGCTTGATTTATACGCAGCCCTCTGCTTGCACGACTTTTCCTATATAAATTCGCTAAGCTACAGAAGTGTCAAAAAATGGGCCACTTCTTTGTGATAAGGAGGAATTTCATTTTCTTCTAGTTACTTTTATTGCATGGTCTTTTATTTATTTATTTTTAATATTTTGAACCTAGAGGCAAGAAAAGACATCACTTGATAATTTGGTAGGGAAGTTTCTTAAGTATACTTACTTTGGTAGCTGACACGAAGAGAGGTGCCAAAAGAGAGAACTTAAAAAAAAAAATGCGAAAAATGGGGATAATTGTAGAAAGATAATTCACAAATATCTGTATAATAATAATAATTATTATTATTATTATTTTCAGGACTATGGCCTCCAGTTATTATTATACCGCACACCATACTTGGTAGATCTTGACCGTGAGAGTGTTGGAAGGGTTCTAAAACTCGACTCAATAAAGAGTGGTGATGCTTGGAGAGGGATGGACGTGCTAGTCTTCAACACGTGGCACTGGTGGACCCACACTGGGAGTTCACAGCCGTAGGATCAATCTTTCACATCATTATTAATTGTGTTATAATCAATTTCTCTTAGGGGTAAGCAATACTGATTATTTGTGTTAAATTAAAATCACATTGTAGGTGGGATTATATTCAAGAGCGTAACAAGTTGTACAAAGACATGAACCGTTTCATTGCATTCTACAAAGGTTTGACTACATGGGCTAGATGGGTTAACATCAATGTTAATCCAACCCAAACCAAAGTCTTCTTTTTAGGAATTTCTCCGGTTCATTATGAGTAAGTTATTTCTACTGCATCTAATTGATTAATTTAAGTAACTTTTTTTTTTAAATTTGTGAAATATTGCATGTAATAAGAATATGTATAATAAATTTTTATTCAAAATTATAATTTTTAATAAAAATTATTATTTATTAATTTTTTATCATGTAAGTTAAAAAATATGATTTCAGTAATAACGAGCATGTATATTAGATGATAATTTACTAGTACTGGTGGTGTATGTCATATGTTAACAAGGGGGAAAGATTGGAATCAACCAGCAAAATCATGCATGAGTGAGACGCAACCATTCTTTGGTTTGAAGTACCCTGCAGGGACACCTATGGCTTGGGTGGTGGTGAACAAGGTTTTGAGTAGGATAAAGAGGCCAGTGTATTTCCTAGATGTGACTACGCTCTCACAGTACAGGAAAGATGCACATCCTGAAGGATACAGTGGGATTATGGCAACAGATTGCAGCCATTGGTGTCTTCCAGGACTTCCTGATACTTGGAATGTGCTTCTGCATGCAGCTCTTTTTGGTTGAATGAAGCAGTGACTTAGTAACTTTGTTTATTAGGTCCAATTTATTAGAGGGAAAACCCATTGTTTTCTAATGTAGGAAATATTTAATTTGGCATTTTTCTTCTTGGAATTTGGACAATAAAAAATTTGATGCTCCTAATTGTAAATTTTCATATTATTTTGGCATAAACATGCCTTGATTGTACCAAATAGCCCATTTGGAATATTGAATAGCATTTGCAATGAAGTTTCTTATGGAATAACGTGATGTTTGATCCTTGTGAATCAAGTATACTTGATGAAATTCCTCTTTTCTGAAGCTTAAGAATAAAAAAACAAACAGAGAATCTGATCTCATTCTGCAAACTAAAGCAATGTTAAGCATCAACACTCCGCTTTAAATTACAAGAAGGAGCGAATAAGGCATCCAAATTTAGATGAAACAAACCTTTGTTCAAACTTTGACGAAAACTCGAACTGTTTTAGGTGCTCGTTGCTTTTTTCTAACCTTTCTATTTCAACTATTTAATAAAAAGAAAATTCTTACTTTCTCCAAGACAAGAGAAAGTGTTTTTTTTTACTGTCACGTTTTTAATTATCAAAACCCCTCACAAACAGTGAGGCCAAAATATTATCAAATGGTTGTAATTAACTTGGAAAGAAAAAGATATGGTGACAACCAAAGGAAGCAAAAATAAGTCTTTGAAAATATAATCTCTGAGAATGGGTTGCTGTTATTCACATATAATGGGCCTGCAGTTTGATGAGGTTGGGCTGAGTAACTACAGATGATAAGATTAATCCTTATCGTTTTTATGGGCTTAAAAATTTCAGTCCATTCCTCAAATGGAACCTAACTAACTAAACAAAAGCAAATAGTCAAGACCCAAAAAAGGCAAATAGTAATGACAAAAAAAAATATAAATTTCAAGTAGTCCTTGTTTCACGAGAAATATTATATCCTCTTATTATTTAAGTTTATAAATTTTGTTACTTACATAAAAATGAGACATTTCTATAAACTGTACTATAACTTTTAATAAAAATTAAAATAGTAAAAAAATATTTTTCTTGTTTGACATGTAGTAAGTGAATATTTTGAATTTGAGTGAGTTCATTGTTAAATTGTCTATTGTTATATTTTTAAATGATTTTCTATAAAACATTTTTATTAGTTAATTAAATTAATGATAATAACATTTAAATAAAATAAATAAATAAATGAGGTGCGATAACAGGCATGATGTCACCAAATAGTTAGATGGAGAGGGGACCAGGTGTCTAGCATTGTGTTGTCTAACTCATACGAGGCATTCCTTCAAGTTCCCATGTGTCTTAAACATGGAATGAACCCTTCCAACCCTTTCTATATCCAATGATCCTAATCTAAATATGCATTCCTCTTACCATGCTCATGCTGACCAATGCTGAGTCACATTAATTAGTTATAGGACCATCACACGTTGCAATTCCCCCTATTTCTTTTACCACTTGTCCTTCCCCATGCAAACCCCATCCACCTCCAACCTCTTCCAACCGCCAACACCTTCTCCTTTTTAATCACATTCACTTCCCATGCACACTCCACTTTCTACATTCTACCTCATTTCATTCACCCTCTTCTAAGATATACTCAAAGCATTGCCCCTGTTCTTAGAGTGTTAGTACTGCTACTCTACTACTAGTAGACACCAGCAACATGGCTTCTGAACAATTGGCTCGTAGAGAAAACACCACCACCGAGAGAGAGATTCACGTTGAGAAAGACCGAGTCCCCAAGATGACCACTCACTTTGAGCACCTTGCGGAGCAAGCAAAAGATTCTGATATTACAGGTGGCAAAGAGACTCCACAGGGGAGCATAGAAGCGTTACAAGGAGGAGAACAGTGCAAAGACCATGCAGGGAAAGCCATTGGCGACATTGGTGGACGTGGAAAAGCAAGAGAGACCCACGAATTGGGTCCTCACTTCGAATCCCTCGCTGACAAAGTGAAGGGTGAGGATCACAAGGGGAAAGAGAGTGACCATGCAGCCAATGTAGAAGCCATGCAAGAAAGAGAAGGTGGTGACGCTGTTCGTGATGTGGGCAAGTTTGAAACGAAAGGTGAAACAGAAGAAGCCTTAGACAGAGACAAAAGGGATAAAGAAAATCTCGAAAGACGAACCAGAGAAGTAACAGGAAGAGGAACAGAAGAGAAAGTTAAGGGAAGAGTTGGTGCTGAAAATGAAGGTGCAACCGCAGTTATAACTTGCAGATTGGAAAAAGGTGATAAGGGGAGAGAAGAGAGTGAAAATACTCAGCAGAATATGAAAGATAGATACGAGAGAGCAAAGCAACAAGCGAACGAGACACTGAATAACACAACACAGAAAAGCATGCAAGCAAAGGACATTGCAATTCAAAAAGCATCAAGTGCTGCAAAAACTGCAGCAGAATACACAGCTCCCGTGGCAGAGAAGGCAAAAGGGTACACACTTCAAGCAAAGGATGTTACCGTGGAGAGTGGGAAGAGTGCAGCTGAATATGCTGGTAAAATGGCTTCAAATTTGAAGGACAAGGCCACCGTTGCGGGCTGGGTCGCAGCCCATTATTCAACTGAGAAGACGGTGGAGGGAACGAAGGCTGCGGCCCATGTTGTTGAAGGAGCAGCAGGGTATGCTGGTCATAAAGCTGCTGAGCTGGCATCTAAGTCGGTTGGTGCTGTCAAAGGTTTGGCTGCTTCAGCTGGTGAGACTGCTAAGGATTACACTGCAAGGAAGAAAGACGAGGCACAGCGGGAATTTGAAGCCAAAAGAGCATCACAACCTCAGGTTTTATATAATATAATAATCTCGTTATTTCAATTATTAAAATTAAACTTTATCTTTTTAACATACCCTCATTAAAATTACATTTATAGTGTATTTTCATATAATTATAATCATGTTCTTTTTGCTTTCAGTAATATAATTATAGTCGTTCTATGTTTGTGTTTTTGTTGAGTCCTTAATTATATATCTTAAATAGTGAACTGCTTACTTTTTTAACACTTCATCATGAAGTTTGATTTAACTAATCGGAGTAATTGTGGTAATAACATGCTTTAAATATACTTTTAGATACGTGGAATAGATTTTGTGATATTGAGTGGTAGGACTTAACATGCAGAAGAATGTACGTGTTTAATGTTGTTGAAGACTATATATGCTGAAAATTGGCACTTTGATTTAGGAAGCTGAGGAGAGGCCACCAGATGGCGAAACTGTGAGCCAGAATGCACAAAAAACGAAACCCGGACAAGAAGGGAGGGGAAGCAATGTGTTGACAGCAATAGGAGAAACTGTGGGAAGTGTTGGGGAGAAGATAATGAAACCATTTGAAAGAGAAGGGAGAAGGGAAAGTGGGAATGACCAAAGTGGTGAAAAGGGGACATTGAGAAGCATTGGTGAAAGGTTAGGTGATGTTGCAAAAAAGACCAAGGAACCATTGGATAACATCACTGAGGGAGGAGGCGAGGTGTTGGAAGCTGCTGGTGAAACTGTGGGTGAGATTGGAAATAACATGATTAAACCAGCGGAGAAGGTTCAGGAACATCAACAGGGTCAAGAGGGACAGGGGGGTGGGGTGTTGGGTGCCATTGGTGAAACCATTGTTGAGATTGCTCAGACAACAAAAGTCATGGTTACTGGCGAGGGTGAAAGAGAGTCATCAAGGAAGAGTGTTGGGTCAGATTCTCGCTCAACTAATCGTGCCAAACATGAAGGATCACAGACTTGAGTCTTAGTGTTCTAAGGTTTAGTTATATGTCATGTTTACTTGACAGTAAGTTCCATGTTTTGGTTTTGTTCAATGGAGTTGTGACTAAATAAGAATAGTAAAATTGTGTCTTGTCGTAAACATTTTGTAAGTGTGGTTTCATCCGCAGGCAACTAAATATTAACTTTTGATGCTTTATATATAATTTAATAATGTGCTACGATATTTTTTAATAATTTAACACGATTATATTTTTAGAATATATCATTTACTCATTTAGTGTAATCAAATTTAACAAGGTGTCGATCAAACTTTTATAGGGTGCGTTTGATCTAGCCTTGTTCCCTCTTTCCCCACTTCTTTTGTTTTTGTTGTTGATGTGCACAAATAATAGTGGTTAGTGGCCAATGATATCCTCATGATTCCTTATCGCTTTAAAATATATTTTAATACCAAAATAGGATTGGCTAGAAATTAAGGCGAATATATATGTCAACCTTAGCACAAGAGTCAATCCTCTTTTAAGAACTTGTAATTATAAGATGGCTTAAACAATACATTGACGTGCAACTAAATTTTCGTGGTTACCATCAATTGAAGTTTATGTTTTATCTTATTTTAAAGAAAGATCATCTGTATCAACTGGAAAAGGAAGAATAATAAAAAAAAAAGAACAAAGGGGAAAAAACGAATTCCAGTAATGTACTATTGGCTTGATTCTGTTTAACTAGTTTATGTCAATAAACAAGAATAATTATTAGTTTATACCCTGTTTGATCCAAACAGAAGTAATGAATACTTGCCTTTCAATTTATATTTGAGCCTTTCAGGAGTCCCAAATGGGGCCGAAGGCAGGGATATTAGCCCTCTTGCATGCTCTAAGAACATCTCTACTACCTTCAGGATTGCTAGTAACAATAACCACTTCAACATTCCACCTAATAGCAGCATTCACACTCATTTCTGCTACATTGGGACGACCAGAAATGGCTGTGTCATGAACTATAACTTTCTCCTTTGAATACTTGTTCATCAATTCTCTTATTTCCTTCCCAAAGTTCAACTCAATATCCTTTGCTACCCAAATTAAGCACACGTCAGCTTGACTTGGCTGCAAAAGAAATGACAAGAACACACAAATCCCTGACCCTGTGGCTACCAACAACACCCTTTGATACAAATTCACTAGGTAAGGTAAGCCAGCAAAATGCATGGTGCGAACCCAAAGATGCTTTGGTGGGGTAGAAATCAAAGACTTGGTGAAGTCACCAACTGCACCAGCAAGCATCATATGCTCTTTCTTCCCATCAGATATGATCCCAAAGGCATGCCATTCTGACAAGGGTGATGGACTTATTCTACCTAGTAAACCTGCTTGAACACCACCTTCAAACTTAATTATTGAAGCATGGCTTGATGGTGCTGATACACTAACCGGAACCTTTCTAACACTCAGCCAAGGAATGACAACGAGAATTGTGATAGTTAAAGTGAACCAACATTCTTGCTTCTTGACCACCTTAAACATGGTCAAGTTATAGGTATGTGAAGCAGGTTCATAACTTGTGGAGAGAAGAACGAATAACCAAAGAAGGATGAGAGCAATCCAGCCGGCAAAGCGGTGGGTTCTCTCAAAAACATTGTGATGAAGGTGGCGAACAAGAGGGAAAGCTGCAAGGGAAGAGAGAAGAATGAGTGAGAGGATGGTGAATGCAACCACAATAATCTCCATGGAAGTTTTGTCTTTGTTTTTCAAAGTAAGAACTAGAGAATAAACAAGCCAGGCTATAGAAGAAACACCACAACCACTATGGATTCCTCCAACACTTTGAAGGAAAGAAGTGATGGCAGTTTTGATCCTAAGAGAAACACAAGGCCTCCCAATAGTCTTCACAGCTAACCAGAAAATAACTCTCAAAACTGCCTCACTTCTACATAGTGTAAGAGCTAGAATGTTCCCAATAGAGAACAGTGTAGCTCTAGATTTGCCATATGGGAAATACCCTTCAGCTGAAAGAGCCAGTGCCATCACATTCAAGGTCATGCAAACTATGAATAGCCCTTTGTATACTGTGAACCGTTGATCTAGCAGAATTATGGATAGCCTTGACCTCCTTGGTGGATCACTTTTGGGAAGTAGCTTTTGTACCTTAACTCCATTAGCTTTTTCTGGTTTTTCGAAATCTTGAACTTCAGCTATGAACTCAACCTCAACATCATCTGCATCAATGTCAATGTCACAAAAGTGACTGCTCGTCCTGCTCCTAGTTGGACTAATTATATGAGGTTGAGGAAGAACTTTGAATGAATTGGTTCGAGTCCAAGGAAGCCAAAGCCTAGTTCCAATTCGCTCTTCTTGCTTTGTTGGTGATCCAATTGCAAAAGGGTTGCTTCTGTTTGGATTGATTTCAAATGCCACCCCACGGCAACTTGAAAACCTGACCATCTTCATCTCTGTGCCTTCCATTTCTTCCATGGTAAATTGATAATCTATTGCCTTGAATATAGCAATGACAGGTAGACAATCTCATAATAGTAATACAGTACAGCTATAGATAGCGAATTCCATATATGGGTTGCATATTAGCTCCTAGACAAGGAAAGGCTTATGGTGTATATATAAAGAATAATCTTAAAAGCACTTACGTAACATCCTCTTAATTAAAAAAAATTAATTACAAAAAATTATTTTTTTTTGTAAATAATAGTGTGTAACGTATGGTTAAAGACTTCTGAAAATGAAAAATGTTGTCATGAACCAATCGTTATCTCAGATATCTTTCCTTATAGAGAAATCGGACTTGTATGAATGGATGTGGATAAAATGGAATTCATGATCACATATTCATTAAAATTATGATACTGTGGTTATAAATAAACAATTTCAAAAGTTTAAAATATTTTGTGAAAGCATGTGAATGGTGCTATATCTAATAATTTTCTTACAATATCTGAAATCATCTCTTTTTCTATACGTCAGTACTTAATAATGACTAAATTATTGATTAAGAACATTCATTGATTAGTTAGCGGGTTAGTAAAAAATTTCTTAGCAACAAACATATTGTGAACCTGGTAATTAATTGATTCCCCAAAAATAGAATGCAGCTAATTACATAAGGGGAAAAAACTGCTATGGAGTACGAAGTCGTCAGCACAAAAAAATGACCAATGAAAATTGGATGGTCTTTATAAAAATACGTGACATGGAATAGAAGAAAATATAATATTGTTTTCAAAATTGACATGTATGATTTCGTACATTTTCATCTTGTACTGACCATATTTTAAAAAAAAATAAAGGGAAAAGTTTCTAATAAAGAGCGATATATAACAATGAATTTTCTTTCTATAATAAGCAGCCAAAGGTTAGGACTGCATTAGTTATTTACATTAATCTTTCGGAAGTAAGTGGACATGCACCAGTTTTAGTCGATTTGGTATCAACACAGTGATAAAAAAAAATGAACAACTAAACATACCATATGCTCCTCTAATGGTTAGCAATTTGACCATTAAGAATTTTATTTTAACACTTCCTAGCCAGATTAATTTATGCTCTTAAATCAATATCCATTACATGAGTCCTCCCTTATACCTGCCAAGATATAAAGTATATATTTTGCTAGGAAAACCAAAGGCTCAAGGGACTGCACGTTCGAATGTGCCTGGGCAAATATATATCTTAATCCTGTTATATACCCACCAAATCTTTGTGATATTGCTGGTAAAGTCTCATAAAACATTGCATTATTGCCCATCACCATAATACAAACTCTCTTAACATTCTATATAGTGACATCATGTTGAGGAAGCATTTTCTCTCGACAAATGAAAAAAACAAGCTGAATCCAAACTAGAAACAATGGAATCAGTGTTAAGCATCAATTTGTCAAAACTGAGACGATCTTTTATTCTTTTCCTTTTAAACGCAAGGTGATCCCTCTAATAAAATTTTGAGGTGAAATTTTACCACTAGAAAAACCAAAATTAGAGACAGACTAATTCTGTTTTTAAATATACATTTGTTCTATTATTAATAGAATCATGTTTCTAAATATAGATTTTTCTATTATTATAATAGATTTAGAAACGGAAAATGATTTGTCTTTAAATTTGTGTTGTTAAACATTAAAAAAAATCTTAATAGAAGAATCTTAATAGTATATTCTTAATTATTAGTTAAAATTTATTGAAAATTATCAAATACAAAATTCAATTTGTGATGATAAAGGTGAGAGGATAAAAAGTGCATAGTCATGGATTAGATTTGGTAGCTTTTGGTTTCCTGTACAGAATTTCTTAAATGTCCATTGTTGGTTAATTTTCGTGTTTGACAAATAGAGTGGATTTTTTTTTAAAGTGCTGACAAAATCATTTAGGTTGGAAATATGTTTTCAACTGTTTACAATGTTTGAGAGGTATATGAGAGAAGGAAGAGCCCAGAATGTTGGTGTGATAATTGTATGAGAACTGGGGATAAATTAAGAGAATTTCATGGGTTTAGTAAACATTCCTTATCATATACAAAAAATAACTAGCGGAATAATTAGAATCTCTCAGAAATTCAACTTTGTAATCTCCTTATGATATTGTGGTTGATTTAATTATATGAATACGTAACCAAGTCTAAACATTTCATTATATTTTGATGCATGGTATACAAACATATTCAGCACCCATGTATGGATGTATTATAATATATAATAAATTATCTTTTTATTAGGGTCAAGTGACTTCAATTGTTGAAACATTTTAGTCCCCTCTCTAGATAATTAGATGTGTTTGTGGTTTGATTGAGCTTAATTTGAAAATAATATTAAAATTGAATTAATCTAAATTAATATTTTTCAGTTTGAATTGTATCAATTATTTTAATTTTTGTTCTGATTTTTTATTTTTAAAAGATATAACTTGTCAAATTTTTATTTTATAAATAAATAAAATTTTACTAATTAAATTATGAACACAATCTCAATTGTGTTAATTTTTTAATAATAATTATTTCTTTTATTAAAAAAAAACCTTCATTAAATCTATAATAATTATGAAATAAAATAATTAAAGATATTGAATCTCATCATAAAATACTAATTAGTCTAAACTACAATCATAAATCATAGAAAAATTAATATAAGATTAAAATGTTAGTGATTTGACTTATTTCAATTTTAAAAATAGGAATTGAAAATTAAATTAAACTATTAAAAAAAATTGAAAAGTTTTTTTTATTAATGATTTATTAGACTTTTTATTTTTTTTATGACGGTTTGAACAACGATATCTATCCAAATAGATTTCTTTTTGTCATTAACCAAATAGTTTTTAAAAAAATGAATCCCAAACTCGGAATGCGAAAGGGCTTTATTTTTTTATTTGTTTTTGTCACCATTTTTTGTCGTTAAAAACGGGCTTTGGTTATAGATGTTCAGCGCATTTCATTTTTTTTGGGTCCACATGGGTGTTATTGGGGCACAATTTGATACCCTGGTGGTGGCCCAAATTTTCTTTACATGCCCTCTCTCCTTACCTATCAATAATTGTCTCAAATAAATTATAATCCTCTCCTTCTTGTTCCATCACCATTTTTTATGTAAAAAAAATGCAAAGTAAAATTTGTTGTTTTTATTATAATATTATCTCCATTATTTACCTCAACTTGTAATGGCAAATTTAATTGTTATTTAGAAATTAGAAACTTCATAATATTTTAGATTTTGTTTTGGTATTCTTTTGTCTTTTTTTCAGTTTCTCTGAAGGCACAGAACTTCCGAACCAAGGATCTTTCCCAAACATTGCAGCTAACCATCGATGAGTAGTGTTTATTATTTTCCACAACTTAAATATTACAATTACTAAAATAACTGGGAAAGAATGCATTTAATCTAGGAATACGTCTTAAATATTTATTCCACGTAATAACTTTTTAAAATATGATGATTGAATTATGTGATATTTATCTGAATAATCATGTATATCAAATAGTTGATATATTAAATTTTTGTAAGTGTGAATTTTTATACCTCATACATACTTATACTTTGGAAAACATGTACATAAAAATAAGATTGGTTGATGTATCAAATAATTTTTAAATTACATGAATTTTTGTGAACTTGATTTAACTAAAGTGAGATTTGAATCTTTCGATTAAATTCATAGAAGTCAATGTCCATAAAAAGTAATTAAGTGAAATAAGGCTTGAAAAGAGAACAATGACTTTGACGATAAAAAGAGAACAAAAGAAAAAGAACCCAACCTTCCTAATTATGACTCGTCCTTCTTGATACTTCACTTAATAGTTCTACTTTTCACAGATACTCCATAGACAAAATGTGTTAGCTTTGAGTAGTAATACATCAGAGATCAACATGAGCCAAAACAATCATCAAACTGACAAAGATAAATAATTATAGACCAAAATAAACCGAACTAAACTCATTGATATAATTAATATATGCGTAAGAAACAACAATCTACTATGAATTGTCAATTTTCAGAATAAACAGCAACCACACAAATCAAGAATAAAGTCATCTTAAAATTCTCAATCTCACCGAAGCCAAAAGGAAAAATTATTAAAAAGAAGATGAGATTAAAGGAACCAGCACTAAGCCACCAACCAAACACAAGACTAGAACTTTCTGATACAATTGGAAAAATCAACAGCTAACAAGGAATCTTAGAGGTGAACCACTCCATAACATGCAGAGGAGCCTTTATCAACTCCAAAGCAAGCTCCACTATTATCGTTAAGCACAAACAGCAGGGACATATGCAGGTCAAAAGCAACCTGCAAATATTATAAACCAAAGTTTTAATTTTTTTCATATTTTAATTCAATCAGACCCCAACCCATATCATAAAATAATAAATCACACCAAAATCAAATTAAAATTACATGGTAATTTTACATGTTGAAGATGCGTTAGAAAATTGATCAAAGTGCATGGTATGAACTTACCCAACGATCCAGACAATAAGGCCAACGATTGAGAGAAGGAGGGAGAGAAAGGCGAAGGGAAGGCCCAAGAGAAAACCTAAGGGTCTGCAATCACCATCAGAATTGCACATTTCGATGAATTTGTATAGTAGCAGCTATCTCTAGTGTGTGTTTCTTTTTGGTGTGAGATAGAGAGAGATAATAATGATAGAGAGAATAAGGGGCTTTTTTGTTATTAGGAAGGGAAGAGAAACACGTTTGCTGGCTTTTAAGCAAAAGCAAAATAGGACACAGTGACAACAGATGAGCCTAGTTCCGCAGGTAACGGGTTTTCCAGGAAAGGAAAATTATCATATGCCTGGAATCTGTTCTTTAGATGTTTGTAAAATAAAATTAATTTGGGTATTGCGAAAATATTTTTAAAAATTAAAATATCTTTTTAAAATAATTAAAATATAAGTTAATTATTTTTAGAAAAGTGCTAGACATATCTATTGTGACTTTTAAATATATATTATCATTCTTAAGTCTTGAACTTTTTAATTTGTCTAAAAATAATTGGCAATAAAAAGAAAAACATCTACTCAAAATTATAAAATGGATTAAATACATAATTCTTATAATAACTAAAAGTATTTAATAAAATATTTAATATATTTGAATATGTACTAATGTACACATTAAAAAACTTCTTGATAAACCATTAAGAGTTAAGTTTAAATACCTAAAAAAAATAAAATTATTTAAAACCAACATATTTATTATATTAAAATTTTAAAAAATTGATATATATTTAAAGACTTGGTACTTTTAAGTACTTAAACTTATCACTGAAGACTTTTCTTTAAATCCATATAATTTAGTTGAAAGAAAAGAATTAATAAGACGGAAGGGAGTAGGGTATATTGGTGGGTGTGAAATTTATTCCAAGACCTGCAGATTCAGAATATTTTTGGTACAAATGTAAGAAAACAGAAATCTTCTAAAACATAATCGTGTATTGAAAATAAGTACAATTTGATATAAAATGATAAACTTAACAAAGAATATTAGGTCTGTCATTATCCTCCACGCACTATCTAAAAAGCTAAGCAATGACCATTGACTTCATTCCCCTTGAACGTTACGCCATGCCTCTAATGATCACACGCATTCATCAAATATTAAAATGTGTATTTACATCAGTGTCTACACTAACAGCTCAAGTGACCCATGTACGCAATATAAAGAACAATTTTTGCCTTCTCCTTTTGCTTACGCTTCTCATTGATAGTGAACGCGTGGTCAATCGAAACTTCAGACTTTGCATAAGCACTTGCAATCAGACAACTTTGCTAATAAAAGAATCGCATCACCCAACGGGTGTATGAAACCTTATCCCTTCTTCTTGGCGGTCGAGATAGGTTCCAATCTCAGTCCATACCTTTCCAGTGAAAGACACAGATTGCTTATCAGTTTGCAAAGATCATTCAGGTGGTCTGGTCAAACTTGAATTCCCACTTTCCATAGCAATGATGGAAGCCAACCTCTCATAAACCTATAACAACACATCCACATGCATCAAAACTAAACCAAAAGAACAGCTAAATATAAACAGTTTTGCTATCTAGTAGTCATTAAGGGCACTAATTAAGGAATAAAAATATAATATTTTTATTGAAAACTACGTCAGGATTTACTGAAAATTGCAGAAAGAAGTGTATTATAATGTTATTTTTAAAAGAACTTCAGACTTCTGATTTTATTTTTTTGTTTCGAGACTTCTGATTCCTAACCAATACCCGTGGAGAACGAACTTAGTTAGCATTTGTCAAAAAATAAAAATTACAGGGATGGCCAAAGTGATTGTCACTTACGGCAGAGAGCTGTTTTTTCTTGCCATCTTTGTCTTTCTTGTCCTGATTGCTTGTAGATGATGCATTATCATACCTAGAAGAGAGTATGAAGCAACCAAAATGTTGTTTTCATACAAATGCAGTAAGATGGAAATTTTCGGCTATGCTGTACTGGTATAAGCCTGAAATATTGTAGGTAGGGCCAAGAAAACAACCCGCAATATACAGTTTCTTACCAATCACGGGGTATGCCAGCTTCTTCTCGAGCCAAATAATTGAAGGGACCCTTTAGTTCCACATTGTATTCCTTTAGTAAGTCTGCATGGTTACAGAAAAATTTTATGTTGAAGCTTGCATGTCTTCAGTATGGGTCCATGTGAACAGATAAGTTGATATTAACCAGGCTTCCCAACCTTTAAAAGTGGAGTCTGGGGCACAACCCATTTTTTGACAAACAAAGACAAACCAGTAGACACCAACTGCTACATGTGCTACTTCCTCATCAGCAATTCTAGCCACAATTTTCGATGTCCTATTATCTCCAAAGCCAACTAATTTTTGCACTAGGCGTGGCCCAGCATCCAGTCCTCTAGCCTCCTACAGGATAAATAAATATGTAAATGGCTTGCTTGTGTTGATGTTGGCTGTCCTAACAGAGTTGGAGAGGAGAAAATTGACGGTTGACACAACTTACATATCGATTTTAACATTGATTATTTTTATTTTGCAAGAATTGATTTTTACTGAAAAACCAATCAGGCCATTAGAACATCAGCTTCACATAATGTTGAACATATTCATCTGGCATTTTGCTGTAAGCTTGTGAAAAGTTATAGTAGTGAAGTGCAAAAGATGGTTGGGAACTAACATATCATCATCAACTTTAACAAGAAGTTGATGAATAAGAAGCCCTACATAATTAGGTTGTATAGAAAAGAGTCTTCTAAAATTTACATGGAAGTTTTAAGAAAATCATAAGCCAGCAGCACCACTAACATCAACTTGTACCCACATAAAGAAGTGAAAAGATTATTCAAATTGACACTGACGTCTATGCATATCAGCAGCATACAAAGCATCAAATAATTTTCTTTCCTAATCAGTATGAGCCATTCTACTTATCACATATTCTATAAGTGATATAAATCCTAAAAAAGAAATAGAATCAGGAAAGCAGCTGCATAATCATTATTGCTACCACCAAAATAGAATCACGTGACCAGCTGGAAAACTTCTACTTGAGACTTAAAAGGAGGACCAAAGGAGGGGGTGAAACATACCTGGACTAGCGGGATCATTGCTAGTCGTGCAGCTACATTGTCTGATGATTTCTCACATTCACTCCATAGCAAATTGTGGGCTGGCATATCACCATATCTAGTTGGAAAGCAGAAAATCAGCATAACTAACTAGAATCAGCAACAAATTGAAGTAACAACTACCCTTACTTAAAACCCAGTTCAGCAAGCCTCTGTGCACACCAAGAGAAGTGGCGACTCTCATCATCAGCAACATGAGCAAAGTCAGCAAAGAAGCCCTCCCCTAGAATTTCACTGTAGGGAGAAAACCGAACAACTGTATCCCATGCCAAATCAATTGCATTGAGCTCCACATGTGCCAGATTATGAAGCATATAAGCATTCAGAGGCAAACCTGAGTCCTTGGGAGCAGGAATTTCCTTAGGGGAAACCTTAAGTCAAAGAAAACAACTTCATTTTGCATACATGATTAAGACAAATCAAAAACCAGGAAATAGATTAAATCTTCAGGAACCCACATACTACATTGTAAAACACTATCAACCAAGCCTTATCTCACTATGAATCACACAAAGTCATTGAACCTGGTTAAAAACCAAATTATTAGAAATCTGGTTAATCAAAAGGTTTCTCTTAATAACTTTAGATTAAAGTTATTTTGGGTCTCTCTCTCGATTGGACTAATAGTCATGCAATTTACTCTACTTATTAACGCTTCCAACAATCTTCTCTGCACATAACCAAATCACCTTATAGGATTTTTAGTCATTTTTTCCATTATAGGTGCTACTCTAATATTCTTTTGTATACTATCATATTGTATCTTGTCTTTTTTTATGTATCCACTCATCTACCTTAGTATTTTTATTTCTATCATTCTCCCTTTTTTCTCAGCCCAGAATTTATTACCGTGTAAAATAGATTACTGTATTGCACTATGATAAATTTTTCTTGATAGGTACTTTACAATCATAAATAACTCATGATGTCTTTCTTCATTTTAATCACTCAGCTTGTATTCTGTGACTAACATCTTCATTAATTTTTCCATCATTTTGTATAATTGATCCCAAGTATCTAAAATTGAGAACTTGTAGTACAATATCATCTCCTAGTTTAACTTTCAATGCATAAGATATTATTTTTTGTTAAACTTACAATGCATGTACTTTGCTTACTTCTACTCAGCAAAATCCTTTTAGATTCTAAAGTTCCCTTTCATAACTCAAGTTTAACATTAAACTCTGCCTATGACCCAATAGTCAGTCCTAAGCCTGGATAAAGAAGGAGGATTGTGTTAGGCATTCGGCAGCCAGCATAAAACATAAAGTTAGGGAAAAAAAAAACTTAGAAGACTAAATATTTGATATGACACAAGGTACAATATAACAGATAATATAAAATGAATATATATATATAACACACACATATAACTCTTATATTCAATCTAAACTTTTTATTTAACTTACATCTATCAGATTATAATTTATTACTTCACTAACTATTTAATGTAAGTTAAATGAAAAACTCAGATTAAGTATAAGAGTTTTTAAACATACCCTGTATATATTACATAAATACACTATTGTAAAGAGACATTACAACCTTTAAAAATGTGAAATTTCCAAATTGGGATTTATGATTGTGATGTGACATTTGGGTCATCAACTAAGTGTTTGATTAACACGAGGGAAGGGAAAGAGAGGGATTTTAACGGAGAAGAGGGAAGAAAAGGAAAGACAAACTATTAGCTATTTCGTTTAGTTCATAAGAGGGGAGGAAAGTGAAAATATCTTCGTCTTGTTTGATTCGTGAGGTGAAGTGAAAAAATAATTAAGTTTCTATTATATCCCAAATAGATTAAAATGTAATATTTTCATAACTTATCTCGTTTGTAAGTCCCAATAAATTAAATTTACATTTGAAAAAAAAAAGATAGAAGGAAAGGACTAAATTAAACATTTCAAATCACACTTCGCACAATAAAATTAGAATAAAAAAGATTAACACAATAAAAAAAATTGAACACTAATTGTGCGTAATTCATTCAAATGAATCACATAACATTAAAAGATACCATTACTCAAATCAAGTTTAAAGCAAAACACAAAATATTTTTTTATACCATGTGAAGGAAAGGTACTAGCTGATCTCAAAAGAGGAAAAAGATAAGACTATTTGATGTGAAGAAGTAAAAGGTATAAAAGTGAAATTCGTTGAGAAAAAAATATATGAAGTTAATTTTAGGTTTTTAATTTTACGATAAGATATTTTAGTTTCTTCTATTTAAATTTTTAAATACTTTTTCTCGTCCTTCTAAATACTCTCAAAATACTGTCTCCTCTCTAATTAAGGAAGATTTTGCTTCCCCTCTTCCCTTCTCAAGAGGGATTAAAAATTCGTCCCCTCCTTCAACCAAACAAAACGTAAATGAGCAACATTCACCTATAATGTAAATTGAAAAAGAAAAGCATGGGGTAATTAGGCTAATTACATAATCTGCAATCAGAAGCCAAAGCGAAATAGAAACAAACAAGTGCTAAGCGATAGAAAGCACGAACCAGGTGGGGCTTTTCGGGTCGGGCAGGTCGAGAGGGGGGTTTGGAAATGCCGAGTGGAAGGTGCAGGCGGCGCCACGTGGAGTAAGCCATGTGAGAGAGGTGAGACTTGGTGAGAGGGTCTCCGGTGGAAAGAACGATAGAACCAAGCTCAGCCAAGGAGGAAGCATCCCCAAATGGAGACTCACGGAGTTGGAACAGGGGTTCGGGTTGTGGACCATGGCCTCCCCACTTCCGATTCTCGTTCAGAGGACTCTCTCTCCATGCATCCAGACCAGGCCACGCCGATACCTGGAAAGAAGAAGAGAACCTCCTCGGCTTTGAAGGGAAGATAAAACCGCGTGAGGGTGATAGTGCTACCACCATCACTTCAAGTTTCAGACGCTGCATAACTACTCGTCAAATCACACCCTCAAGCTCGGTGCTTGTAATTCTTATTCTTCTTCTTTTAGTTCTTCATAAATGTTTTCTCGGACAAAATCAGATATATATATATATATGAACCGTTTTATTGCATATTTAATTCAATTTTCACTTTTAAAAAATATTTCTTCTATCATCTTTAACTTCTAAGAAAACTAACTAATATTCAAAATTGACTGTTCCGAAACATATGCTTAATATATTCTTTTCGTCGAATAACCCATCTTATCGTATACATTCCACTTTTCCTGTCTCATGTTCGCAAAAAAAAAAAAAGAAACGATACGCAATTTTGTTGTACAGATCAGATATAATATCTTCTTAGATCACATATTAACGTTGGTCAGTGAGAAAAATATACTGCAGTGCACAGCAAACGAATGCCAAGTACGAGTTCAGTTCACACCTGCTGTTTATAGTCCAATAACAGGAGTTAAATGCAAACAAGTGTGCGTGTCATGGTTGGGCAAATTTAAAAAAAAAATACAATGCTCGCGCGACCTTGAAAGATTTAAGTCTAACCTTAAGACATCATAAAATGAACTTAATCATATTATATGCATAACTAAAATCTAAAGCTTAACGTGTTGTTGACTATACAAACTGCTAGTAACCACCACCTGATTGGACAGCCGAAAAAGACAATATAACTTGTACGCACAACTGAATTGCTCAGGATCAGATCTCTCAAAACCATGGGATCAAAATGAACTTTCTTAAATATAAAAAACAAGCAACATCCCCCCTAACGCCCCAATATCATTACTAACAAACGGACGCCCTCAACCCATGCTATATATTATACGAAATGAGATTTCACGTGAACCAATAATGACTTCAAGAACTTGGAATTACAGATTATCTTTGTAAAACACCAAGAATCCCGAATCTGCCAGCACAAAATAAAAACAAGTCATCATTGGAACTTAATGGGTGTAGCAGTAGTTAGCAATGTACACTGCTACGGAAAACTATCTAACTATCATCACATTCTACCAAATATTTTACAAGAATTTGTGTTATCACAAATAAGGCCATCAATAGCAACCGTGCAAAAGTTCCAACAGATGAGAGGAAAAGATCCCATACTACCATCAGTAGGTCACATGCGGCCTTGAGAATGCTCCCTTTATAACCAAATGCTAAATTCAGATCCAACATCTATCTGTAAGCGTGAAAAAACCAACTAGGCAAGCATCGCATCACTATCTAATCTAAATATCTGACATCTGCCACACACATGAAATGAAACAACAATGGATAAAAAGTTAGAATTAGTTCACATTTTTATGATCAATATATTCAGACAGTCTGATCAACTGCAAGAACACGTTATTTTGATTTGTTCAATTCACATAGTATTATACTTTAAAAAAAAGGATAACTACACAAGTTATACTGTAAAAATAAAAAGGCAAGACAATTATTGCATATTTAGTTCCTACAATGGCATACTGAGCAATGTCCACAAGGAAAGTTCCTAGAATTTGTTATTTCTTCTGGGGGCTCAAGTAAAAAGTGCAAGACAACAATGTCATTGAATATTTAAGAAATGGAACTCCACAATAATGCATTTCTGTTCCCCTAGTTTATATTGAAACACATAAAAAATGAAAATTAGACATGTAATATAATAACCTAAGCAAAGCAAAGCAAATCATCATTAAGAAAGAGACAAATAGTAATAAATATACAGAAACCATCATTTCCAAATCAATGACACAAAGTCATATAGTATAAAATCCAATATAGCACAATGTAAGGATAATGTTAACAAGGAACTGCAATACAACCAAAAGAATAAAATGAAAAAAAAAATCAATTTATAATACAATGTAGTACCGCTCAAGAAAAGTTCAATACCACATTCATAACAGTTCCTTCTCAAATAGTTCCAGAGACCAAATAACTATTAGAGAATCATGAAGTGAGAAAGCAAACATGACTTCTCACACTATCAATATTTACTTTCCAACATACTTCAAATATTTTCAGCCAGAAATTACTTGTTTAAACTCTCTATACACAATCTTCCACTGATCACCTTCTAATCTTACCACTAAATACGCTTACATAAGACAATAGTGTTGCACCTCCAAAAGCATGGCACAATGAAAATTTACACACACACACACACACACAAACCAGTATAGAAAGCTAAGTCAAAGGGGATCAGTGAGATGGAACAAAGCATTTTAGAAGAAATCACAATTCCTCAAAACATTACCCATAACCAGGAAATCTAAACATCTACACATCTTAAAGGTATAGGCTTTACCAATAAAAAAGAATAAGCCAATGAAAAATGCAGTCCTACAGAAAGGTATATGATTCACTTTTGAGACCTTAAAAGGAAGTGTCTTCAAAGAGACTACTGCAACACTACCACTTTAACAACTAAGAACTAACAAAAGAGAACGTATAACCAATTGAATAGATGTCAAATTTTAGAGAAAATGGCACAAATATTTCCTGCTAAAAGTGCAGGAAATGCAAGATTTCTAAAGAAACACTACATTCCAAAACTAACAACTGGCCACAATATTCAATTTTAAATTGAATCTTAATTATTGAACCTGTAACATACTATCGCCTTAAAATATTATATTTAAAAGTGCACACATATTCAGCTCGAATGGATAAGTAAACCCTAATAACAAGCATGGAGCACCAGAAATGGACTTCAACCACAAATCTATGGTATACCAGTATTGTTCATTGATGAGCAACACAATCATGATAGTTAACAAAAAATCATCCTGAAAGATATCTATGTCGCTTGATGTAATTAAGACAATAAGTAAAAAAAGTATGATGCCAGAAGCATACCAGAAAATAAGGAGAGCATATACTGAAATAAATCTTTGGAGATTGTGGTCCTACCTGACAGAACATAATCATGTTCTTTGAGACCCAGCATCAGAACCAGACGAAGAGGAACTATCACTATCAGAATCTGTCACAAGAAAAAAAACCCCATAAAAATCAGACAAACATTGATTCAAATGATAAGAAGAAAGTAAACATGCGTAAAAAAATGAATAATTAGTATGATATATCTTTAACAAAACAGTTCATCAAAGTACCACTTGAAGAAGAGCCAGAATCACTGGTAGAACTGCTTGAACTACTTGTCTTACTCCCATTATCGACTTGAATTTGCCCTTCTACAGGGATGGATGAGGGAACATTTCTTTCATCTGCTCAACAACAAAGCCGATAAGATACTTCAATCATTTCAATAATCAAGATCCACGTTAACATCATTATTAAAAATTACCTGCTTGTGTTTCTTTCTGAACCTCTACCATAACTGGCAGCTGGCTCTACAGAAAGCATGAAAAAAGAAACGCATTTAGCAATGATTGTTTGCCAAAGAACTATTGGAAGTTAAGATTGAAAACTTTACCTTCAGTTGGGCATTCTGCTCAGCTCGTGCTCTAGCTTGAATAGCAAGTTCAGCCTTCCTCTTGTTTTTGCTCAAACTTTTCTTATAGTTGGTCACAAATCTGTCAAGCTCCCAGAGAGTCTCAGCATCCACACTATCGATGTCCACTTCAATTTCATCATCATGTTGGGAAAGTGCCGAATTTCTCTTCTTAATGATCTGTACAATTGCATCTAGCTTCTCAGAAGGTAGACTCTGAAGATTTGTGCTAAGTTTTTGCTTTTCCTCATATGTCATGTCTCTTTTATGAGGATCTTTTGCCTTGGGCTTTTTTGGTGCAGGGGTTCGAGAGGAAGGAGTAATGCTCAGGATTTTTGGAGGTTGCGTCATTGATTCTGATCTATCTAAAATCCATCTCATATCAATAGGTGGGGGGCGAAATGCAGGAGCCTTTCTAGACAGAGGTGAAGGTGTAGGGATAGCTGGCCCATAATCTAGGCCATATCTCATTTCACGATTGTAATTTGACTCTATTATAGCCCATCTATCCTCAAATAACTTTGATAGCTGCTCTGCCATTACATGAACATCTTGCCCTTTAGGATTATAAGTCATGGCATTCCGAAATGTGAGTCTCACATCCTCTGCGAACTCCTTGGGTGATTTGTACCAATTCTGGTTCAGCCTTGACTTCACAGTACCCAAGTCCATTGGATGCGTGATGATGGTAAAATAATCATGCAAACCAAGACCCTCAACATCAACTGGAGCATTAAACACCCAACCATGCTTGTGTTTCATCAGCTTTTCAAGCAATGAACTGCAACTCTTTAAAAGCTTGGATCCCATGCCATGTCCATGTCCCATTTCTCCTGCACCATGCTTTTTCCCATTCAATTTTGACTTCTTGTTACTCTCCGCAGGCGGAAACTTATCTTTCGCTAGCAAAAACTCAGAGTTGCGATAGAACTGGTTTGCCTTGGGCGTCCGCTTCTCCTTCTCAACAATTTCGCCAACCCCTTGACTGTTCTCTAAGACCGATAAACTTAACTTATGCAAAGACCTGGTGGGCTCTCGTGGAACAGCACCAGACACTACCTCCGATGGAGGACACTCAATTCCCCCCTCATTGTCAATCCTATGATCCACCAACATACTTGAATTACCATACCCACCACTCAACCCCTGCTTCTCTTCAATTCTATTCACCAAATTTCTAACCGTGTAAAGCTCGCTCTCGAGCCTTCTCCTTAGCTCCCGCATCTCCTGCTTTGACCGCGTAGCCAAGCTAATCTTAACACGATTATCCAGCCCCTGCTTCGGAGCACAGTTCCCCGGAGACGAGTCTCGCATGCCTGGGCCATTGTCCTGCTCAACATGGAGGCTCGAAGGTTCATCCTGAGGCCGATTCAGGCTAGAAGTGTCATCCGAAAGCGCTTCCAATCTGGAATTCTCTAGCAACCTCGAATTTTCTTGCGGCTGAGCTGAATTACCATCCTCCGGTACCGTCACCGGAGCCAGCGACTGAACCGAGACGTTAATACCATTGTCCTTGGCCCCATCGTTACCATTCTCGACAGTGCTGTTATCCTTGTTGTTGTCAGTGGCGGCAGCGACGGTGGCGGTAGCGTTGTCGCCGTTACCGTTGGTAGTAGTTGCGGTGGAAGGAGCGGCGGAGGGAGGAGGAGGAAGAGGAACGGCGTTCAACACGTTACCTTTGTTTTTTGGACCTTTAAAGGCTTTTCTGGTGTATACTTTGCTCTCTGTGTATCTCTTCTTCTCCCTTGCTTCATCATCTCCAACTATAGGCCCCGAAGCCATACATCCAAGACCCTAGTCCTTTGTCCCTCAACCTTAAACTTTCACCGAACACCAATTCCAAACCCTAGAATCCAACCCTAGGGTTTTACGGTCGCCAAAAAAAAAACGAATCTCACACGGAGAAGAATAACCTCGATCTCCTAGGGCTTTTCCCGGTCAAATCCCAAATACCAACACGAATTCGACGCAGAACGACAGAGCGTAAGAGAAGAAAGCGAGGTTCTAAGTTTGCGAAGCACAGAGAATAGGGTTTCGAGCTTCGTTACCTTGGTTCCGATCAGATCTTGCACTTTCTCTTTCTCTTTCTCTCTCCACGATGGACTTTCTCTCTCTAGAAATCTCGCGGATTTTCTCTCTCTACATATATATACTACTACGGAACCCGTGCTAGCACGGGATTTATTTTAACTCAATTTATTAATTTAAATAAATAAAATAATTCCTAAACGCTTGATATGAATTTAGTTCCAATCACATATTTTATACAACAAATATTGTCAACGATAACATATGAGGAAAAATTAAAAGGGTTTTGTTAAGAGCTAAGTATATAAATAGAAAATTTTTATTAAAAAATATATAATTATTATATTGAATTATAAAAATACAATAAATATTTTTTTAATAAAATTTTATTATTAATAATTCTTTATTTTCAATCTTTAAAGTTAAAATTAACAAAATCTAAATTTAAGTCGAGCAAGTCACATTTATTTTCAGTATTCATTCTAAGAATAAGAAATAATATATTCTTCTTAACGAAGATGTTGCTTTGTTTTCATTCTTTTGAAGTGGAAAAAATAGAAATCTTATTTGATAGGAGAATTAAGCTACTTAGCTTAGTACAAAGTTTCAACTACCGTTATAAAGTATTAACTTTTAACTTTTCTTATTAATGACCTTGTCTCAAAGGGTGCTTCCTTTTTTTCCTAAATTCGAATGTATGAATTTTTTCTTGATTTCTTACTTTTCAATGTGCTTGTGTTATCGAATACGATTTTTAAGTTTTCATATTCATACAATATAAAAATTTAATAATTTCTTACTGTTAATATTTTCACAATTGTAATATAAATATTGGCAAGTGTTCATGTAAAAATTACATTTTCTATAAGAAAAAATAATATTATTAATTATTAAGTACCAACGTTAACCTAAATTTATTCATAACTAAAAACAAAAAACGTGCTGCATAAATTGTGACCTATAATCTATGAAAAATACAATTCCTAGTTTTGATTTGTTTTATTATATGTAAAACAAAAGTTGTCCATTTAGCATGTATTACACAGTCAATCATTTGATGGTTTCTTTTGGCAATTGTTAAATGGCGTGAAATTCTTAGGTGAAAGTTTATATTATTTGAATTTAAATTCATCAAAAAGGTATTCAACCTAGAGGTACCTTTCAAGATACCCAACAAGTATATGAGTTATAATCATCTTAGGACTAAAGATCAAAGACAAATTACAACTGGACAACATTAATTAAACTTTGGGAGTGTTGAAAATGTTGTTGAATTAAAAGCAAATAAAAGGACATATAAGCAAGCTGTGAGTCCAAATAGTCGTGACATCTTTTTATATAAATATTTATTTAAGCTGAAATTCCACTATTTCACCCTCTCACACTGATAAATAAGGACCCACGTAATAGATTATGTTTATAACAAAAGATGATAATATACCTCTGCATGAAAAATAAAAGCCTTAATGTTTAAAAGAGAATTTTTAGAAATAACACTAAAAGAGTATTTTTAGGATTTAATTATTTTCATAATTATGGCATTAATTTATTTTATATTTAATTATTTACCATTAGAAAATTTAATTCAGTTTCAATTTATTTATTTTGGAATTTATTTTTAAATATAAAGTATGTAGTATTATTTATTATTTAATATAATAAATATTTATTATTAATAATTAAACTAATTGCTCTTTTAAACTAATATTTTTAAAATATTCATATAATTTATTTTTTTATATTTATTTAAATTTAAATTTATTTTAATGATACAAATGTAATACTAGGAGTTGGAGTGTAGACTATGGGCTTCTCACATCAAACAGTTGTTAAATTATTATTGTGTTTTTAGATTTCAGAATAACTTCTTTTTTAGATTTTCACTTTTACATCTATCGCATCTTGTTTTGAGCTTCATTGCGATTTCATCACTCATCTGGATCATATTTTAAGTATCAGTTACTTTTCAAATACTATAAAATATATATAAAATTTTTAAATTATCATTAAAAATAGCATATTCATTGGCCTTCATTAGCATATCAAAATTAACACTATTCTATAAACATGTTTCTAAAATTTAAAACTTTAAAATTTTAAAAATCAATATATAAAATTATATTTTCATACTTCAAAAATTAACTTTTAAAAATTAATTATTTCTAAAATAAATTTGGAATTATGTTTTTATATTTCTAAAAACTAATTCATAAATATATTAAATTTTTTCAGAAATAAGCTTCATAAATTAAAATTTTACACTTCCAAAAAATATTTTTGACATTATTAATTATTTTTGGAAATAAGTTTTTAAAATTAGAATTCTACATTTTTTTAAAAAATAATTTCTAAAACTAGGTTTTCATAAATTATATTTTAAATTAAAAATTTCACATTTTAAAAATTAATAATTTTTATGAATGTTTCCATAATTAAGGTTCTAGAAGTATTTTTTTTTTTTATACAAGCTTTCGAAATTTAATTTCTTAAAGTTGATTTTAAATATAATTTAGAGTTTTAATTCCAGAATAAATTTGAAATAAAAAAACCAATCAAGATTATTATTATTATTATTATAGAGAATATTTTGGAGAAAAATATTAAAAAACATTAAAGTGTGATTTATTTTATTTTATTTGCAAAAAGCAACCCCATTCTCCGAACTCTCCCTCCAACCAATTCCATAATCTAGAGCAGCCCACGAAACCTGAAAGAAGAGGGCCGCTTGGGATTATAGTGCTTATTCTTATGGTTTTAATTCTTCTTAAATGTTTCATCTCTCAAAACAGCCCCACATCATGTAACTTATCTAAAAACATCAAAATACTGACTAAGAAATTTAAAAAACAAATTATCTTTGGACTGTTCTATTGCATATTCAATTCAACTTTATTTTAAAACAACGTTTTTTTTTTCCAGCTTTTACTATTAAAAAAAAGTAATTATTTTTCAAAACTGACTGTTCTGAAACATAAACTAAATATTTTGTCATATCATATACAGTTTGAACTTTTCCTGTCTAATGGTCGGGAAAAACTTAACACAATCTTCTTGTACAGATATAATATCTGAGATCACATATTAACATTGGTCAATGAGGAAATAAACTACAGTGCACGGCAAATGAATGCCAGGTATGAGATCTGTTAGAACGTGCTGTTTCCAGTCCAATAATGGAAGAGTTAAAGGCATATCTCCTAGTAATCGTTAAAAAACATATCCTACAGATTATCTTTGTAAAATACAAGAATTCCGAATCAGCCAGCACAAAATAAGAACAAGTCATCAATGGAGCTAAAGGAGAGTAGCAGTAGTTAGCAATGTACACTGCTACGCAAAACTATCTAACTATCATCACATTCTACCAAATATTTTACACGAATTTGTGTTATCACAAATAAGGCCATGAATAGCAACCGTGCAAAAGATCCAACAGACGAGACGAAAAGATCCCATACTGTATCAGTAGGTCACACGCGGCCTTGAGAATGCTCCCTGTATGATCAAATGCTAAATTAAGAGCCAACATCTGGAAGCGTGAAAATACCAACAAGGCAAGCATCGCATCACTATCTAATCTAATTTCTGAGATCTGCCACAATGAAAAAACAATGGGTAAGAAGTTAGAATTAGTTCGTTCATTTTAATGAACAGTATAATCAGACAGTCTGAGAGAAATGTTCACTCATCCAACAGCTGTTATCTAATTTGACATGTAATATAACAAGTTAAGCAAAGGAAATCATCATAAAGAAAAAACAAATAGTAATAAGCAGACAGAAACCAGAATTTCCAAATCAATATAGCACAATATCATACAGTACAAGCTCCAATACAGCACAATGTGAGGATAATGCTATCGGGAACTGTAACACAACCAAGAATAAAATGAAAAAGAAAAAATCAATTTACAAAACAATGTAGTACCATTCAAGAAACCTTAAATTCCACATTCATAACAGTTCCTAATCAGATAGTTCCAGAGACCAAACTACTTTTATAGAATCATGCGGTACGAAAGCAAACATGCCTTTTCACACTACCAATATTTATGTTCCAATTCAACATGCTTCAAATATTTTCAGGCAGATATTACTAGTTTAAAGTCTGGAGGTATATATTGACAATGCAATCTTCCACTAATCACTTTACAATTAAATCACTAAATACACCTACAATGAACAACAGTCTTGCACCTCTATAAGCATGTGACAATGAAGATTCACACACACACCAGTTTAGAAAGCTCAGTTTTGAGGGATCAGAGACAGAAGAAAGCATTTTAACAGAAGCCACTGTCACAATTCCTAGCACAATTAACCATAACCAGAAAAATGAAACATCAGCACTTCTTAAATGGATAAGGCATAGGCTTTGCCAATACAACGTGCTTTCTACAAGTAGAGTGAATATAAAAGGACAAGGCAATAAAGAAAATGCAGTCCTGCAAAAAGGTACACATCTACCATTTTAACAACTAAGAACTAACAAAAGAGAAGATAACAGTAAATGAATACATATCAAATTAATAAAAAATGACATATTTCCTGCTAAAACTGCATAAAACGCAAGGTGTCTTTCTAAAGGCAACGCTACATTCCAAAACTAACCACTGGACACAGCATTCAATTTTAAATTGAATAATTATTGAACCTGTAACATATGATTGTCTTAATTTTGTATATTTCCATATGAAGATAAATTCAGCTCAAATGGGTAAGTAAACAGTAAATGCCAAAAACAAGTATGGGGCACCAGAAATGCACTCAACCATACATCCATGATATGCCAGTATGTACATTTATGAGCAACCGAATCATGATAGTTAAAGAAAAATCATCTTGAAAGATTTGTGTCACACGAAATATTTAGAACAGTTAGTACAAAACGCATGATGCCAAAAGCATACCAGACAAAAAGCGAAATAAATCTTTGGATATTGCTATCCTACCTGACAGAATGTATTCATGTTCTTTGAGACCCAGCATCAGAACCAGATGAAGAGGAACTATCACTATCAGAATCTATAAAATACAAAAAACAATAAAACTCAGAAGTGGTGTGATTGAAATGATAAGCAGTGGGGAACATGCATGAAAATGAACAATATGTAAGATATTTCAAAACCAAAGATTTAATTAAAGTACCACTTGAAGAAGAGCCAGAATCGCTGCTTGAACTGCTTGAACTACTTGTCTTACTCCCATTATCGACTTGAATTTGCCCTTCTACAGGCATGGATGAGGGAACATTTCTCTCATCTGCTCAACAACAAAGCACATTAGATACTTCAATCAATTCAATAATTGAGATCGACATTCACATCACTACAAAAAATTACCTGTTTGTGTTTCTTTCTGAACCTCTACCATAACTGGCAGCTGGCTCTACAGAAAGCATGAAAAAAGAAACGCATTTAGCAATGATTGTTTGCCAAAGAACTATTGGAAGTTAAGATTGAAAACTTTACCTTCAGTTGGGCATTCTGCTCAGCTCGTGCTCTAGCTTGAATAGCAAGTTCAGCCTTCCTCTTGTTTTTGCTCAAACTTTTCTTATAGTTGGTCACAAATCTGTCAAGCTCCCAGAGAGTCTCAGCATCCACACTATCGATGTCCACTTCAATTTCATCATCATGTTGGGAAAGTGCCGAATTTCTCTTCTTAATGATCTGTACAATTGCATCTAGCTTCTCAGAAGGTAGACTCTGAAGATTTGTGCTAAGTTTTTGCTTTTCCTCATATGTCATGTCTCTTTTATGAGGATCTTTTGCCTTGGGCTTTTTTGGTGCAGGGGTTCGAGAGGAAGGAGTAATGCTCAGGATTTTTGGAGGTTGCGTCATTGATTCTGATCTATCTAAAATCCATCTCATATCAATAGGTGGGGGGCGAAATGCAGGAGCCTTTCTAGACAGAGGTGAAGGTGTAGGGATAGCTGGCCCATAATCTAGGCCATATCTCATTTCACGATTGTAATTTGACTCTATTATAGCCCATCTATCCTCAAATAACTTTGATAGCTGCTCTGCCATTACATGAACATCTTGCCCTTTAGGATTATAAGTCATGGCATTCCGAAATGTGAGTCTCACATCCTCTGCGAACTCCTTGGGTGATTTGTACCAATTCTGGTTCAGCCTTGACTTCACAGTACCCAAGTCCATTGGATGCGTGATGATGGTAAAATAATCATGCAAACCAAGACCCTCAACATCAACTGGAGCATTAAACACCCAACCATGCTTGTGTTTCATCAACTTTTCAAGCAATGAGCTACAACTCTTTAAAAGCTTGGATCCCATGCCATGTCCATGTCCCATTTCTCCTGCACCATGCTTCTTCCCATTCAATTTTGACTTCTTGTTACTCTCCGCAGGCGGAAACTTATCTTTTGCTAGCAAGAACTCAGAGTTGCGATAGAACTGGTTTGCCTTGGGCGTCCGCTTCTCCTTCTCAACAATTTCACTGACTCCTTGGCTGTTCTCCAAGACCGATACACTTAACTGATTCAAAGGCCGGGTGGGCTCCCGTGAAAGTGCAATCGACGCTACCTCCGAGTGAGGACACTTAGCTCCATCCCCATTATCAATCCTATGCTCCACTAATATACTTGAATTACCAAACCCATGAACCAGCCCCTGCTTCTCTTCAATCCTATTCACCAAATTTCTCACCATGTCAAGCTCGCTCTCAAGCTTTCTCCTAAGCTCCCGCATCTCCTGCTTTGACCGCGTAGCCAAGCTAATCTTAACACGATTCTCCACCCCCTGCTCCGGAGCACAGTTCCCCGGAGAGGAGTCTCGGATGCCTGGACTATTGTCCTGCTCAACATGGAGACTCGAAGGCTCATCCTGCCGACGGTTCAGGCTACAAGTGTCATCGGAAAGCACTTCCAAACTCGAATTCTCTTGCGGCCGAGCTGAATTCCCGTCCTCCAGTACCGTCACCGGAGCCGGCGGCTGAACCGAGACGTTATTTCCATTATCCTTGACCCCATCGTTACCATTCTCGACAGTGCTGTTATCCTTATTGTTGTCAGTGGTGGAAGCAACAGTGGCGGTAGCGTTGTCGCCGTTGGTAGTAGTTGTGATGGAAGGAGCGGCGGAGGGGGGAGGAGGAGGAGGAGGAGGAAGAGGAGGAAGAGGAACGGCGTTCAACACGTTACCTTTGTTCTTGGGACCTTTAAAGGCCTTTCTGGTGTATACTTTGCTCTCTGTGTATCTCTTTTTCTCTCTTGCTTCATCATCTCCAACTATAGGCCCCGAAGCCATACATCCAAAACCCTAATTATTTTTCCCTCAACCTTCAATCTTCACCGAACACCAATTCCAAACCCTAGACTCCAACCCTAGGGTTTTACGGTCGAGAAAAAAAAAACGAATCTCACACGAATAAGAATAACCTCGAAGCTTTAGGGCTTTTTAACGGTGAAATCCCGAAAATTAACACGAATCGACGGAGAGGACAAGTGCGTAAAAGATGAAAGGAAAGTTAGGTTGGCGAAGCAGAGAGAGTAGGGTTTGGAGTATAGTTACCTTAGTTCCGATCAGATCTCGCAGTTTCTCTGTGTGTCTGAGACGGAGTTTCTCTCTCTAGAACAATCGGTGATTTTCTCTCTCTATATGTATATAAACGGGATATCCTCTTATCGCGTCACAGGTGTACGGCAACGGAGGCTCGTGTGTGGAACCGTGGACCGGGGTGAGTGAGTGGTGACGCGTCTGGGGGTGAACCACAGGGTCTTCTCCGGGAAGCATTATAGCACCAAATTTTGGGGACGCGGACTCACTCGATTCATTCGAGCGTGTTCCTCACGCTCCAATAAGGAGACAAGAAGAGAGGCTTGTGTTGGTGACGCGGCCCAGCAAGGGAGAGAGGCTTTTGTGGCGCGAGGTTTCGTTTCCGAAAATTTGAAAAGTTTGCGTAGGCGTAGGTGTCGCGCGTGATGTGTACTCGCATGTTCGGAGGTCCTCTGGCGCAGATGAGTCCCCGGAAGGAATTAGCACGCGCCGGCGTGGCGGTTGGAGTGTACACTTGAATTTTTTTTGGACCTTTGGATTGGTCTTCCATGGGCCTGTGTTGTAGATCGAAGCCCAATATTATTTTGAATTGAACATGTAGCCCACTTTCGAATGCTGTAATTCATAGACTAGATTGTATAATTGATTGATTGAATGAACAAAAATAAATAAATTTGATTGATGGATATAATTTGGTGAAAATTTATGTTCAAGTTATTGTAGCACAGGGGAGTTGGGAGAACAGAGCCTTAAATTTAAAGGTGAACTTTTATTGTAAAGTTAATGAATAATGTTTCATATTTCAAATAAAGTAAAGTAAAATAATCGTGTTACGATTTTATAATTACTTATTTTAAAAGTAAGAAATACTAGATAAGAAACTAGTAAACATAATTTGTTAAATGTATCAATATAAAAATATTGAGTATAATTTTAAAGAATTAAAATTATTTTAAGAGAAAAATATTAAATTATAATTTTTAATGAAGAAATTTTTTTATGAGTTTATCTTTAACACTTTTTATTTTTATTAATGGATATAATTTGGAGTAATCGTGGTATTAAAAGCAGGTCGAGAGCAGCCATAAAAGGCGACCTTCAATTGTATAATAAATTGATATAAATGGATAAAACAAAAAACACTGAGTGCTATTAATTTGTTTGGATCAATTCAACTATTCGTGATTGAAAAAGAAAACAAATTTGTTCTTTATTCAGAAAAGCATCTGTTTCTTTTAGGCCTTTTATTGGCATAGTAAAAAAGTTACTTTTGACAGAATACTAATTTCTTATTTTCTGTTAAAAAAGAAAGAAAGAAAGGTAATTTCCAACGGGGCTTAGTTATGACTAACCAATTTAAGGAGTGTTTCAAGGAAATTCATTTATATATTTTATTAATTAATTTAAATTACTTAAAAGGCAAATATTAAATAATTTTTAAAGTTTTTAATATATTATTTTTACTAATATTAAAAGCGTTTTTTTATACATTAAAATAATTTTGTAGCACAGTAAATATTAATCTTTGCCTAATCGTAAAATAAAGTCAAGCTGTAGTCCAATAATAATTTTTTTAACTTTATTATCTAAAGTATCATTGTTGAAACCCATGACCTAAAAAACATTGTTGAAACGCTAAAATAAACTGATAACTTTGACCAAACTAACACCACTCATAACTTAAATAAAATAAGCCTTGGGTACAGCAAAACTTCAATCACGCTTCAAACTACTACTAACATATTTTTTAGAAAATATTTTAGTAAGTTATGTTTTTTTGTATTATTAAAAAGTTATAGTCATCACTTCTTAACATTTTTTTTCCTAAAATATAAGTAAATGTACCGTAATAATTATAAAGGTTAATACAAATCAACTTTTTTTTTAGTTGAAGTATGATAATAAACTATTTGTTTAATGTATTTTAAGAAAACTCAAATTGTAACTTACACACATACTTATTTTAAGCAATAAAAAGTGAATGAATAAGGAATAATCATTCAAAATATGGGTTTTGAATAAAAAAAAAGGGAGGGGAGGGAGAAGGGGTAATCAGGGATTGCACTATAAATAAACTATACACTAAACTGGTTATTATATGTGTAAGATTTTGTACACCTTCTTACCAAGAACATAAAAGAATTTACAATTGTACGTATAATGCTCAATGAATATTGTGAACAGAATATACGACGATACAGATGGATGGTCCAATATATATGCAAGCTCATCAAGTTGATCAACAATGAGAAGAAAAAACTGAAAAATAACTTTACTAAGTTAACTGTAACTCACTACCAGAATTGAAATTAACGATGAATTATTACATATGATAATACATCTACTGATGTTCTTCCAAAGCAATTGACGTGCACGTTTATGCTCGATTTGACCAACACTTAACTCATACAAGGTGTAGAGAATAAAGATCATCAAATAATCTACGTTGACTTTGAATACTATTTTTGCCTTCTTCGTTCAGGGATCATGCAAATCTTAACGTCGAAAAACATACAGTATATGCTAAATGCTATGTATTAAATACTAAAGAGATAGATTTGAAAGTGGAATAGAATCAATTAGCTCACATTAAGTACAGTTTACTCCATATCTTGACAAAAAGAAATACCTCTTTATTTTCTTTTAAGCTTACCAAATATTCAATTTTTTACTTTTCTTTTACGTAACAACCACCACTAAATAAAGTGTTAAGATGGATGTACGATAATCAACGTGTACATTGTAATACCTAATACTTTGAAACCAAATTATCTAATGCTTCATAATATGGAATTGATATGTACTGGTTTTTCACTTTTACGTTGCTTATATATACTTTCATATTGCCATTGTTTTATAGCAAAAAAATACTAAGCAAGTACAAAGAGTACCCGACTCCTTTATCGATCATACATTAAGATAATGAATTAAGATTACATTCATATATATACCTGCTAGGGGAGGAGTGAGAATGCAAGAATTCAAGCTGAACCGAAGAAGATTTAGAATTGAGTTGTTACTTGAATTTTAAACTAGACTCATTAATTCTTCAAGTTGTTAAAGAAAATTTTACACTATTTCCTTTCATCCTTTTGAGTTGTTACCCATTAATTTGAAGCACTATCCTAATAATTAGACAGAGAATAGGTTGTTGCTTGCTTTTCTTAGTCTTATGTTTTAAGCATGCTAATATACAATGACCATATTTTAAAATATTGTAAATTATTTATTTGAAAAATAGTTTTTTCATGTTATTTGATGTAAGTATTGTTAGGCTATTTTTTAAACTTTATAGATATTTGTCTATGATCTAAATCCATACTCATCAAATAAATATTCACTATAAATATATTTTTTAATAAATAATAAGTATAACATTCATCGTCATCTTCAAGACTAAAGATAAAAAGACAGATTATAATTGGGCAAAATCAAGAGGAGAATGTCAAAACATGTTGAGGTAAAAACAAATAAAAGAGCATATATACAAATCATGAGTCGAGTCAATATTGTTTTAATAAATATCTCACTCAAATTTTAAATTTTAGTAACTAAGTCTCTCACACCCATTCATAAAGGCGCACATATAATAGATTGTGCTACTAACAAAAGATAAGGATTATATTTCATAAATTTTGACCTTGAATATTATATAGAACATGTGAAAGTTTCTAGAATAAGTTTCTGTAAACATATACATGCGTGATACCACCAAAGTGTTTCTTCTGATACTTTTTTTTTAATCGGCAAACAGAACTTATATTCAAGATAACGAGGTACCAAAGTTTGTTCAATTGGTACGAAAACTCATTTTCCTACGCGACTAGTACTTAATTCTTGGAAGCTTTTTGTGCATGCTTCAGCGGCCTCCTTTTTGAGCATTATGTATTAATGACAAGAGTTACATTATTTCGACAACATTTTTAAGCACTTATGTGTACTTTTATATTTTATTATATATTTTTTTTATCTTCGTTCATGTCACAAACAGCACTTTAAAATGTGGGAAAACTACAGGGTTCCCGTTTGGTGTCCATAGAATTTTTTGCTCTTGTTATTATAGGAGAAATCAGCCATCAGGAAAAAACTGGACTAGAATCAGTGGTCTCTTTAATTGTATATATAATTTTTACAATGAGCATTTATGCTTGAGATTGAATTTTGCAGGGAAAAGATGTTATATAATATATATCCACGGAGATGGATTAGAAAATGATAATTAAAAATAGTGTCATATAACTGAGAAAAAGTTATATATATCATTGCAATAGAAATATTGTGCCATACTACATGAAATTCTGACCCTTAGCCTCTTCACTTAACTTCTCTAACAACGGAAAAGGAAAATTAAAGGACAAAGGGAGGAAAGAGCATACAAAAAAGAGAACATTATCCATACTACAGACAGACAAATAACAGAAACAACAATGATCCATACTCCACCTACATGTGCTCCAAAACACAGGGTTTTGAAAGCAAATAGGTTTATTTGATAGCACTACGAAGTTCAAATAGGGGGAGAAATTAAAAGGTACTTTAATTTCTTGGTGGTGTTGCATTATGATGAGGATCAGGCCCCTCTGGTGTGAGTCTATGTTCATTTCCATCCTTGTGAGGGACATCATCGTCTTGAACATGCAAATGCTTTGATAGATCAAAACTTAGTTTGTGAAAAAGGCGATGAGTGCTACCTGCATTTTCATGAATATTTGGGTGGCCTTGGAGATTACGAGCTTGCAAAGTCATGAAGAAGGAAGTGAAGAGGATGATTAGTACTACAAGTATCGACACTCGAGCTACTGTTGCATTCGCCATGCCGCGAAATTAATGTATGAATTGATTAAACAAGATGCTAAAAAGTGGCAATTACTAAGCTTGAGCTAGGAGATAGTAGATGAAAGTAGTGTGGAAGCTGACTATAAGGCTTTATTTATATATAGGCAAATGAAAAAAGAAATTTGGCTTTAGATAAATGTAGGTGGAATCTATTTAATTATTAACTCTTTGAAAAGGTTAAACGATTAGTTTAGGGATCATACATGGTTTTTATATGAGTCTTAAAATATTGTTCCTCACGTATAAGAATCCTTTAGGTTTTGAGACAATACATATCATGTGCTTATTCTTTTTCTATAGAAAAAAAAAATTGAGATATATCAAATTCAAATAATTAATCATAAAACTTTGCTATTGGATAAGTTGTTCTATAAAAAGTTTTGACTGTTTAGACTCATTTTTTTAATGTTATTAATTCAGTGTTAATATGGGACTTCTATTTTCTAATATGTGGCACCAACTCTTTAAATAAATGAGTTTTTTTTTTTTTTTGTCTAAAGAAATCAATATATATGCTTACGTAGATGAACAAAATCCATTGAACCCAGATTGCCGAATTTTAACTTCTTACGCGAACATAGGTTTCTGGTTTTTTTTTATTATTATTATTCTTATTTTCTCGAGTTGATAATTAGAAAAACTCTCCTTATTGATATATAATTAACTGCAGGAAAATCTTCCCTCGACAAAGAAAATGGGATTTAATTTCATACTACACTTGTTTCAAATGACTAAATTAGGTAAAATATTTGGCACTATCTTCGTTATCCCCAGCCATTAATCTTTCCTATTATTCTATTGCTACCAATGCCATGTATGCCACGTTTCGCATGGAGTATTTTGTATGCATAAGATTGTTATAAACAAAATCGTGATCATGACTTTATATCTAAATTGTGGTATCTTCGAAACTGTTTAAATGGCCCATGCACTAGTCATAAGCCATTTACTGATCGTTCCCCTTCTCTCTCTGGGGTTCTTACAGCGTAACTAAAGCCATTTGAAGCAGCACCGAGTATATTAAATAATATAAATGCTTGAGATTGACACTGTGTTTAAAAAATTGAATGAAGTTCAAAATTTTTATCATGTTAAAGAAAGTACTGCACTATCAGAGAATTTTAATTTTAGTTTATATAAAAACTTGACTCAAATATTGTTTTGTTTCTCATGTTTTAACAAAATTTTTTGTTTTAATTTCTTCAAACAATTTTTTTAGTCTTTAATTTTTTATAAATTTTTGTTTTTATTCTTTAATACTGATTTGGTTTAGGATTAAAAAAATTATAAAAAAATAAAGGTTAAAAAATAATATTTTAAAAAAATAAAACAAAAAATTCACTAAAATAAAGAAACAAAATAAAAATAAAAATATTCAATATACTTAACGGATAGTTCGTGTTGAGTTTTTAATTGTTTATATGAAACCGAGTTTGATGAGAGAAATAAAACTTATTTTAGTGATAATTTTATTATTTAAATTACTAAAATTAACACTATATGTAATATTATGTGTGTTATTATTTTCTTCTCTCACTCTTTTTTTTTTTTTAATGTACATACATTTTTAAAATACATTTCTGGCGGTTCAAAATATATTTTTCTTATGGTAAGCTTAAGTGTCGAAAGCAATTTGTGTTTAGCGGCTACTAAGTAAAGATATTCTTAAGTCCATCCACACTCAGAGAGAGTATGTTCAAGTCTCGTTAATTATAGAGTAACTTTAATAAGTTGTGTATAAACTAACATTTTAGTAAAACCAGCAATAAGAAAAAGAGTTAAATTCTATTTTTAGGTGATGTTTGATGTCCATGACTATATCAAAATTAAAATTGTTACAAATCAAGGTCAAAATCCATAACACACTGTGTAATTTATACTATTTTAAAAATAAATTTAAAACCATACCAAATTAATAGTGGATGTTTCTTATTTTGTACACATAAAAACATAATAAGAAATTAAAAATATTTTTATATAAAAATATGAATATATTTAATATTTTTAAGTAATTTTAAAATGGGCACACGATAAGAAAATTTAATATGAGAAATTGTAAGTGTACATTAATTTCGTATAACTTTTTTTGACAAATCAAAAAGATACAGGAAAGAAAGAGAAAAATAAATGATAAAAAAATAAAGATAAATTATAAACTAACGACATTAGAATTTATTATAAAAATATTATAATTAAGAACTATTTGCAGGATCAAGATCCCCTCCATGGAGCAAAATAGTATCCTTTTTGCTATATCTGACTGTTAATTAAAAACAATTTTTTATCAACAACTCACATCACAGCTGACTAAACACAAAGTTTCATTCAATCAAAAATTGATTTTGTAAATTCATCAAAGGTTCGTTTCATTTCCCTCTCTTCCATCGAGCAACTAAAAAATTGCTGCATCATCTCAATAGTTGCCAAGAACGGTACCTGAATGAAATCTACCCTATTTGCATCGATTAATTGAATGAATAATAATAATAATAATAATAAAACTCAACAACCTTTATATTAGAAAGCGATGGTCTTAATCGTCTTTATTTTTTCTTTTAATATCATATGAGGGACAATATTTTGCATACAACGACCAATGAATTTGTAAATGGTAATTAAAAAAATATTTTGTGTCCTTTAGAAGCTTTGACCATCCCTTACAGTGCATAAGAGCCACATTCCTTATATATAAGGATACGAGATTGATAAAGAATTTTAAAAAAATGAAATATTTTATTGTGGGAGTGGGGGTCTCAATTTGTTAGATTTGGATGGAATCATGGATATATGAAACTTTTGGTGTTTAATCTAATTAACACTTAAAAATAATATAAAAGGATGTGACTCCACGTAAACTGGTGCCTCTCTATTCCAGTTTTTCCGACTTTGTTCAGTGTGCTTCACGTGAAATATAATTTCATGCTTTATTAGTGAATTAAATATTTCAGATACTAGAAAAACAATCCTTGTGCTGGGCATGTGTATATATATGTTAAAAGTGAAAACTTACTCTAGTAAACTTGAATGAAACATATGCTCAATATGAGGTTACTAATTTGATTTAATTAATAGTTTAATTTTTGTTAAAACAATTATATTAGTGTGTTTAGGTAAGAAAAATTTTCTAAGTTAAAAAATTATGTTGAAGGAAGCTATATTTCGACAAAATGTTGAGGGTCAGGAAGAAGCATAAAAATAAGTCTAAACTTGAGAAGTATTGGAAAGCTATCCAATACCTTTTGTTTTCATATAAAAACGACACATTTCGAGCTATTTTAGAGATTTTTGTCACCTTGTTGATTTTCCTTTAAAACTGTTGGAAAAGTAAGACTGACAAGAAAATATTCCAAGTTCACAAAATTGAAGGTTTTTTCTGAGGAGTTTCCAAGTCACTGATACTCAAAATTGCTTGAAAAACAGAACTGATAAGAAAATATTCTAAGTCAACAAAACTGATGGTCTTTTCAAGGAGTTTTGAAGAGTTTCCAAGTTTCTGACACCCAAAACTGCTCAAAAAATAGAAAGTGATCAGAAAATATTCTAAGTTCACAAAACTGATGGCTTTTTCGAGAAGTTTCCAAGTCTTTGACACCAAAAACTGCTTGAAAAACAGGAAGTGGTCAAAAAATATTCTAAGTCTGCCAGCCTAGTTGAGCTCCAAAATCCCTCAATAATTGCTCGAAAAACAAAAATGAGCAAAGAAAATACTCTAAATTTACAAGACCAAGACAAGCTCTCAAAACTCCATAATTGCTCGAAAAACAGAAATGAACAAAGAAAATATATTAAATCCACAAGACTAAGACAAGCTTTCAAAACTCCAGAATTAGTCAAAAAGAGAAGTCAAAGAGAAATTATTCTAAGGCCATAACACTAAATGAGCTTCTTAGACTTCTCCCAGAAACACTCGAAAGATAGAAAAATAAAAATCTTGATAGATCAAGTCATTGCAAAATCCAAAAACAGTTAACAGCAGTCATCAACATTCATCACTATACAAAGGAGATCGTGGGCGATAGCGGTTACGAAAGAAGTCTCAACCAACAGCACAATCACAAGCAATCGTGAATAATAGACATCAAAAGTTGAAGGTAGTTATTAAGAAGTGCCCGCAATAGGAGGAGAACGGCGATGGTCCTCTTCCCTATAAATACTCCAAAGCATCATTTTACAAAGGACTACTTTTTATACCGTGACACCGCATCTAAATTCTCTGAAACGCTAAAAACTTGCACCACACCGACACCAGCTATCAAGAAACTCACGGTGGCCGATGTTTACATTTCTTCATATTTACATTCTTGCACATTTACCTTTCTGCATTTTAATTCCAGTTTATTGTTTATTTCCTTTCTGTAATTTAGCTCCTATTTAGCACATTTCTGTAAAAATATCTACTTCTGATTAAATTCTGTTTGACTATTAGTTGCTATTTACGTTTAGTCCTCTACTTTATAACGCCAATTTTACTATTACATTAACAAAACACTTAAAAGAATTTAGAAAGGACTTAATCCAGTTCCCAAATTGTTTTTAGATTATTTATTTACAAAGTTGTCATTTTTCACCGTAAACACAGTGATAATTAATCTAATAATGAACGATTTTTTTATTGTAAATATAGTATCCAAAGCCGAACAATTGGATTTAACAAGGTTATTAGGACTTAACAAAGTTTAGGTCTTAGCTTGGGTGTCTCTTGGGAGGTCTTTTTCATGTTCCCAATGGTTTATTAACCCTTGACAGTACACTTAGTCATGTTTGGCAAATGTTTATTTAAGAAATAATTATTGTTTAAAAACTCTAAAACTAAAAAACAAATAATCGTACAAGTATTTAAGATTGTACGTATTAATTTCTCTTTACCAAAAAAAACTTCTTTAAAAATTTATTAATTATGCTAATTATTATGAATAAAGAAAATAAAGTAATAACCCTTTCTGGGGAAAGAAAAAAATTATAGTATGATGAGGAACCGT